CTCACTTTATGAAGCCAGATTTGGATAATCTGGTATTATCCAAAACCGAATAAAGACACTTACAAAGAAAGAAAATTATAGGCCAGTATCCCTGATGAACATAGATGCTAAAGTCCTCAACAAAGTATTAGTAAACTGAATACAGCAATGCATCAAAAGGATCACACACCATGATCACAAGAAATTTATTCCAGGGATGCAAGGTTGGTACAACATTTGCAAATCAATAAGTGTGATTCACCACATAAACAAAATGAGAGCTAAAAACCACACAATCATATCAATAGGTGCAGAAATTGTATTTGATAAAATCCAGCACCATCTATGATAAAAACACTCAGCAAAGTGGGATTAGAGAGGACATACTTAAACATAACAAAGGCCACATACAGCAAATGCATTGTCGGCCTCAGACTCAACAGGCAAAAACTACAAGCCTTCCCCTTAAGATCAGGAACAATACAGGGATATCTGCTCTCACCTCTCTTATTCAGCATGGTTCTGGAAGTCCCGGCCACAGCAATCAAACAAGAAGAAGAGATAAAAGGCATCCAAACTGGAAAGGAAGTAGTAATAACTACCCAAAGCAATCTTTAGATTCAGTACAATTCCTATCAAGTTTCCAATGACATATTTCACAGAACTAGAACAACTGTTTCAAAAATTTATATGGAACCACAAAAGGCCCCACATAGCAACAGTGATCCTGAAAAAGAAGAACAAATTTGGAGGAATCATGCTACCTAATATCAAACTATACTATAAGGCCATAGTAATCGAAACAGCATGGTACTGCCATAAAAACAGACACATAGATCAATGGAACAGACTAAAGAGCCCAGAAATGAACCCACACCTTTATAGTCAATTAATATTTGCAGAGGGAGCAGGTACATACATTGGGCTAAAGATACTTATTCAATAAATGGTGTTGGGAAAATTGGATAGATAGGTACAGAAAAATAAAACTAGACCACCTTCTTATGCCACACACAAGAGACCCAAAACTATAAAAATCCTAGAGGAAAACGTAGGCAGCAAAATCTCAGACATCACTTGTAGCAATTTTTTATCAGATATACCTCCCCAGGCAAGAGAAACAAAAGAAAATAAACAAATGGGACTATATCAAGCTAAAAAGTTTTTACACAGCAAAAGAAGTCATCAACAATATAAAAAGACAACCCACAGAATGGGAGAACATATTCACTGATACATCTGATAAGGGGTTAATATCCAAAATTTCCAAAGTACTTAACAAAACTCAACACCAAAAAAACAACAACCCAATTAAAAAATAAGCAAAGGACCTGAATAGACACTTCTCCAAAGAGGACATACAGATGGCCAACAGACATGATAAGATGCTCAACTTCGGTATTCATCAGAGAAATGCAAATTAAAACCACAGTGAGATATCATCGCATACATGTCAGAATGGCTATCATCAATAATTCAATAAACAAGTGCTGGTGAGGATGTGGAGAGAGGGGAATCTTTTTGCACTGTTGATGGGAATGCAGATTGGTGCAGCCACTGTAGAAAGCAGTATGGAAATACCTTAAAAAATTAAAAATGGATCTGCCTTTTGACCCAGCAATCCCACTTCTCGAATATATCTGAAGAAACCCAAAACACTAATTAGAAAGAACACAAGCACCCCTGTGCTCACTGCAGCATTATTTACAATTGCCAAGTTACAAAAGTAGCCCAAGTGTCCATCAATAGATGAGTGGAAAGAACAACTATGAGACATTTACACGATGGAGTACTACTTGGCTGTGAAAAAGAAAATCTTACTTTTTGCAATGGCATCATGGCCCTTGAGAACATTGTGCTAAGTGAAATAAGCCAGTCAGAGAAAGACAAATGATTTCACTTATATGTGGAATCTAGTGAACAAACTGAATGAACCAGGAAAATGGGGACAGACTCATAGATGGAGAGCAGGCTGACAGCTGGGGTGGGGAGGTTAGAGGGTGGAGGAATTGAGCAAAAAGGAAAAAGGACCCACGGACATGACAGCAGTGTGGTGATTGTGGGGGGAGGGGAGTATAAGGGAACTAAAAGGGAATGGGAAGTATACAATAATATAAAAATAAAATGTTGAGTCACTCCTCCATAGTTGCACAGCCCCTCAACAGCAGGTCACATGCGTGATCATGTGGGAGTAGTTATAACTGCGGTGGTCATACCAGATGTTGTTACCCTGGAGTGTCCTATTTGTTGTAGTCTCCACACCTTTTGAACACTTACGTTTAGCCTTCTCAGAATTGAACATTTGTGCAGAGAACAACATACAGAGCTCACCTAGGTCTTAACCTGAATTCAAAAATGTTTCCTGCCTCTCAGTGTCATGTGTAAGATCACCTGGTCACTTTATGACTTCAGAAAGTGTCGTTCCTCTGTGTCACTGCTTGGATGTGCGATGCCAGGCAGTGAGCAAAGTCAGGTGAAATGTAGCTTCACTGACACACTTTCAGTCCATTGTGTTGTAACCTCTTAATAGAAGCAAGATGCTTAAAGAAACTTCTGGGACGTTGTTTCTGTTTTTATCCTCAGGGACCTGTACAAAGGCAGCTTTGTCATATGGGGTTCAGCTTTCATTGAACAAGTACATGATACATTCCCGAATGACATTTGTGTGGTGGTGATTCTGGCCATCCTACTGTGTGTGGGTGTTTGGTTCCTTTCCCCATTCTGTGTTCTTCTGACTTGCATTCATTTAAAAGGTACTTCACTGTTGCATTATATTGGAGGTGTTAAATAATTACATTAAAAACAATAAGCACCTACTAGACAACGTTGAGAATATGAATGAGCCTTAACAAGATTCATTCTGACTTTGCCCCCCCACCCCAGACGGGTCCTTGTGGTCCCCGGGCCAGGGAAGCACCAGCTCCCGCTACAGGGCACCACGGCATGACCTGTGGGAAGATTTGAGCTTCCGGGGTTAGCACTAGGGCTGAAAGCCAACTGCTATCTTTGAAGTTTGGAAGAAACGTTTTTTATATTTGCATTAAAATTTATGTATTTTTGTTCCTTTCCTTTTCTGGTTCATTTGTTATGCATTCTTTTTCAGTGTAACTTCCTGAATCCACAGGAATGAAAAGCACACGTTTGGCCCCGCTCTGAGAAATGAAGGGAAGTCAGGGACTTGTTCTATTTTCTTAAGTTTCATATCCAGAGATTTATTTATGAAGCCCTTAGGCAGGTTTTTAAAGTAAATATCCCTCATGGGCGGCCTCACCCAAAATAGGAAAACCACACAGGAGGGCCGTGGGCACTGAGCCGGCCTGAGGAGGGAGGGCTCAGCCTTTCTGGGAGACTGCCCCTGGCCTTCGGCATCTCCTTGTCATGACAGAACAGCAGGTTCCTGGGAGCAAGCCACATGCCAAGTTTATGCCAAGGAGGAAGCACTCTGCTCATGGAGAGTGAGGCAGGTGGCCCCAGTGCCCATTCTGTTCCAGGGCCCTTGTGCCATTTCCTGTGTCCCTGCTGAGCCTCTTTGAAACATGGGTGGAGTTACAGAGACTGATTTGCTCTTTATCCTTTAAGTCACATGGACAGTCCTGCAAAGCTAGGTCCTAATAGAGGAAACGTAGGTGGAATTTACAAAGAGAATGTATAAGCATGCAGCTACTGTGGATAATGTACTGGGTGGGCAAAGGGTGGGGATGGGAGGGAAATATGAAAAGTCTTCTAAAATTATTCCCAAGACATGGTAGATGAGCAAAGGAGATGATAATATAAGCAAAAGAAAAAGAAAAAAAAATGCAATGTAAGACTTCTAATAACCTTAAACAGTAGAAATGCTGGATTTCTTGTTACCCCTCTCTGTTCAGTTTCAGAAAGTGAGGGTTCTCTCAAGCCACAAAGGGTAGACCCAGTGAGGAAGAGCAGTGATGGGACCAGGCCGGGAGCATTGCCATATATTTTGTTTTGTTGCCCCAGTTAATTCTCGAGAACTCTGAGAAAAGTGCTATTGCCACCCTCAGGGATGATGAAGTTCAGGCTCACGAATGTCTCAGTAACAACTGAGCCAGATGTTCTGATGCCCATTCATTCTTCTTGTCCTATTACACTGACTTCCTCCTCAACTAAGAAGGTTTCCATCCCCTTTTCAGCACTGTTATACCCCAGAGAAGCCGATACCTTCAGAGTTCCTTCAGAGGACCTGGGACGTGATGCCCACACCCTGTGCTGGGATGCTTGTCTAAAGGGGACCTCGGACCTCATGCTGGGGCAGCCAGTCAAGGAGGAACCTAGGATCATGTTCTGGGGTGCTAGTGTCAGGGGCACCAGGACCCTGTGCTGGGGCTTCTATAAGAGGCTGCATTTTAGCCTCTAATCAGTAACTGTAGTGCTTTTAGGAGGTGCTTGAGTGCTGACAGCACATGGTCTGGGTGGGTGTTTTTAAAGATCCTTCTATTCAGAAGGTATTTACTTAATGCCTTGTGTGTACAGCACTCTGAGTAATACCGAGATGAGTCAGACCCCAGTCTTCTGTCTTTCCAGGGAAGCCTTATTGATAGAAATACCTAAAGTGCTTGAGCAGTTCTTCTATTCTGAACTCAAGGTTTTACTCTTTTCTTTAAAGACCTTTCCCCAGATCTCTAACCCCCATTGTTACTTATCTTTTGGAAGTCTTAAGATTTTGCTGCCGTGTTCTGTTTTTTTACATGAACCCACCCTGTGTTATTTCCACTGACAATCAGCTTTTTCATGGCTACCTGTCAACTCTCACTGGAGTACTGAACACCTGCTCAGACTGTTCTCTGCAGGAATTGGGCAGGGGTTTGAAGAACTTAGCCCACAGGGCCTTAGTTAAATCAGCGGCAGCTCTGGGCCCAGCTCTTCTCCGTGGCCCTGCTGATGCTGTAAGTCAAACGGCACTGGTTTCTATTCATATGGACAAGTGTTACAGCGAACACTTCAGGGAAGAACTTTCACGCCCCGAGTCTGAGGCACTTGTGCTAACACCGCTCTCTTTTCCATAGTGTGCCGGAGAAGAGAATTGGGTCGACAGTCGGACCATTTACGTGGGACATAAGGAGCCCCCACCAGGTGCTGAGGCCTATATTCCGCAGAGGTACCCAGACAACAGGATCGTCTCCTCCAAGGTAACCTTGTGTCTGTTTATTAATGGCCTTCGGGGAGCACTGGGACTTTCTGACAGCAGCTAGCAACACTGCTCCTGGAACCGCTGTTGCAGCTGCTCTCCACTCCCCAGTGAGGGCAGTGATTACAGATTGCATGGGGCAAATTGCGAACTCACTATCCCTCTGGTCGTCCCCAAAACACTGTTCAGACTTGCCAAGATGTCACAGCACAAGATTGTCTTCATTTCTCTTTTAATTACATCATGGATAGAGTGTCCAATTTGAAGTCTAGGATGTCCAGTTCCTACTACTGCCACTTACTTATCTGTTCTCTGACTATGTACTAGCCACGAACCACCACAAGCTAGAGTTTCCTATAAAATAGAGATGACACAGGATGTCATGAGTGAAAGTGTGTGTGCACAACCCCCTTGTAAACAAAAACACTGAGCCTGTCAATTAGGAGCAATAAATGCAAAGAGGAAGAAACATAATTAAAATGTCATCGTTTCAACCAAGTGCCTTCTGTTTGCTGACTGGAAAGTGGGATTACAGAGGTATATTGTACACACCGAGAGAGTAACCTGGTAAATGGGTCTTGAGAATGGACGGAGAATTTTGTAGCTGGCTTTGATGAGAAAGGTGAATGACGGCTTTCCAGATTATGGAGCACTTTCCCTTTAGGGGCCTTACACACTCACGTGTGTCCATGAAGGCACTCGCACATCCCTGGGTTCACTAGATGTGTGGGTCCATGTAGGAGACCTGCTTATTTTCTGTGAGTTATCAAAGAGTGTTAGTTACCAATACTTGCACATAGAAAAACTGTGCTTTTCAATGCAGTTTTTTAATGGAATTGTGTTATTTTAAAACTGCAACGTAAAATCATAATCATAATCATAATAGTAGTTTTAATCTCCAGAACACAATGTGGGTAAATAATTGCTTGTAAACAAAATCTCAACCAAATAAATGTAGTACATGGTACCCAGATATGACAAGTCTGAATGGTAGTGACATTTATAAATTTGACACAGTCTCAAGTAGAGATCACTAAAGATGATCTTTATTCATCTTTATGAATAGAGTATATGTACTCTGTCAACCCACTAGTGTGGCCAAAGAAGGAAAAAAATCTCAAAAACATTTCTTTTTTAAATTAAAATTTTTTTTAATTATAGTTGACATACAGTATAATATTAGTTCTAGGTGTACAACACAGGGGTTAGACATTTATGTAATTTACAGAGTACCCATTTGACACCATACACAGTTATTGCAGTATTATTGACTATGTTTCCTATACTGTACCTTATATCCCTATGTCCATTTTTACAACTGGCAATTTGTACTTCTTAATCCCTTCACCTTTTTCACTCCCTCTCAAACCCCTCCCATCTGGCAATCATTAATTTATTCTCTGAATCTATAGGTTTGTTTCTATCAAAAATATTTCTTAAAAATCTACTTGTTTGCAGTACAAATGCCTCCAGAAATGGGTCAGGGCCCTGGCTCAGTTGGTAGGAGTGTCACCCCCATGTGCCAAGGTGGTGGGTTCCACCCCTGCTTGGGGCATTTACAGGCATCAGCCAATGAATGCGTGGGTGGGGGGAACAACAAATCGACATTTCTCTCTCCCTTCTTCTCTCTCAAATCAATTTTTTAAATTTTTTTAAAAAGAAAGGGGGCAATGCACTGAAAAGCATTAAAATGTTGTGCCATGTGTGAACTTGTCAGGACAGGAATCCGGGATGAGGTGAAAAATTGTGGGACCTGCCCTCACTACCTACCGTCTCATCTGGGTGGGATGTTTGTCAAAGGCACTTCAGCCAGTGATCTAAATCCCTGTGCAGCTGCTTTCTCCCTTTGGGGACGAAGATCAGCCTTGAATGTTTCAGCCCCCAGTTTCTTCCAGTCGATGTGGAAAGTTCTCTACAAGCCTCCACGGAGGAGCTCTCTGAAGTGCAGGGCACCTGGTTGACTGGAGACATCAAAGGACCTTCTTGATGCAATTGGCAGAATGCAGCTGGAAGTCAAGGGATGCCTTATTCATTCTAAAAGCTCCTGTCAGTGTTTCAGGGAAGAAAATTGAAAGCAGTGATTTCTAAGTCCCATCCTTTGTTATCTGATTCAAGTTTTACAGCCAATGTATTCTCCTATTTTTCTTTCAAATATTCCCATAGTCCATAGCCAACAATAAGTTTGAGGTGCCTTGTCTCACCTCCTCACTCTACAATTCACCACCTTTTCTCCTTTTCCTTCCCTGTGGTGGCACCTTCCTGTCCCCAGCTGCCCTACATGAACTGGAGTCTCCAGAGCCTCCTTGGTTTATGACAAAAGAAGTCCTATGCCGGACATGGGGTATGATAAAGACTTATAGGTTCCTGGGGGCCTTTTTGAAACTGTTTCTTCTCAAGAAAACACCTTCATACCAGAAAACTCTACAGTAGGAACTAATAGAATTAAGTCAACATCCTTTCAGGAGGTGTGTCAGCTGAGGCTCCACAGAAGAGGGGTCAAGTGGTGGGTAAAGTGCTTACCGACTTTCATCTCAGCTTAGAGAGGGGACTGTGCTCTCAAATTTATGTGTGTGCAGAGAATGAACTTCATTCCTCAGAGAGCAGAATTAGTGGCTTTATATCAGTAGATGATGGTGTGTAATTTCAAAGGAAACCTATGTACGGCATCGCCTCTATTGCTAATCAAACTCCGTTTGCAAGAGGACCTGCAAAAGACGAGGGTTTAGAATCTAAGTTGGTAGCTGGGTGGACAGTGGCATTGATTTAGATCAACTGGAGAGGAACTCTAGAGCACATTATTGTTTTCATTTAAACGCAGTTCAGAATATATAAAAATATGATTGAATCTGTAGAACTTAAGTGCACAACCAAGTTTGGAGAATATGTTTGTGGTAATGTATCTACCTTTTCTTGGAAAGACAAGTTATAGTTCCACCTTCACGGAAGACTGCTAGCTAAGACTTCTGAAGTTCACAGAACTCAGAAGTGAATGCTCAGTCAGTCCCATTCATCATGGGCATCTTTATACTAGAGGATGAAAAGGCCAATCTAATTATGTTAAACTTCTGGACCTGCAGCATAGAACAGTTAGGGTGATCAGTGACTGATCTGAGGTCCATTTCCTTTTTGGGGAAGACACACTAGACAGGCATCAGATAGAAAAAGGAAAACCATGAAATTACTCCCCAGCATGACCCCCTTTCCACCCTCCTGACCACATGCAGAACCGCTACCCAGGGCCCACCTCAGCTCACCCTGCTAGCAGATCCTGGACCCAAGAGAACAATGGAGCACTTCTTTGGTTTCACAAAACTGTACTTTTGGGCATGAAATTCATGCAGCTCCCAGCTCTGCCCTAAGATGCTACATAATTAAATAGTAGGCTCAGATGTGCTGTCACTCCCAACCTTCAACAAAGCTAAGTAATTCTTGAGTGTTGGCGAGGGAAAATTACCTCTACCAGTTAGATATGAGCAGTGTTCTTCATGACTTCCATGTCATTTAAGCTCTAAAACAACCCAGTGAGGTCCCTATTATTTATTAAGCCCAGCCTATTCCTGAAGACACCAAGACTCAGAACAACGAGGATGAGCCGATCCTTCAGCTGTGCACCCCCTCTGCAGAGCCAGCACTGCCTCTTGCACTGTTCTGCTCACCCATCCAACATTAGTCATCCCGAATTTGAGCATAACTTTCTATTTTTACCCTCCTGTCTCCCAATCACAAATGAAAGAGAAACTTCAACTCCATGTGAGTTGATTGCCTTTCCCAGGAAGCAGCGCCTGGCCGCCAGCGAGCCTTTATGACTGCCCCTTGCACTGCGCCTGGCCGCCGGCGAGCCTTTATGACTGCCCCTGGCACGACTGTGGTGCTGGATCCACTTTCAGGTCACAGTAGCCGAGGCTTTTGTGTGCTTTCCAGGTGCTCTCATTTTACTTCCTGGCAGCTGGCAAAGAAGAACAGCGTGCAGGGCTTTTCTCTTGGAGTTTTTCTTTCACCACATGACTAAAGGTAGACCAGGTGAGACTGTTCTCTTCTTTGTCATGAGCCGTGCTCTCGGCGAGTGACTCAGAACCAGAGCAGACACGTGCACAAAGGAGAAGAGATTGGACAAAAATGAGCTCAGATGCTCTTGCAGCATTCTCCTGTCAGGACTAACGACTCACAGAACAAGTGCAGAGACTCCAGTATGTAGTTTTTCGTGATGTTAAATAAATGCCAGGAGTACTAATTGTCTTGTGTCATTTAACATTTCCCAAAACGCCTTATCGTATAGAGAGATTCTCTGATTGACTCAGACTTCTCAGTTTTCTTACAGTGAGAAAACCCCATTTCACCCCATGCCTGTGGCTGAATGCCGGGGGGTTGACTGTTAAGTACCGTTCTAGTGACTGTGTCACAACAGAAGGCAGGAGTTAATAGCCCAATACAGGTCAAAGTGTTTTATTATTCCTTGTAATACACAAAGCGTTACATTATATTGTGGCCCGCATGTCTAAGCAAATATTTAGATCACTTAATGAAGATGAAAAATGTACAATTGGCCCACCATTATCATTTTTCCAGCTCTAACATATGTAATGTTCATTTTATTTTATCCATGTTACTGTTAATGCAGTCATGAATGTTTAAATGATCTCATTTGGTTTTCAATTTTACTATCATACATTATCAGGAATTAACTTTTTTAATCACCTTGTAGTAATAATCAGAGTAATAACTTGTAGTAATTTTTCTGTGAAACATGGAAATTACAAAACTTAATGTCAAAGCAGTAGCATGGGTCTTCCATGCATGATTAGAATAAATAAACCATTTAACTGACTTTAAATTCCAAATTTGTGCTGGTTACCTGGAAGACCAGAATTCAAAATTGAAAACACAGTACCATTTACATTAGTGCCCAAAAGAAAATAAACACATACATACTTAAGTATACATACTATAAAATAATGTAATATCTATATGAGGAAAACTAAACCATCAATGAAAGAAGTCAAAGAGGAATTAAGTAAATGGAGAGATACTCTGTGTTCATGAGTAGGAAGACTCAACATTATTAAGATGTGAGTTCTTAGTCTATAAATTCAACAGTGCTAACAAATCCCATCAAGTTATGTTGTAGATACCGACAAACTGATTCTAATCGACATCTAAGGCTTATCCGAAAGACCCCAAATAACCAACACAGCGTGAAAGAGAAGAACATACTTGGAAGACGGATACTGCCTGACCTGATACTTCCTGTACAGCTGCGGAAGAGCAGACAGAGATCAACGGAGCAGAATGGAGAGCCCGGGTGTAGACCCACAGGAATATAATCAACTGATTTTTGACAGAGGAGCAAAGGCAGTACAATGGACAAAGAAAAGTCTTTTCCACAAATGGCACTAAAACAAATGGACATCCACGTGCAAGGGGGGAAAAAATCTAGACCAGCAATTTTCACCCAGTGTGCCACAGAATTTTTTTTTAAGATCTTATCTATTTATCTTTAGAGGGAAAGGAGAGAGGAAGAGAAACATCAATGTATGGTTGCCTTTCATGCATCCCCTGCTGGGAACTGGCCTGCAGGGAACCAGCCTGCAACCCAGGCATGTGCCCTGACTGGGAATCGAACTGTGATCCTCTGGTTCACAGACCTGTGCTTATAATCCACTGAGCTACACCAGCCAGGGCCCCCACAAGAATTTTTAAAACAGCAGCACCTGACTGTTTAGTCAGAGGCACTGACCTCTTTTCCCTTAGATTGTCAAGTTTAAAAATGACAACAACTAACACAACAGCCATGATGTGAATGAATCAAATTTATACCAATTTTTTGTCACATTGGCAAAAAATGTAATATATTTTTGGTGTGTTGCAGAATTTTAGTAATTAGTTTATGTGTGCCATGAGATGAAAATGTCTGAAAAATGCTGATCTAGACAGTGATTCTATACTTTTCACAAAGTTAACTCTAAATAGACTGATCATAGACCTAAATGTAAAATGCACAACCATAAAGATCCTAGATGATAGCACAGGAGAAAATCTAGGTGACCGTGAGTTTAGCAATGAGTTTTTTGATACAGAGCCAGTAACACTCACCATGAAAGCTAAAATTGATAAGATGGACTTTATTAAAATTAAAAGTTTCTGCTCTTCAAAAGATACTGTTAAAAGAATTGAAAGACAAGTCACTGAGAGAAGATAGTATATCCTGTAAAGAACTGGCATGAAATCATACATGGGAGGTAAGGGTGGGTACAGTGTGGTGGGTTTAGGACCTAGAAAATTAATTTCTTTTCTAAACCTCTGGAGGCCCTGTAGAGTAATTTATTGGGGCCAACTTTAAAAGAGAACTAAAAATATGTCCGTAATTGTCATGGGACCAGGGGACGACTCCTTTGTTTTCCTGCTCATTAATGAACTTCATTATGAATTCGTAAATGTAAATTAGATAGAAAATGGAAATTCCCTGTGTACTTTCTAAGCAGTCAGTAACTTAAGGCAAAGGACTTTTTTATTTAAACTGTGACTATACAGTGAAATTGATATAAAAACCAAATTCAGAATACATCGGATATTAGGGCCATGCCAGACTTTGCTTGTTATAGTCTCTTTTCAAGAACTTGTGTTTGAGATTCTGACATTAAAGGATCTCTTGGTAGGAGAGCTGGGTAACTAACCTTTGGGTCTGCAACGCCAGCAAACACGCCTGGCGGGAGCCGATGTTAGGTTCTGTTCGTTGTACAGATGAAGGCCAGGGTCACCGTACAGACTGGACAGAGCCCTTTCTCACTCTTCAGTAGGCTATCTTCATAAAGACAAAAACTTGTCAAATAGAATTTTTAAAACAATTTTAAAACTGTTTTAAACCATTTTAAACACTACAGTAAACACTCCAACTCAGTGTTTACTGTAGATTAATGACATTGTTGTCTTCAGCACGAGAGTTAGGGAACGTCTCCTCCCGTGGCAAAAATGCAGGGTTTGGACTGTAAGTGACAACCAGAACTTTTCTCCCCGCTTGCTCCTCCACTCCTTCTAAACCAGGAGGAAGGGCTCTGTGTGTGCTGCTGGGGAACACCTGACAACGCCGGCTTCTGATTCAGCTTTCTGTGAGCATCTCGTCACACACCAAAAGAGCTTATGAAGAAATGACAATCCAGGAAAAATGCTAAACGTGTATCTTTTGATTTAATAATCATAGGTTTATACTTTATGAAAGACATTTTGATAATAAAAACTATTATTAAGCTACTTTGCATTACTTTGATTACTTTGATTAATCTATAATAAGGTAAGTCACATTTTCTACTCTTAGAGAACACATTCTCTGTTAGTGGTTTGTTTTTGTGGTTAACAAATTGATAAAATGTCCACAAACACTCTACAGGTTGAATTATAAGTTTTGTATCTAAAACTAAACTTTTTATACCTTGAGATCCAGTGCTGCTACTTATCATGTAGAGTAAACTGTGATCAAAATGACACTTCTTTGTTTTTCTTTTCTACAGTACACATTTTGGAACTTCATACCCAAGAATTTATTTGAACAATTCAGAAGAATCGCCAACTTTTATTTTCTTATCATATTTCTGGTCCAGGTAAGGCCAGTGGCCCTTTAGTCTCGGGTGATGAACCATGGTTGCTAACAAGGAAGGAGCGAGGACTCGGTGCCACTCATCCAGTTTCCTCCTCTATTTTTTTCAAGGACAGCGTGTTGGTTCAGAGAGACCTATATGCTGAAACACACGCAGGAGCACTCTGTGTTTGAGTTGGTTCTGGCTACCTGCCCGCACTGGAGGGGCGGTCAGGAGCTTCCTGATCTTTAGGAGAAATTTGCCAGCCCAGCTAAGCATTGTTACCCTTCCTGAGCACGCACAGATTCTCCAATGAAAACATTAAGGGAAGGAGAGTGAGAACCACGGTGAGGTTTGAATTAGGGAGCAATAGAGCAAATATATTTTAAGAACAGCAACCCAGTTTTTCTCAATCATTCAAAATACAACTGAAGGATTTTTTTAATTCCCCCACATTAAGTTATCCAAATAATGTAGTTGAAGTGCGGCACCAGAAACAGGATAGTAAATTAAAATAAAATGTACACTGGCATCAGACTTGTGTCTTTGCCACAGCTAACGTCATTTTCTTAAGCATTTCCCTTAATTTAAAAGAACTGCCCCTCAGTTTTATAGTAAAATAGGATGATATACTTCTTAGCCAATGTATCTCTAGTGGTGGGATAAAGTGGGGTAACAGTCAAGCAATTTGAAATAAGTAAAAGCAAGTGTTAGGTGGTGGTATAATGGGGCCTGTCAGTCTGTCTAAAGTCACTAATGCATGTTTTTGAAAATGGCTCTACATTCTCTTTTACTTGCAGTTGATTATCGATACACCCACAAGTCCAGTAACAAGTGGACTTCCACTGTTCTTTGTCATTACTGTCACAGCTATCAAACAGGTAAGAATTTTACAGACAGAGGGAGAAGGCTGTGATTTTTGTTGTATAATATCACCTCTTGACCAAAGCAATCAGATTTGTGTTAGCCATTTTATAGAAAAATTAAACTGTATTCTAAAAGTTCATTTTTATACTTTTTTAGATTGAAACTCAAGTTAAAATAATAGAGATTATATAACTTAGTTGCTAATTTGGTGCCCTGTGAGTGTGAGGAGGAAACTATGGTTTTCACCTGAGTCAGCCAGAGGTGGTGTGTGATGTCAGGTGAGTTGCTCAACCTGACTCGTTTTCCACCATCTCAGCTGGAAGGCTCTGCTGCTTCCTGCAGAGGGTCTGGGGTGTGGCTTCACAAGAGCATGCTAAGGCCTGACTCGGTGTGGATCAGATTGTTCTTTCTGGTCCAGAGGAATAAAGCCAGTGACTAACAACAAGACTGCATCTCAGTTATTTAATTTATACTGTCCAGTTAGCTAGTTTAGTGTGGCAGCCATCACCACTATCTAGTTCCAGAAAACTTCCACTCCGTGACAGCTCATGGGCTGATGTGTAGCCACCTCTGAAGCTGTAGACAGCTCTTGGGGCAGCTGGCTTCCCTTTCATGTGCTGGGAGATGTTACAGAGAAGTAGTAATTCATCCCCCTTAACTCAAGTGCACTTTCACATCCAGCGAAACCCAATTCAAAGGCATGTTAATCTAGAAAATACCAAATGCTTGGTTGGAAAGTGTGTGTTTTCTCCTGTTGGAGAAAGAATTTGAAATTATGCCTATTCAAGACCAAAGGGATTTAGCAGAGTTGTTAGTTATGAGAATTAGGTCAGGCTGCTTTTACAAGGCTTGAGCTGGTATCTGAGTTGACATAGAAACAGCTCATACTGGTAATTTCCAGTGCTTATTGCCATCAATAAAATGTATATGTGCATGTAGAACTATACCCAGCTTTTTGTGGGTATCACAGTGAATCCAGAATTTTACTCAGTTTGCTAAGAATCTGTGTGGCCAGATTCAGTAAAAGACATAGTCAGGAACTATGTATGGTCTCACTTGTGCTTTTCAGGTAGAATATTTAAGTTCATCTGGTAGAAATGTAACTGGTACTGAGTTTCTTAAGGACTTTCGTTCAGTTCATATTAAAAGCCTAAAAGTTTTATCCATCTTTTGACTTAAACATTTTCTTTTTAAGAATCTATAACTAAGAATATATAATGGATATGTACAAAAATATAATTGTAAAGATGTTTGTCAGAAATACATTGATAACTATAACCCATAATGCTGTGGAAAATGTCCATGATATCACAGGGGTACAAAGTAGAATAGTATGTGCAGTATGTTTCTAATTTTGAAAAACCACACCCCATAGGCTAAAATTATGTTTATATATAATTATATCGATATGGTAATAATTTCTATATTAATGTATTTTGCGGAATGATAGGATTGGTTTCTTTGTGGGGAGGGGTGACTTATGTATTTCTTAGTTTTGCCCACAGACCACATGATACTTTTGTAATATATAAGGTAAAAAGTGATTTGGGGGAGTTATTTCTGACTCTTTTATTTATGTCCTGATTTTTTCTTCAAAAACGCATTCTCCTGCATGAGTTGCAGAGTGGAGATGGGAAAACCAGGCAGAAGACACAGTGGGACACAGCCTAGATACACCGTTTAAAAACTGCTTTTCTTTTCTAATTTTCTGCATTATACATATCGTTTATTCATTTATTCTACAGATATGACTGAGCTTCTTTCATGCACTGAGTCTTTTGTAGGCCCTAGAGATGATAATGTTGAACAAGAGACATTCCAGTGAGGGAGGCAGACACCAAGAAGCCATGTGTACATGCACATGTACACACACGCACATGTGTGTACATATATACACACACCCACACGTGCATTATAGGGCATTATGGTCTTAGTGGAGGGGCCTCTCTGATACATGCACTTGGATGGGGTACCAGGTGAGTGCAGTGGAAGGGGAACAGGAAAACCCCTGCCCCAGACCTCAGACCATTGAGAGACCCTGGCCCCTCAGGGACCCCAGACCATGGCCCTGACAGTGAGCCACCTGGTGTGTTACCTCAGTGGACTCGAGAATGGCCATTCCATATGTCGAGCCAGGATAAAGTTTGGGAAAACACCATTAGATGATACATAGTTGGGGCTTCCAGGAGTGACTGGCTTAGTCATGTCCTCATTCAGTCCAGGGAGGGCCAAGGAAGGGTGGGACCTCGACCAGCATGGTGACCAGGGGACACAAAGAAGTGGAAGATTTAGGACCCACTTGTGGGAAAAGTGCCAGGACTCACCAGTGGGTGGGTTTCAGGTGTGAGAAAAACGAGGCTACAAGATGTCTTGTGGTTTACTGCAGCCTCGTAGTCCTTCTCAGGGCACAGCTGGGAGCACGGGGCCACAGGGCTCCTGGCCACTCCACTTGTCCGGTGGGCTGGGCCTGGCTATATCTTACTCACACTCGTGGCCCCTCAAAGCAAAGTCCAGAAGGTAGGGCTCAGAGCTGAGGGACCCTCCATGTTTCTCTCACTTGTCACATGGGATTCTTTCTATTTGTTCTTTCAGGGCTATGAAGACTGGCTTCGCCATAAAGCAGATAACGCCATGAACCAGTGCCCTGTCCATTTCATCCAGCACGGCAAGCTAGTTCGGAAGCAGAGCCGAAAGCTGAGAGTGAGTGATAATTGACACAAGTACCTGGCCTAAAGCCAGTAACAATTAAAAAAAAAACCACCAATGTGACAGGTTTTTTTATTGATTAGACACCCAGACTATAACCTCTTTCCCCAAATATTTCAGGCAAACTCTTACACTAGCTTTTCTTTTTTTACTTATTTACTTACTTACTTACTTACTTACTTTTTAGAGTTTTAATAAACTTTATTTTTTTTAGAGTAGGTTTAGGTTCCCAGCGAACAAAAGGTACAGAAATTTCCCAGATACACCCTGTCCCACCACTATCAGCAGCTCCACCAGGGTTGCCCGAAGTGTATGAGGTTATACCAGCAATTTTCAATGTCTGTCATCTCCTGGCGCACATAAGCTCATTACTAAAATTCCGTGTCCCAACAAAAGTATGTTTTTTGCTGATCTGACAAAAAGAAAATAGGTATAATTTTGATTCATTCACTTACATGTTGGCTGTTGTCTTTTTTTTTGGACAATCTAAGGGAAAAGATGTCAAGTGCCCCTAATAGTTAGGTATTGTGTGTTTTAAAAATTCTTGCAGCACACCACTTGAAAATTGCTGAATTGTACTAGCCAGTCAAAAAGAGAAAAGCTCTAAACACTTTTAGACACTCTGTTTTAGCTGGCTGGTGTAGCTCAGTGGATTGAGCTCGGGCTATGAACCAAAGGGTCGCTGTTTCGATTCCCAGTCAGGGCACATGCCTGGGTTGCAGGCCAGGTCCCCAATGGGGGGCCACGTGAGAGGCAACCACACACTGATGTTTCTCTCCCTCCCTTCCCCTCTCTCTAAAAGTAAATAAATAAGAAATTTAAAAATATTTTTTAAAAAAGAAAATCTGTTTTAGAGCAAGGCAAAAATCATATTAATATAAAACTTTAGTAGTTGGAAATTGTGGAAATCAGTTCTAAAAACTCACTGAGTTTTTTTTTAGTATATTTTATTGATATGCTATTACAGTTGTCCCATTTTTTCTCCCCTTTCCTCCCCTCTGTCCTGCACCACTTCCCACCAGCATTCCCCCCAGTCTTAGTTCACATCTATGGGTGGTTCATATAAATTCTTTGGCTTCTCAATTTCCTATACTACTTGTAACCTCCCCCTGCCTATTTTGTGCCTACCATTTATGCTTCTTATTCCATGTACCTTTTCCCCTATTCTCTCCCTGTCCTCTCCCCCTTGATAACCCTCCATGTGATCTCCATTTCTGTAATTCTGTTTCTATTCTAGTTGTTTGCTTAGTTGTTTTTGGTTTTGTTTTTTAGGTTCAATTGTGGATAGGTGTGAGTTTGTTGTCATTTTACTGTTCATAATTTTGATCTTTTTCTTAGATAAGTCCCTTTAACATTTCATATAATAGGGGCTTGGTGATGATGAACTCCTTTAGCTTGACCTTATCTGGGAAGCACTTTATCTGCCCTTCCATTCTAAATGATAGTTTTGCTGCATAGAGTCATCTTGGATGTAGGTCCTTGCCTTGCATGACTTTGAATACTTCTTTCCAGCCCCTCCTGGCCTGTAAGGTTTCTTTTGAGAAATCAGCTGATACTCTTACAGGAACTCCTTTGTAGGCAACTGTCTCCTCTTCTCTTGCTGTTTCTAAGATTCTCTCCTTATCTTTAATCGTGGATAATGTAATTATGGTGTGCCTCAATGTTTGCTTCCTTGGGTCTAACTTCTTTGGGACTCCCTGAGCCTCCTGGACTTCCTGGAAGCCTATTTCCTTAGCCAGATTAGGGAAGTTCTCCTTCATTAATTTTTCAAATAAGTTTTCAATTTCTTGCTCTTTTGTCTTTCTGGCACCCCTATGACTTGGATGTTCAAATGTTTAAAGTTGTCCTGGAGGTTCCTAAGCCTCTCCTCATTTTTTTGAATTCTTGTTTATTCATTTTGTTCTGGTTGAATGTTTACTTCTTCCTTCTGGTCCAAATTGTTGATTTCAGTCCCAGTTTTCTTCCCTTCACTATTGGTTCCCTATATAGTTTTCTTTATTTCACTTTCCCCCCTATTTTGCAACCATACTCAACCATCTCTGTGCACATCCTGATTACCAGTGTTTTGAACTCAGTGTCTGATATGTTGGCTATCTCTTCATCACTTAGTTCTTTTTCTGAAGTTTTGATCTGTTCTTTTCATTTGGACCGTATTTCTTTGTCTCCAAGTGCCTGTTACTTAGTAAGGGGCGAGCGGAGCCTTAGGTATTCGCCAGTGAGGGGAAACCCACCTTGCTGTGTTATGGCACTGTATGTGGGGGAGAAGTCTGAGAGGAAACAGTGCCACTTGCTCAGCTCTCCAGTGGTTTGCAGTCACTTCCTCCGCTACCCACAAGCAAACTGGGCCCTTCTGGTGCTGGTTCCCGGGTGGGTTTGTGTACATTCTAGGACACTGTGGGTCTCCCCAATGAAAACTCCTGTGAGGCTGGGAGTTTGTCCTGCCGCCTCAACCCCCACAGGTGTTTTCAGTCAGAGGCTTTGAGGCTTTATTTCCCCACACTGGAATGTTGGGTTGTGTGGTCTGTCTCATTCCTCAGTAGTTCCTCCCAGTTTATCCTCACAGAAATGTGGGACCACCATATGATCTCACCTTTAACAGGAAGCTAAACAACAAAACAAACAAGCAAGCAGAAAAAAAAAAAACCCAAAAAACAAAGACACTGAAATAGAGAACAAGGGGATAGTGACCAGAGGGGAGAAGGAAGGGAAGTTAAGGGGAAAAAGGGGGAGGGATTTGGAGGAACAAATAGGAAGGACACAGGGACGAGAACTAAGGGGGGGGTGGAAATGGGAGGGAGGTGGGGAGCAAGGGGCGGGGGGAGGCTGGGATGGGAAAAATAGACAAAAAACTGTACTTGAAAAATAACTAAATAAAATTAAAAAAAAAAAAAAAAAGAAATGTGGGACCACCAGCCACCGTCTCTCCCACCTGGCTCTCCAGCCACCGCCTTGCCATGAGTCCTCTCTGCCGGAGCTGCCCGTCTCTGCCCCTCCTACTGGTCTGGATGAATGTTTCTTCTTTAACTCCTTGGTTGTCAGACTTCCATACAGTTCGATTTTGTGGCAGTTCTGGTTGTTTTTTGTTTTTAAATGTGTTGTTGTCCTTCTTTTGGTTGTGCAAGGAGGTACAGCGTATCTACCTACACATCCATTTTGGCCTCACCAAAGTTTTCACTGTCATTTTTTCCAATGAATGATTAACTAATGTAATTTTATGTCTCCAAATATGTGTTTAAATTAAGTGGATTACATTCACACCTCTACTAGCTGTTTAGAAGCACCTATATGTATAAAAGTCATAGGTGTAATTTTACAGTTTGTCTGGGGTAATGTTTAGCTGTGACCCTAGGGGTGGAGCCCAACTGTCCTCCTCCGTCACTTCCTCCCATCCTTGTCACCCTGCCCACACCTTTTCTCCCCCGCCTACCGACTGACCCTTCTTCTTGTCTGGCAGCTCCACTGTCTCTCTGGGCTGCTTTCCTGATCAGAAATTGTGGTGGAGCCATCAGGAAGTTTCAGTAAAGGAGTGTTGTCAGCCCTCATCACAAAGTGACAGGGAAGTGGGCCTTCACCGTCAGGTACATCCTGAAGAGGGGTGGCCCCGTCAGCCTAGGGATCAGTGGTTGTCTCAGGAAAGGACAGGGTATAAGGATATAAGAATACACATTAGGAGGCATGTTCACATGTCATCAGCATGTGATCCATCTCTGTTAACCTGCTTTCAGATGTTATGTATTACACATGCTATTGTATGTATTTTAAAGTTTTTAAACACCCTTTTCTTTGCTTTATAAATTTTACTGTCCGGGTGTTTTAGTAATTCTGAATGAGCTTCCCCTCAGTCTGTATTGGCGACGTTTTCCCAGTGGTCATGGGGTTGGGGAGGTGAGGGGCTGGGTGCACGGGCCTCGCAGCTGTGGGAATAGCAGTGGGGACCCAGTGTGTGTGTTAACAGGCTCCTGCCAAGGGACCCCAGGCCCTAAATGCAGTTTCCTTGAACACTTCTATTTCCTTTGTAAAGCCATCTGTACTTTTTTTCATTATTTTTAAAATTACAGTTGACATACTGTATTAGTTTCAGGTGTATGACAGTCAGATACCTTACAAATTGATCACGCCCATAAGTCTAGTAGCCATCTGGCGCCATACATAGTTATTACAGTATCATTGACTGTATTTCTATAGTTTATATCCCCATGACTATTTTTATAACTAGCAATTTGTTACTTTTAATAAATGTCTCTTTCTTTAAAAACACACCTAAACAGTGTCTACCAGCAGAAAATGGAATTTTTAATGCACTGCTCTCCTATGGGAAATGTCTGCTCTGTATCCAGCCTGTTCTAAGCTGAGGATTCCGAGTGGACTGTGTCAGACGAGGAAGAAAGATCAGGCTGTCCCTGCAAGTCCAGGCACCCTGTTCCCTGCAGGTCCAGGGCCCTCCTGGCTCAGGCCTTCAGAGGCGGCGCGAGGCCACGGGAAAAGAAACCTGCAATCTGTCCATCAGCTTCAAGAATGTCATTACATCAATGGGATCACGCAGTTTGGAACCTTCTGGGACTGGCTTTTTTCACTCAGCCTGATTCCCTTGATTTCACCCAGACGTGTGCACCAGTGGCTACTTGCTTTTATTGGAGACCGTGGTGCGGGTAGGCAGGAGTTGGTTTACATTTCAAAGATTGAAGGACATTTAGGTATTTTCTAGTTTGGGGCTATTATGAATAAAACTGCTATGAAGATATGTGTACAGATTTTTGTGTGAATAAAACTTCCATTTCTCTGGTATAAAAGCTCAAGAGTTGAATTGCTGGGTCATAGAGTAAATCCATTTTTAGTTTTCAAAGGAATTGTCAAAAATTTTCCTAGAGTGCTGGACAATTTTACTTTCCCGTAAGCAGTGTATGAGAGATCCAGTTCCTCCACATTCTTGTCAGCATTTGGTGTTGGCACTGTTTTTAATTTTAGTCATTCTGATATCTCAGTGTGGTTTAAATTTGCATTTCCCTGGTGGCTAACTATGTTGAATATCTTCCTACGCTCTTATTTGTCATCTTACATGCTCTTGGTGGGGCAGGGATTTTTACTGATGAATTTTGAATGTTCGTATAGTTTAAATATTAGTTGTCAGAAATCCCTTAATGAGGTTTTCACAAAGAAAATTTTTTAAATTTTGAGGAAGTCCAGTTTATTGATTTTTTTCTTTCCTTTTATAGGCTGTGCTTTCAGTGTCAAGATTAAGATCTCTTTGCCTAACCTGGAGTCCAGAGATGGTCTCCTATGCTTTTTTCTAACAGTTTCACAGTTTTGTGTTTTACATTTAACTTCATGATTCATTTAGAATTAATTTTTATCTAAAATGTGAGGTTTAGGGCAAAGTTCCTCCCTCTGTTTTAAAGGTTTCATTTATTTGTTTTTAGAGAAAGGGAAGGAAGGGAGGCAGAGAGACCGAGAAACATCGTTATGCAAGAGACGCATCGATCAGTTGCCTCTCACACACCCCGTGCCAGGGACCTGGCCCACTACACAGGCATGTGCCCTGACTGGGAATCAAACTAGCGACCTTTTGGTTGGGAGGCCTGTGCTCAATCCACTAAGCCACACCAGCCAGGGCAAAGTTCCCTGGTTTTTTTACTTATGACTGCCCAGTTGTTCTACCATCATTTTTGGAAAGGCTGTCCCTCCTCTACTGCATTGCTTTTGTACCGTTGTCAGAAGTCAGAATGCATGTTTGTGTGGGTCAGTTTCAGTGCTTTTTGTTCTATTTCACGGGCCTCTGGCCAGTCCTCCGCCAGGCGCAGCACAGTCCCGGCCGCTGCAGCTGCATGGGGGGAGCCTTCCTGTCAGCAGCGTGATGCCCCCACTTCACTCTTCTTGTTAAAGACTGTTGGAGCTGTTCTAGGGCCTACCCCTTTCCACATAAGCTTTAGAGTAAGCCCGTCTCTCTACAAAATCTTTGCCAGGATTTTGATAGGAATTTCACTGAACCGGGAGGTCTGTTTGAGGATCAGTCCTCCAATTTTAAGTTCTCAGACACTCAGTTGGAACAACAGTGCAGTGTGACAGGGAACTCCACTTATGATACAGTCAGAAATGTGGCAATATCCTGATTCTGGGAGTGCTTTGCACGTGGCAGCAGGAACATCCAAGCAATTGGGAAGATTTTGAACCCTCTAGCTTGGTGGGGTCTAGATTGGTGGGGTTTTGATGGTTACTTACCTTCTAGACCCAAAGTCTAAAGTCACAGTTGGAGAAAATGGGCCTTTTTGGGAAATCAGATGTCTTGCTTGGTGATGGTACTAAAACTGGGATGATTTCATCTTCTTTAAAAATCCATATGACAAATATTCTTGGCTCATTTTTGCTCTAGTTTTTGTAATGTGTGTGGTTGTCACTTCTGCTTTAATCTTGGTCATGCTTGAGTGATCTGGATAGTATCTTGGCTCTGTTTTTCAGCCGGCTTTTACAACTCTTATACCTGGTTTATAGAACCTAATTTTAAATCAGCACCTTCTTACAAGAATAATTCCCTCTTGGACACATTAATGAGACACTAGAATTCATCCTGCTAGGCTGAATCAAGGATAAGCCTGCTATGGATGTTTGTCTATATTTCCATTGTGAAATATTTAATCATAATGCACTTTGATAATTCACAAATCTAAAATTGGTACATTGCAACCTCACCTGGTCTGTCCTTGGTTTAGATGGTCTTTCTCTAGAGTTACATTAGCATCCACATATCCTCCTGTAAACAAACACCATAATGGTATCTGCGATTATCACCGACTGGCACTTTAGAAAAAGAAAAACCTGCACAGAAGCAGGTTTATTTCATGGCACTGTCTGTCTGTCCTGCAGGTTGGGGACATCGTCATGGTCAAGGAGGATGAGACCTTCCCCTGTGACCTGATCTTCCTCTCTAGTAGCCGTGGAGATGGGACCTGCCATGTGACAACCGCCAGCTTAGATGGAGAATCAAGTCACAAAGTAACGTGCCTTTTGTTGGAGACCCTGTGCAGGGCCTTACCTTCCATCCCCAGCTGTGCTCGTGTGGCTAGAAACTAGTGAATACATCATGTTTGGAAAATCAGTGTTTTCAGTGAAAACCCAGGGAGTCAGGCTGACCAAATTGTTTTTTGACTTTTGCTTCTTTCTATTTTGTACTTTTTTCTTTCCACCCTCAGTATCTGTGATATGGAACCATCTTGAGTTAACAGGAATAATTTCATGTTACTTATGTAGCTGTGTCATTTAGGGGAGGTACAAAGTTAAGGATGTAATGAATAGAGTGTTGCAGCTTTGAAAGTTTTCATTTTACCGGTCAAAATTAGTGTCTTCGTGACCCTGGAATTCTGTGAGAAGTCACACATGAGTCTGTATTTTGCCTCACTGTGACTTCAATGAGTGTCTTTTTGTTAAAATACTTAAATAATATCTGAGGGTATAATTAATTTCTTACATTCAGTATGGAATTCTGTACCGGTAGCTGATGCTACAAAATTTTAATTAACAATTATGAAAGAATAGGACATATCACTGTTAATTTTAAGGTTTTCATTATTTTAGAAATCTGGAAGCTTTTAAATTTATACAAGTGAGCGTGTCTCAGTGGATTCAACTATTTCTAAGGCATCAGCTCACAAAATTAGAATTCTAACACAGTACTTAACCAATACCTATGGATATAGGTAATTTCTAGGATGGAAAAAAGAAATTTTTTTTTGCAAAAAGACTAAAGGATATGCTAATCTTCTATGAATAACTCAAGGTATTATTGCATAAAGCCCTGTGGGGTTTTTCCGACACCTACTTGCACATTTTCTGTGTAGCATTCCCCAGGAGAGTCGACCTTCTGGCACAAGCAGCTGTGAGCAACAGTGATTCTGGGACTGGAAATCCCGGGGTAGGGGTAGTTGTCAAGTGTTTATTGTAACCTGCCACAGGTCTCTGGAGTGTAGGAACGGTATGTTCCTGTCCTTCCCGACAATGTGTCTAAATATCCTCCTATCTTTCTCTCTTATCATCAAATGCCGGACAAATAAAGTGTGTGATAAATCAACAAAACAAGTAGAGCCGCACACCCTCGCTGTTGGCAGCGGGCTGCCCTCCCCCTCCCGTCCCTCGGGGGGGATGTTGTTGTCCAGATGCTTCTCAGCATCGCTGTTGAACAGATGCTGCAGGCCTGCATGTGCGTCACTCTTTTCAGGATAAAATTTTGTAGCAGTCCAGACTGGCAGGCATTATTACAGATTCCATGCTTCACTTTGACCTTTTGTGTGTTGTGCCCAGCATGTTAAATGTGTGCCCTCTGGTGTCATTTCTGTGCATTGTGTTTGGCCTGGGGGCTGGGTAGATCTGAGCCCTTTCCTTAAAAGAGGAGTAGGGAGCGGGACTCCCGCACTGGTAACACGTACTGCTTGTGTGACCCTGGCAGACCTTCGACCTCTCTGGAGTTTTCACGTCTGTAAAACGGGCAGACCTGCCTACCAGGGGCCCTTGTGAGGACATAATTAGAAAGTCTCCCAAAGTGTGCGACGCACAGTAGATGCCTCTGAGATGTTGTAAATGCTGATGGTGCTGACAGGATTGTATCTCCTGTGGTGGATTTATTGAACCCTTCAATTCGTCTCTAACACTTGATTATTAGAGAGAAAGATAAGAGAGACGGAGAGATGCGTTCTCCTTCCCCAGGCCCTCCTGCACAAGCGTTTCTTTCCTCCCTCCTCCCAAGGTGAGCCCACCTGGTCACACTTACTAATCCCATCTGGGCCAGTGGTCTCCCAGGAGGGCCCCAGACCAGCAGCACAGGCATCCCACTGGATCGAGTAGGAAATGCAGTCCTCGGGCCCACCCCTGCCCCAGGGCAGCAGAAGCTCTGGGGTGGGGCTGCGAATTTCGTTTCCTGCGTGATCCCCCATGGGGTCCAGGAGTCAGTGCCTCATGGCCCCCATGGGGGTTCTGATGAACATTCAGGTTTGAGGGGCCCTTGGGCGGAGGCCAGGTGAGGAGCTATGCAGAAAGCCTACTACACTCCCCTAACAGTGTCAGGCGAGGCAGTTCCTGATCCTGACGGCAGCTCTCCACACACAATAGGGTGTTATATGAGCAAAAAGGAATATTTTAGCTTCTAAATTCGTTGCCTAATTAATAGTCACCACTGTGACAGATAAATGAAGGTGTCCAATTTTGAAGAATTCCAAGTGTTGCTGTTAGTTTTAAGTTGAAGACACTAGGTAAGAATGCAAGAACTTTCTGACACCTAATAGACATAGGAATAACAGTAGTAATCTATAAATTGATAACTTCAGCATTTGCAAACTCTTTATTATACTTTCCTCCTATGTTAATCAGGCTTTGTGATTGGTCTTGTTTATATGCACAAAATATTCGATGCTGGGGCTGCCCTGATTGGAGGCGTTGGCTGCTAGGTTTGTTTGTGTTTCTCATTTTGTTGTGAATTCCCATTTCTTGTCAATCTGTAGACACATTACGCAGTTCAAGACACAAAGGGATTTCATACCGAAGAAGATGTAGATGGCCTGCACGCCACCATTGAGTGCGAGCAGCCGCAGCCCGACCTCTACAAGTAAGCGGGCTCTGTGTTCCCCAGTGTCTCTCTATCCCCAGCGTGCTTCTTGCTCTCCGCCCCAAAGAGTCTGGCAGCCCAGTTGTTAGGAAAGAGAGTGTAAATCACTGCTAAACAGTTAAGACCAAGTTAAAAAAAATAGGGTGCTTACATATTTTCAGAGTCCAGCAACATTTAAATCTATAGCTACTTATATAAACATTAGAAGTGACTTAATGGAACTGAATTTGTTGCAGAAAAAAAATTTTCCGGTATTTTGAGAAAGTGATTTGAAGGAAAATCATTTAAGTCATGGGTTCATAAGAATAGGAAGTAGTCAACTGAGAAAAGAGGAGGAAGGTAGAGTGGTTTCGCCACATGTGGATATGCTTTTGAGCAAAGAATCCCAGGTCATGCGCCCACATCTTCTTTCTTGGAGGCGGGAGGGCAGGTGTGCAGGACAGGGCACTTCCGGTCTGCCTCTCCCAGTTGCTGCCGTCTCAGTAACCTCACTTTTCTGTTGCCAGGTTTGTGGGCCGCATAAATGTTTACAATGATCAGAATGACCCCGTGGTGAGGTAAGGAGATGTGCTTCTTCTAAACACGTCTAGAGATTTCTTTCTCTATATTTTTAAGTTGTAAGTGAATTTTTTTACTGATAAGAGTTAGGGGGTTTTTTGTTGCTGCTTATTGGGCTTTGAAAACAGAATTCTACTTTCCCAGAAGTCCTGGCTCTAGTGTTTTTTTATTTCTTTTGTGTGTACACTGTAGGTGTTAATGAATTAAGACGCTGGTGGGAAATGTTCTCTCACAAGATTCTGCTGAGGGTCTTGGAGCAGGGAAAGTTCAGGAGCATCTTACAGTTCTAAGGCAAAGGGGAGGGTGCGGTTCCCCCCATTAGAAATTCCCTTTCATAATTTACAGACAAGTATGTTGTCATCAACCATGAAGCTGTGAGATTTCTGACTTGGAAGTCCTTTTATTAGAATGTATGAGCCTCCTCAAAGTCATCACTGGGATACATTTTTGGCTCTGGATTTCGTAGAGACTTGAGGGCATGTGCCTCACAAGGGCCTGGCACAGGCTCACATCCACTCGGGATGTAGGACCCTGTCATCCGGGCATTGTTGTGACCAGTGCAGGTCACAGGCGGGTTTGCCCACGTGCCTGTGGTCAGCACAGGTGTGAGCTGGTCCCACCCAGCCCCCATCTCTCTGCTTCTGTGCTACGTCTGGGCCTGTGGACATTTTACCTGGACATTGTTTCGAGATCCTGGCACTTCTTTGCTGCTGAAGTATTCAAGGTCTACAATTTAGGAAATTGTCTTTAAGTAGGTTTAGAAGTTGATCCTTTTTGTAAACCTCAGTTGTTAGACTAATTTTTCCAATTTAAGCAGTCTCCAAATTGCTGGTGTCCTGGTAGTACTTCATATATTTTAAAAAAAAGTGCTCAGATGTAAAATAAAGTCAATGGGAAATTGCTGCAAAATAATGTTACTGAAATATAATTCATTAGGGCTTATCTCCTTGGGAGGCCCCTGAAACGATTTGTCTTAAGGAAATAATTTGTGCACTTCCTAGCATGTTTTTTATCATCATTATTTATCAGCTGGTTAGTTGGTGCTTTTCAGAATTTATGAAGGCATTGCCATGGTCTTTCTGAAATATTAGTCTACAGCTAATTCCTAGTTACTCTGGAGAAACAACCTGTATTTCTGTGTCTTGTGTGAATTAGTGTTTGAACAAGTAATAGAGTTAGATTTATTCGTACTACTAATGAAATGAATCCAAAAATAGAGCAGGCTTTTCATGCTTTGTACTTAGACAAAGTTTAGTGCTGAGCAGCTTGGGAAGGTAATTACCAATATGTTTTGTATTTTGAGAACAATTCTACTTAGCTTTTTATGTATTTATACTATTCAGGCTTTTAATATTTGGGTATTTAAAGATATTTATAAATTTGTGGTATGGACAGTTATGAATTATATATGTAAGTTCTTAATCCATTCAGGGTAATATTTCTTCATCCTCCTGTCCAGACTAGAAGCAAAGTACTTTTTAAAGTAAATTACTTTCAGACTTCTGAGAGCCACCTTTTAAAGGGGCCATTTGTTTCCATGAGCACGTTCAATGTGAATTATTATAGGAGTGTTGCTCACAGAGGCTGACAGCACTTACCATGCAGCCAGACAGCCGCAAACGTGCAGCCCCGGGAGTTCTGGCAGGCAGGCTGCTCATGGCTGCAGGCCCGGGGAAGGGGTTGAGACCAGCGGGCAGCCCTGGGCAGGCATGTCGGGTCAGGTGCGTCCCAGGCAACTCTCCCCTCTCGGCACCCCCCTCTCGGGCTCATCTTCAGCTGGACACAGTCCTGAACTGTGTCAGCCAAGTTTACTGAACACGTTTTAAGTTCATAGCGTTCAGTAAGTTCTCAACATTTGATGTATAGTTAAAGAAAATTAAATATACTGAAAAAGTAAAAAAGCAAACTTCAGCAAATGCTTTCAACTCTTTCCCTCTCCCTTCCAAAGAAAATCAGTAGAATGCTGACAATAGCAAAATTTGTAGAGTTGAATTCTGCTGCCCATTTCTGTTTTATTTGCGGGAAATGAGAAGACATATGTACTTCATCAACAAAGGGAACTACTAGAATATGAACCTTCTAGAGGCAGATTCTGTCTGTTGCTCCCTCTGGAGTGTTGAGTGCTTAGGGCAATGCTTGTTCTTACATGAGTGATTTTTAAATTCCGTGGCTGTTGCCTCTTTCCCCCCAAGGCAGCAATGCACGAATTGTTCCTGATGTATAGGGCACCTGCATTCCGAGGGTCTCTGTGGACTTGATGGCCAGTGTTTATAAATGCAGTGTCCCGGCCTTCATCTTTAAAGTTTGATTGTATGACATGAGACACTCTGAGTCTCCCTAAGGATGGGATCGGAACAGCTCGATGCCACCTAAGTCACAGGCACCACCCTTCCACTTTTCCAGAACATTTGGGGGTGCTCCATTCCACCGATCCTCAAGCCTGAGGCCTGTTAGGAGCCGGTTTCTGGTTCAGTCTGTCAAGTCGACACTTTTGACAAGTCCCAGGTGCTGCTGGTGGCACTGGTATGGGGACCCCACTTGTCATCCCACCACTCTCATGAGCAGTTCTTAACAGAATGTTGTTAAGACTTTCAGATCTGCCTCAGTGGGCCTAGGGTGGGGCTGGGAGCCTGCATTCCTGACAAGGGCCACGCTGGGACAGCAGGTGCTTGCAAGGCTGGGACTCCGTGGAACTCTTCCAGCAGAGCAAGTGCTTAGCCTCCTGCAGGTAAAGATCACACACACTTTCACATGGACCCAGGCCAACTTTGCCAATGTAAATATAAGCAAATCTGCATTTAGACCGGTTCCTCTTAAAATGAAGTCTGTCTGCACACGAATGGACTTTTACCTTGCGGCGTGCCTTCGTGACGACTTCATCGCCCTGTTTCTGGCTCTCCTTGTCTTTGCAGGCCATTAGGATCGGAAAACTTGCTTCTTAGAGGAGCCACACTAAAGAACACCGAGAAAATCTTCGGTAAATGTTTGAACTAGTCAGTTATTAATAATAGCCTCTAAAATTAAGGTACATTACGTAATTAAAATAGTGGCACCATGAAAGAATCCCTTGTGCTTGGAGGCACCGCAGACCTGCCAGCGGCGACGGTCCTGCCTCCCTGAGAAGACTGGGGTTGGTGCGCCACCACAGCCCGTAAAGCAGCGGCCTCTGAGGGTGCTGTGTCGCTATTACGTGCCTGTAGTTTTGGACTCAGAAATATGAAGCGAGTCTTTGGAAGAGTTCACACAGTATATCTGGTCACAAATTTCTTCTAGTGGCTGCATTTCTTTGTTAGTATCTCCCATTTTGGGGTGAGTTATTTTTATATTTTAATTAAAATGAGACAACTTAAAATGTATAGATGTGCCCTATAGTAGGAAAACTCAACTTATTAAAATCTGAAGTTTAAAAAAAAATTCAGATTTTCTCTATGCAGGAAATGAAAAAGAATTCCTTTAGTCTAAAGAATCCCGATGTGTGACTGTTTATGAACAGCTAGCTTGCCTAGTAAAATTAAAAATGTAATTTTGGATAAAATAGAATTTATCCAAAATCCCATTTTAATTTTTAGCTGTGTGTAACTTACTGTGTAAAGGCAAATATAGTTATGCTATTGTTCTGACATTTATTCTTCTATGTTATAGGTGTTGCTATTTACACAGGCATGGAAACCAAAATGGCGTTAAATTATCAGTCAAAATCCCAGAAACGATCTGCTGTGGAAAAGTAAGTTTCAGCCCCCCCCCCCGTTGGTTGGAGTGCATAAATTTCTGTGACTTAACACTATCCCAAACCACTGTCCATATGAAAATGTTTTTCTCTTGGCCTTATTAGCAGTTTCTTCATGGTGTCTACATAGACAGTAGAGCCAATTATTTAGATCAGCGGTCTTATTTCGTGGGGGTGTGAATGGCCTCACACCTTGAAGCCCACTTCCGCAGGCTCCCTCGTGTGGACGCCCGTGGACGCCCGTGGACGCCCGTGGATGCCCGGAAGCCCCAGTCCCCAGTCATTTGCAAATGCTCAACAGCCCCTCCCACCACTTCATGAAAAAGTCCGAATAGGACCATTTTTAATCTGGGGTGTTGAAAACCACGTTTTACTAAGGAAAGCATCAGTAGGAGAGAACAGAGTCTTCCTTTTAGTAAACTATGAAATCCTTATAAAACTGAGTCAAGGAGAAAGTCGAGTTTATAAGAAAATGTGGCCCAAAATTTCTTTGTCTTTGCTTCGTGTAAAGCGTATCCGTGACTTGCAGTGGACCGCTGAGTGGATACAAATTATTTAACAAAACGCTGCCCACTGCGTAGAGATCGGGGGTAAGGCTGTTAGGGTGTCTTCTGCACACACTGGAAATGTCAGTCTCAAAATGCGATCCTGGTTCCTGGTCCATCTCTGGCTACATCAAGGATGAAAATGCAGATTTGGTTCTTAAGCAAGAATGCTTTATTTCCAGAAGTCTACATTGACAAGTAGGTTTCGAAATAGATACTGGAAAATCACAGATTCTCCACAAGGTCTGCTAAGACCTTGGCCAAGGAGTCAGCATTATCCTCACTCTGAGAGCATTGCCTTTAGCGTGGACTTCCCTCCCTCCCTCCCTCCTTGGTGGTAGTAGTCTCTAAATTTGGAACTCACTGACTGATGCTCAGTGGTAGAAGAAATTGATTTCTGGATGTTCTTTAAATGATAGAATCCTGCTCCGTGCAGAAACCCTGGTCAGCAATGTGGTTGTGGCGGTGTTTTCTCTCCTGTTTACAGGACTTTCCCTTCACTTAGCTGTTTCCCTTGTGGCATCTAGAATCACAGCTGGTGACCACAGAGGAGAGACAGATACATTTCTGTTTCACTGTGTCAGTTGATTGGGGGAGACGCCATTAAAACTCATTGCTGTGCTATTGCTAATCTGTTCTGTCACGGTGTGTTCGTCTCGACACACAGCTGTGCAGGTCTCAGTTGTTCAGGGAGCAGGAACTCAGTCACATCCCTGTCTTGTGTTTCAGGTCAATGAATGTATTCCTCATTGTGTACCTCTGCATTCTGATCAGTAAAGCACTGATAAATACTGTCCTGAAATACGTGTGGCAGAGTGAACCATTCCGAGATGAGCCGTGGTATAATCAGAAAACTGAAGCAGAAAGACAGCGGAACCTGGTATGGAAAGTGATAGATATCCTTTGCAGTGATCAAAGATGCCCTGGAGGCCATTGTTATGAAAATGTGTTAATGAGAACCTGATGAAGTTGTGACGAATTAAATCTTTGTGATAGATTCATTCATTGATATGGAAAGTATCAGTTGCCTCTCTAGCTGTAGACACTGGTTGCTCTTGCCTTCTTTGGGTATTTGAATATACAGGTCTGGAAAGGTACTGATTTCCATAGTAAATTCACATGGACACACTTCAGATACTTTTGGTGTTTCCAGAACCCGGTGCAGCATCCCATATTTAGAGGATGCGCAGTGAATGCTCATTAATGGTTGTGAGGTAAATGGTGCTTACTTAGGGTACGTACACGGAAAAAAGGAGAATCTCGATTATGTGGAAGTTAGGGTAAAAATTGGTTTCATTTTTCCTTAGGAGATTTCAGTTCAGCTGCCCATGTTTATCAAAAGTATTTTTCCCAAAGTCAGTGTATTAAAATGATTTAATTGAATCTCTTCTCCTGAGAACAGTATAGTTTTCTGGTTGGTCTTACTTAGTCCAGACCTGAGCTATGTGTCAGCTCAGTACAGAGTGGGGCTGTGTGCAAATCCAGACCAGTGTCAGCTCGGTTCAGAGTGGGGCTGTGTGCAAATCCAGACCAGTGTCAGCTCAGTTCAGAGTGGGGCTGTGTGCAAATCCAGACCAGTGTCAGCTCGGTACAGAGTGGGGCTGTGTGCAAATCCAGACCAGTGTCAGCTCGGTACAGAGTGGGGCTGTGTGCAAATCCAGACCAGTGTCAGCTCGGTACAAAGTGGGGCTGTGTGCAAATCCAGACCAATGTCAGCTCAGTACAAAGTGGGGCTGTGTGCAAATCCAGACCAGTGTCAGCTCAGTGCAGACCTGAACTACGTATAACTGTCGACCTAGGGCCCACTGAGTCCAGATCAGGTCTAATTCAAATCCAGACCAGGACCCACTAAGTTCAGAGTGGGGCTTTGTATGAATCTACACCAGAGTCCACTGAGTCCAGAGTGGGGTTTGTGCAAATCCAGATCCTGGCCCACTGAGTCCAGAGCAGGTCGGGTACAAAAGCAGACCTGCGTTGGCTGAGTCCAGCATGGGGTTTGTGTAAATCCAGACTAGGGTCCCTACTTCTTCCCTGTGTTCAGTTGGGCCTCCTGTAAATTTAAATGGCTTAGAAATAAGGACAAAACTATACAGAAAACTCATTTGTACCAGACTGATACTTTTGGCATCTATGGGTCATTACACTGTAGCCAGTTGGGCATTTGTCAGAGTCTCCAAGGAAACTGGGAGTGTTCAAAATGTAAAGTTTCCCACCGGCTCTCTGTTGGGAGACCTGTCTCCTGACAGTGGGACTAACAGGTGATTTAATCCCCAGCCCAGCACAGGCCCTGAGGCCACTGCAGTGCTAAAATTGTAGTGACAGGCAAGCAAACCTTATCTTTGGATTTGAAAGACTCGTCTCTAAAAACTGCACTTGTATGAATTGTTCCTAAGTTTTAATGGTGGTGCTGCTGCTACGCAGATGTGGGTGATCACACGGTGTGCTCTCAGTTTCTCAGGGCGTTCACGGACTTCCTGGCCTTCATGGTTCTGTTCAACTACATCATCCCCGTGTCCATGTACGTCACAGTGGAGATGCAGAAGTTCCTTGGCTCCTATTTCATCACTTGGGATGAAGAAATGTTTGATGAAGAGATGGGGGAAGGGCCTCTGGTCAACACCTCAGATTTAAATGAAGAGTTGGGACAGGTCAGCGTCTCCCAAATTGTCTTTCATAATCTTCTGCAGATCGAGCCCCTCCGTTGTCTGTTCCCAGGCAGCTAGATTCTAAGTGATTTCTGTCATGTAGGCACATCACCAGCTGGTCAGATGACAACTTTCCCATTTTAATTTGTGCAGAGAGATACAGCCTTTCACTGGCGAAAGACAACAACAAGCTTTTTTTTTTTAACTTTAATTATATGACAATCGGTAGGTTTTATATTTACAAGTTATGCAGAATTAATTACATTACCTGGTGGACACCAGCTCATCCATGGCCTAAATGGTGCTCATTTAGAGTAATGCTGCGCATTGATGTGAAGGGGTAAAAGTGAGCTGGCGTTCATTGAGTGCCTGTACAGGCATTGCCCTCAGCTTTGATCCCTGATTTCCTTCACTTCGGACAGCGAGCCAACTACTCTCAATTTTAAAGACGAGCAAAGTGAGACCCCAGGGAGTCTCAATTGCCTGCTGTATTGCAGGGTTCAAAATTCCTACACTGAAGTCCTGCTGCACATTGACAACTTCATGGCAGGGGGCAAGGGACCAGGGCTCGGTGCACCTTGAGCTTCTCAATCTGTAAAATGGGCATAATAACAGGTACCTGCCTTGCCAGACTGTAGTAGGGATTGAATGAGGTAAGAGGTGAGGCACCCATCACAGTGTCTAATAAGAACTGCCATGCTTGAGAATCATTGCTGTCCAGGATCACCTGGATGCAGGGCAGAGCCCACACTCACTCCAGTCTACCCGACCCCAAACTCAGCCTCTCCCTGGAAAAAGAGCTAAGGAGAGGCCTGTCCCCCCAACTTTGGTTCTCTGGCCTTTACTGGGAGCCTTCCCACCGCCCCCAGTCTAACCTTTCCCTTCATTTAAGTTGCAAGAAAGGGCATTTGGTAAATGGTAATTTATTATTATTTTTTTAACAGGAAGAAATAAGTGTTGAGTAGTATTTTTTCAAACAGAGCTATTTTAGACGAGTAGCTGAAATCCACTCCCTTGTGGCCCCAGAACAGCAGTCTGTAATAGATGCTGAGACTCTGATAGATACATATTTTGCTTGTTCATGAATTTGACTTTGAATGCGTTCCTCCAGGACATCCCACAGCCCTGGCGTGGCGTATTGTCTCAGTCAGCAAGGTGCAAATCACACTGGCTGCTCGTTACTAGAATATCCTTACCTCTATGGATTTCATATCCTTTACAATAATAAATGGCATATTTTGTGCACTCCTGAGAAATTCATGGAGGAAAGATTTTTTTCTGTAACAAGAAAAATGTAGAGCTCTGTGCAGAGCAGCAAATTATTGCAACTCAAAGCCTGAGAATGACTTTATAACACCGGTGCTCCAGAGATTTGTGCAAAGGCTTGTTTTAGAGGAGCAGACATTGTGAAATACTCATTATTATTGTGGCTCCTCACTTTGAACGAAGTCAGGTGTCATTCACTTCAAACAACGTGACCACCTCTGCCAGGAAGCAAGCTTGCACGTGGACAGTGCTCAGGCGGCTAACCTTCCAGATCGTGGGGAGAGGCTCAGCAGAGTTTTAGGCAAGCATTTAATGGCAGATTTATTTAGGTAACTCATAGGGCACTATTTTGTGCTTATCAGTTACATATTAGAGCCAAGCATGCATGGAAAAGGCATTTTCTGCTGTGGGACCGACAGCAGAAAAGAACATTTTCCTGAGAGACCGAACTGAAAAGGCACACTGTAAAACACGTAGCTGGTTTTATTATACGTCTTTTATGCCTCCCACACCCTGTACTTTATTATTTTAAACTCTGCCTCTGTGTCCGCGTGTCGGAGGGACTGAGCCTGTACTCGGCACCCTGGACGCCTCCCCTGCGCCCGCGGACCAGCAGGCGTCTGACAGGGTGACGCACTCGCCGCGCTGCCAGCTGCCAGGACTCCTCGCCTTCTTTCAGTTACCCGCGAGGAATACACGCCTGAGTTTATCTAGATTCAGGATCCAAAGCCAGTTGTAGTTGTCACACTTTTCATGGTTTTTCTATCTGAAATTTGTTCTGCTCTTTTATTTGTTTGAATTGTATCTTCTAAACCTTAAATGGTAGGGTGATTTCGACCTCCCAGACCTTATCTAATGAGTTTATTGTAGTTCCATCCTTGAGTTTTTGTTGGATAAGATTTAAGTCTACAGCCCCTGGAAGGCTGGCTCCACCCACTGCTCCCACCCACCGTAAAGTGACCGAGGGAATGTGTTCTCTGAGCTGCACATCCAGAGAAAGGGACAACTGCCTTTGTTCCGGGGAGCCTCCCGGCCAGAGCAGCCCCGCCCAGCCAGCCCTGTGTCCGCAGGTGGAGTACATCTTCACGGACAAGACCGGCACCCTCACGGAGAACAACATGGAGTTCAAGGAGTGCTGCATCGAGGGCCATGTCTACGTGCCGCACGCCATCTGCAACGGGCAGGTCCTCCCCAGCGCTTCCGGCATCGACATGATCGACTCTTCCCCAGGCGTCAGTGGGAGGGTAGGCGGCCCCTCTCCTGGCAGGTGTTTTCCCTTTAGAGGTCGTCACTGTCACACTATCCCAGTGCCTGGTGTCACCTCTTGTTCTGGGACCCAGGAAAGACATGAACTTTCCAGCGACTTGAGTGAGAACAGTGAGATGCCACCAGTGAATCTGGCCAGTCACATTTCTAGGGACAGCTTTAGAAGTGTGGACCAACAGGGCAAATGGGGGACTGTGGGCAAAGTGACCTGTACACCACATGTGCTTGTGCTCATATACATGTACACACACTCAAGCACGCGTGTGAGCCCACATGTGTGTGTATATATACCAGTGTGTGCACAGATGTGTCTCATGTGTGCATGCATGTCCACACATGCACACGGCTGTACCTCTCACATGTACCCTCATGTGTCCACACAGTTACAGGCACACACTGCATTTACACTCACACACACAGACATGCATGCACATGTGGGGTGCACACGTACACCATCTGCTGTGGCTTCAGATCTCAGCGTTTCTAGGAGGAAGCCGTGACCCTCATCAGTGGTCAGCCAGGAGGCCAATCCAGAATGCCTGGTGACTGCAGAGCCCTGCGTGGAGTCCCCTGGGGCACCAGGATGCCTGCCTTAGTGAGCTGTGTTGTGATAGCCTTTTGTGTCCAAGCAAACCACACGCCCACAACATTCGTCTCCGGTGATTCCAATACAGAAACCGCCATTTCATCCCAGTCTGAGAGGAGAGGGGCAGGTGGTATTGGCCTTTGTGCGCCATTCCACAGGCACTGCCCCTCTTGCCACCTGCTGGAACTCCCCCACCTGGCATGCGTGATGCGAGTCCAGCCTTTCTTGGCCTCCCTCGGCCGTGTGGCATCCAGGACCCCCGAGGAAGCTTTCTGGACTCCAAGGGAATCCAGGATCCAGAAGCCCTGCCGTACTGCCTCAGCTGGTCTAAGGCTCCATCCTGCCGTGTTCTCCTCTTGTGACCCTGACCCTGTCACCTCATCTCACTAAACATTCATTTCCTTTCAGTCCTCATAGCCCAGTGGTCTTGACTGTAACTACCATCGAAGTGCTCAAGAACGAATGAAAGCACAGTTATACTCTATCTCCTGACCACCAAAGGCACACTAACCCTAACCCTAACCCTAAAAGTTGCTTGTCCTGCTTTGTTGTCTTCTGTTTATTTCCTGACTCCTCTACGCTGATATCCATAGACGTGTGGGGTTTTTGTACTGCATTTTTATAGGAACGAGAAGAGCTGTTTTTCCGGGCCCTCTGTTTGTGCCACACCATCCAAGTGAAAGATGACGACGACGTGGACGGGCCCAGGAAGTCACCAGACTCGGGGAAATCCTGTGTGTACATATCGTCCTCGCCCGATGAGGTGGCCTTAGTCGAGGGTATCCAGAGGTATGTCTGGCTGCACTCGAGTCGGGTCCCAGATGTGCGGGGTGTGCGATCTGGTCCTGGAGTCCTTCTCAGCCCCCAGCAGTGTGCTGCTGGACTCCTGCTGGGGGCGTCCGGGTCAGGCCCCTGGGCCTGGGGTGCTTGCCGGGGGTGAGCCAAGCGGGTCCTGCCTTCGTGCCCAGTGTTGCCCCGACCTCCACGTCGGTAGAGCAGTCCCTGCTGAGTACAGCCTGCCATCGGCGTTTTTCCTCCTCACTTCTTCGATAAGACGGTTAGAGGCCATTCTAAATAATGATAGGCTTTTAAAGATGCACACAGCCTTGGACACCCTTATGAAAAGTCTTCCTCATCTGTGCTAAAGAATCGATGCCCGGAGATGTCACACAACTTTCCCAAAGTCCTGCAGCGTGGAAAGGGATGAGGCTGGAGTGCTGGGGCTTTGCTGCCCTTGGCTTCCCTTTCTTTGTGTCAGTCACGTTAAGTCTGTGCTTCTTTGCGTAGACTTAATACTCACCTGCCTTCGACATCTTTTTATTGGGAGTCCTTGCTGCCTCATGACATGTGGCAATTAAGCAAACACTTGGAAAAATACTTAAAATATTCCAGATATGTGGCATAATTTCAAGTCAAGGGAAATGTTTTTCCAGTTATCACAGCATACTGTTTGAATTTAACACTAATGGTACTGATCTGCCCTGTTTGCTGCCATTGACGAGCAGGCCTTGAGTACCTCTCATCCAGTTAGAACAGCGTTTTTGTTGTGGACTGAACTAATGTGTGTTTTCCATGCAGTTTAAGTCGTGACATTAGGTGTGCAAGTCATGCCACTTCAGACCTCATTGAATGTAGAGATACACACACACATGTGGGAGGTTTCTCAAAGCTAGAATTCTCTCTCATTGGAAGATGAGCCTTCGGAAATTAAACCACATTCAGTCATAGATATAAGAAGTTAGGACTTGCTGTTCTGCCTGTCATTGTAGACTCACCTGCAGCCGCCCCACCAGCTCCTGCCTGGGTTGGGTCCCCAGGGTCCCGTAGCGCCTTTATACCATTGTGGCTCCATGCTCTATTAGAATGGGATATGTCCACCTCCCGTATCTATAAGCTCCCGGAGGCCAGAAGCCATGCCCTCCTCCTCCTTGCACTCCCAGCAGGTGCCCAACCAGCACACGGCGTGACGTGACTGCTAGTAGGAGGTTGTCACAGACTAGGGGCTCCACAGATGTTTGCTGACTGGCTACCTGCCTTGAGTGTGTGTTCTCATCAGCAAAATGACAGTGTGGAGATTGACAGTCTCTCAGGGTCCTTCTAATTCTGACATGTAACCTCTACTAAACCATCCCACTAATTAGTGCATAAAAATGGGTCAGTACAGGCAGGAGCCGATCCACAGACCTACGGTCTTCCTGAAACCTGCCAGCACCTGCCAATAAGAATGCACCTCATTGATGAAGCGCTTGGGAGAGGAAACCAAAACTTATTTACGTTCTTGGGGAATTTTTTGAGATGGCAAATAAATTCAGTATTATAATTTCCTAAGTTTATAATTCAGTTTACTACCTTTGACCAGAAATACTTTTTTTTAAAGAGAGCTTTACCAAACTGTAAGACAAATATTCTATGAAAGAGAAATATCAAAATTTCATATTTACCACTGGTTTTGTCTTCTCTTTTGCAGACTTGGTTTTACATACCTAAGGCTAAAGGATAATTACATGGAGATATTAAACAGGGACAATGACATTGAAAGGTAAGCATATTATACATTAAATTATGATGGTAATAAAGAATTGCTCTGACGAAGTCTATCCACTGGGGGAAAATCCAAATTCTCCGTACTCCTCCCATAACTCATTCCCCCCTCTTCTCAGTAGCAGCCCCCAAAATGTCACAGAAACACCTGGAGAATCTGAGTTGGACAGTTAGAGGAGAAGCTGGTTGGGTGGTGCCACATCACTGAAAAGGTTTCCGGTTAAGTCACCTAAAATCAGGTTTTACTGCAAGGATTCTCAAAGCTCCCAGCGTGTCCTAGCACTCCCCCAGCCAGGCTCTGACGCTCCCTGGTTGGGGGGAGTAAGCGCCTCCCCAAGGAGTGGCCCGGGAACCCTGTGCTCACAGAGCGCCAGTCCGGGCGGCCGTGGAGCACAGTGTCCTGTAGGAAACTGTCAGAGGCAGTGCAGCCCTGGACCAACCAGGGGGATCGGCGCTGTGTGGTTTCCCTCTCCAAGTCTTTAGCACCCACACGCTTTCAACTTTTAGGAACCGTCTCTCTAAAATTACTGGTGCTAGAGAAAGATGTTCTGTCTTGAATTTTGATTCAGAAGATCAGGTAGTCTGTCTGTCCTATGTAGATAAACATAAATAAGCAGGAATGGATATAGGCAAAGACAGGTGGGGAAAAACATGAGACTTCCTGGTGATGGCTTCAGAAACACTGGATTTTAAATATTCCATCTAGAAAATAAACTCCCAGGTTGTCGGAAGCGACGAACCCCTTGACTCTCCAGAACTGGCTGCCGGGGCCTAGATCCGAGTAGCCGGGGTTCCTCCCTGCAGTGAGGGGCTTCCTAGGAGTTGTGAGGCCACCCCTGGGAGCAGGGGCAGAGTGACATCTGCTGTCAGCAGCATGATGGCAAACACAAGGCCCAAGGGCCAAATCAGGCCAAATCCGGCCCTCCGCCTTGTTTTATCCAGCCTGGCACCTTGTTTCTGCCCAGAGGCAGCACCGAGCTCTCGCTTAACTGTTAAGAAATAGTTACGTTTACACAGTCCTGAAATTGCGTTCGGCCCTCTGAAGGCAGCCTCAAGGCTGAGGTGGCCCCCGGTGAAGACGAGTTTGACATCCCTGCTCCAAACCCTAAGGAGCTTGCAGAGGTAGTGTCAGGGATGGCTGAGCCACTTTTCAGTATTTGAAATGCCAGGCAGAAATCATGCACCTTCTGATAATAAGACTGCAGAAGCTGACTGAATATCAGTAATCTGCTTTTTAAATGATTTTTATTAATTTAAAGGACACTGGTTTATTATCAGTGATCAAAAGCTCTGTTATACCACCTGTGGGTTTGTGTTCAACAGAATTTAGGAAAGCGAATCGGCAGGTAAGATACATAGTTTGTTCAATGTACAGACTCCACGAGCAACGTGCTGGGGCTGGGAGGCAGCTCTCCAGGCCAGGGTCCGGGCGGTGGGGAGATGAGAGCCTTCCTCTGTCCCCTGCAGAACACCGGTGCCAGCAGCAGGGGCAGCATCACCAGTCATATTAACCCAGACACTTGCACTGTGTCTGTGGAGGGAACTGCTCTACCTCCAGGTGCCTCCTTGAAAGAGCTGCTTGGCACGGCTGCCCTCCAGGGAGGGGTGGGGGTGCGGCAGGATGGAGGGGATGCTCTTAAAGGCCTGGGCTGGGTGGGGAGAGGACTGCCCCTGACACTCCTCTGGAAAGGCTAATTAATGCCCAGATGTCACGGCACACAAAGCAAAATGGATATTAAAAACCACTTTTAATCTTTTCTCCAGGTTTGAATTGCTGGAAATTTTGAGTTTTGACTCAGTACGAAGGAGAATGAGTGTAATTGTGAGATCTGCTACAGGTAGAATTTATTTTACCTTAATGTCTTAAATTATACGTTGTGGTTGTGTTTTACTTTGACACATTCTTTAGGAGCTTTAAAGAGTTAACCATTTATTCTCTACATTTAAAAAACATAGATGAACCAACTATAGGTCACACAACTCCTCACCCCCATGGTGGGTCACACAGCTGCTCACACTCACTGTAGGTGACGACACTTCTCGGCTCCTCACGTTCCTGTTACTCTCCCTGCCACCTTAGGCTGGCAGGTTCACTCACCTTTGGTTTTCCCTCAACTGAAGCCCTGCTCATGCCCTTGCAGTCCTCGTGCAGAGCACCTGTTTGCAAAGGTCTCCGCCTGCACTGTCTGCCCCTCTATCATCCTACTCCCATGTCAGTCTTTTTAAGACCCCTCAGTGCTCACTGTCCTGGCCAGGGCCTGGTGGGCTCCTGTTCTGTGTGAGGCAGCCACGTCTCCCATTTTTTCATTAAGTTGCTGAACTGTCTTCTTAGCTTTTGTTCCCAGGCCTCCTCAGAATGTGCCCGGTGTGAACTTTTCCAACTTGGGGCCCTCTACCTGGTGTGGGCTTTCCCACCTGCAGGCCCTCTACCTGGTGTGGGCTTTCCCACCTGCAGGCCCTCTACCTGGTGTGGGCTTTCCCACCTGCAGGCCCTCTACCTGGTGTGGGCTTTCCCACCTGCAGGCCCTCTACCTGGTGTGGGCTTTCCCACCTGCAGGCCCTCTACCTGGTGTGGGCTTTCCCACCTGCAGGCCCTCTACCTGGCAGGGACTTTTTCACTTAGAAGCTCTCTTGCTCATGTGCACCTTTCCAAGCACAGCTCAATAGCCACCGGATAAGCCCGTCCTGTTTGCCACAATCAGATGAGCTGTTTGTCTTCTGACCTGGCTAGACTGCAAGCATCCTAAACACAGAGCCTCCACTTTTCTCAGCAATATACCCACTGCAGTGCTTCTGCCTGCTCGGTAACTACTGCTAAATTCAATTTACTAATGCAATTTCAAAATGGCATTTATATTGAGAGATGTGGAGTCTTTTTTTTTTTTAAGATTTCATTTATTTATTTATTTTAGAGAGAGGAGAAGGAGAAAGAGGGAGAGAAACATCAATGTGTGGTTGTATCTCATGCACCCCATACTGAGGACCTGGCTCACAACTCAGGCATGTGCCTTGACTGGGAATCGAACTCACGGTCCTTTGGTCTCAGTCCAGTGCTCAATTCACTGAGCCACACCAGCCAGGGGGATCTTATTCTTTTTGGTTTCTTAAAACTTGGCAATACCAGGCTGTGTTTATCTCTTTGGAAAGTTGCCCGGTGAGCAACCAAATGCAGCCACTACCTGGAACTAAACAGGCTGAGCCTAAAACAGAGATCCTGAGGGCATGTTGGCGAATTTTATGTCAGCCTGTATCTCATACAGCGAGAGACTGTCTTTTCAGTGGGGAGTAAGCAAAGTATCCTTTTCTAAACAGAGCCATTCCGACTTTCTTCTGATAGAACCAGCAACCCCTTGTTTTCTCATCCAAGTCTGTGGAGACTGCCAAAGGCCTATCTTTCTGCAGCACTCCGAGAATCGTTTTTCAAGGAGTTGAGTTCCACGTGCTGGATGACGAGCCTGGTGAGGGCTCTGCACTGAGAGCGGTGCCGGCTGTCGCAGAGCTGGTTCTCGTACCCACACACTTCCCTCACCTCTGAACCAGTTGTCAAACATGGGCAAGAGTGGCTCCACCAGTGCGACCTGCCCTGAGTGTCATGGGACACGAAGTAACATACAATATAACATTGTCCGTGCACATGGAAACAGGTTTTCCACTGGGTCAGCAGGACGTGGGGAGCATATACCCTGTGGTGTTTGGAACAAGTTCAGATAGATGCGCTAATGCTCCCCCAAGGGCAGAAAATCACTCCACTATGCGTGAACGAATGTAAGCCATTCAGAATTATCCAGAAGAAAGTCAGTGCCTTGTGGAAAACTTTTCATCTTGTGATTTCTTTTCCCCCTTACAAATGTGAAGTCTCGGAGCCAAATCATGCTTCAGCAAAGTTCCTGCGCTGGCAGTAATGATCACAATCTCCAGGAGCAATGCATAAGTTACCCACAAGCCATCTTCTGCCCCCCCCCCCACACCTTCTCCTGAACTGCGCAGCCACAGCCCTGGTACCTGGGGACATACCAGGGAATCTTTGTAAAACAGCCTCCATTTATCAAAAAAGGCATCACAAGAGCTCAAAAAGGAGCTGGGTCACATTAAGAATTTATGCCCCAGGCATTCATGTCACTAGAATATCCCTTCCATGAGATACTACATATTTCTGAAGGCATCTTTGAGGCCATCTAAACTGGCCACTGCACCAACTAATTTTAAGAGAAGTCTGAATATTCGATTCAATCAACAGGTTTTTCTCTAAGCAGGAACACATCCCTGGAGATGACGCTAATTGTACTGGTTTCAGAGCCTAATGGAGGGTTGACTCCACTGGGGAGACTGGAGGCCATAAGTCACAGCAGCCAGTTGACAACTTGAACTTATCTCTGAGGGGTGTTTACTGAGAAGTGTGCTGCAGTCATCAAGCTGAATCTCAGTGCCACAGCTTTGAGATTAGGAGATCTCAAAAGGTTAAGAGATCACGTCCCTTGTGTGTGCTGCTTTCTTACCATCACCTGTATGTGCACTGGGTTAGTAACTCCTGGCTTGTGTACAAAACTGGAAAAAGTAGGATCTAAAGCTGGTGCCAAATAACTACCTGCTCTTGTCCTTTGCAGATTAAGTTTTGTTTTATGTTGTGTATAGTTTTATGTCCAAGGCTGTCCTCACCCAGACCGTAAGGCTGAACAGGTCCCATGTCTAAAGTGGGAGTAGAGGAATTGACAAGTTGTGACAGTGGGGAATTAAAGCCTTTACCGCCAGTCATCCATGATTTTCCTAGGGAGAAAAATGGATTGTTGTTTAAGGTTGTGTCACTGTGTTGTCTGGGCTACAGTTGTTGTTCTAAACTGTACCTGGTGACCCCAGAGCATTAGATAGAAATGATCTGGTAGGCGGGAATGGATGCTGACATCAGGCTGGTTGGTACGTGACTAAGAGTCCCAGGTCACCGACCCGTGTGGGTGCGTAGGTGTCTTCTGGGGATCGGACTTCCTGCTCTCGTAGATTCCTGCTCAGGGCGGCCGGCCGTGCTCCCGGGGCCGGCCCAGCCTGTGCTCAGCCACACCTCAGTTCCTGTGCTGCCAGCAGAGACCTCACCAGACACCATCCCTTGTGCCCAAAGGTCGACACTACCCTTGGTGTATTTTCAGGACTTGTGTGAACGTAAATTGTGCTGTGTTTTTAATGTTTTTGCCGTGTTTGTATGTGCATCACAGGAGTTAGTTCTTTCTGGGATTAAGGAAGTAAGCCAAGGTGGGGTCTGTATGCTACAGCTGAGTTCATGGGCCCTTGTGTGGGACCCCCATGTGCACCAGCTGCTACGGTCTCACTAGCCACCGGCCCAGGAGTGTCCCCCCTCGGCCCCTCCTGACACCCCCGCCAGGGGAACTGGCTGCAGTGGGACAGTTGTCTGCTTCTCCTGGTGCCTGTGGGTGTGGTGTCCCGGACATGCTTCTGAGGGTCGTCTGCACCCAGGGTTTCTAGGGACCAACCCCAGGCCAGGGGGCTCAGCGCTTGAGCTTAATGTGCGAAGATAAACTGAGAATACAACGCAGATCACCATGGCAGTGCCCCTGCTCAGGGCCCGTCATTCGCTGTGCTGGGCCACCACGGTGGTGCTTTCCAAAAGCTGAATACAGACGAAGCCCACCTGGCAAAGTGCCACACGGCTCTACAGGCTAGAAGATTCCTCACTGGACAGGGAGGAGCCCCCATGTGCCGGGGCCTGTGGGTTCAGTGCCTTCTGTCTTGTTGACCTCCTTTTTGTCACATACCAGAGAGGTTCCTCCTGCTTATCTGCAAGAGGAAATCTTTTTATCTTGAGGGAGGAGAAGCATGCATCCGTCTAGAGTACAAATGCGTGGGAGGTCATTGGGACATTACTCGAAGGGTGGGGCAGAAATGGTGAAATATATTTTTTGTAACTCATGTTAATGCAAAAGATGACTCAGGTGGTGTCTTCTATGTCAAAACGCATTGCATTTTAATGGGATTTGATGCTTAGCTTCTGGTTTGCTGTGGGCACTTTTGGTCAACCACATTCTTAGTTATCTTACCCCACTCACCGGGCCCAAGGTCACTGTATTCCTCACTCATACCCCAACCAGAGAGGAGGCAGGAGTGACAGGAAGAAGGACACCCAGGCGCTAGGTCTTTTCCTGGTTTGTGGCCTTCCTGTGCGATCCTAGGGTGGTAGGGACATAATGTGACTTTGGGGCGATCTGCTTTCCTGAGTGTGCAGGTTCACTGATCGACTGAAGTCTCCTCCATAGTGGTCTTGGCACAGGTATCCCTGTTTCCTGTAGCATAATGTGAAAAATAATTTCGTCTTCCCCAAGTTGTGATTAAACACCTTTATTTTCTCATTTTGTAGGAGAAATTTATCTGTTTTGCAAAGGAGCAGATTCTTCAATATTTCCCCGAGTGATAGAAGGCAAAGTGGACCAGATCCGGTCCAGAGTGGAACGCAACGCAGTGGTGAGCTGGCGGGCCCTGCGGGCCGGCGTCACACTGCTTCACCCGAGTTGGGGGGGGGGAGCTCCTGACCCAGAGCGGGCGCCCTGTGCTGGTCCCTCAGAGGGCCGCTCGCAAGTCAGATGGGGCGTGTGTGCACAGCATGCGCAGCTCCCCGGTGCCGTGTTCCTTTCCTGGGCGCTGCTCCCAGCACGCTCACTCGGGAGACTGTGGCGTGGTTTTTGTTTTTTACTTTTGAGGTGAGGGCTGGGTTGATTGGTTGACGATTTGGGGGGGTCCAAATAATAAGCGTATTTGTGATGATGTATTGGAGAGAGTAGCTCTTTACCCTGAATGATTCCTAGTGACTCCTTTCGAACGTCAGCTGGCACCTATGCTCTGTGTATCTTCACCTGCTGGGCTTTCTTCCCTCACTCGCTCTAAAGCACGTGGCTCAGTCTGCTCTGTAACTCCAGCAACGCTGCTCAGTTTGTCAGCACTCTCCCCTCCCCCCCCAGCCCCACCCACAGCTCCAGTTCCCCCTCCACACCAGACCCTAAGCAGGTGATGTGTGGCTCTTCACAGACAGGTTTCCCCATCTTTACTCTAGATATTGCAGCATTGTAAATCTCTGTTGCCCAAGATGCACCCATTTTAGCATGACTCCATGCGTGCCTGCGGCAGCTACTGCAGTTTTAAACTTTGTTAAATGTTGCTGTCATGTGCAAATCCTTTGGCCTTAAGTTCTGATTAAAGCACCTAGTATTACCTACTGGTCAGACAAAGCAGCTCGAATTAATAAATAAACTGCCGGTTTAAGATTATTGAACCTTTTGTGTGTGGGATCATAAAAATAACAATGTCCCAATCTCTCCTACCCACAGAGGTGAGCAACCTGTTGGAGTGGAAGAGGAAGGGCTTCTTCTTAGCCCTTATGTGTGCACTCACAGAATGTAGTCCACGCACAGGCCGTGGGCTTTAACACAGGGTGTGTGAGGTGTCCCCGGACGGGGCAGCCCCATCTGCAAGTCACTTCATATCCACACCTGCAGTGACCCCGAGGCCTTTTCCCCCTGGGGCCAGATGGCTCTGTGACACTGGCCACACTGATCACCACACAAGTGCAAAGGATGGCCTCCGGACAGAGGATGTTCCCTGTTGAACCCTGGGATCTCTGCCTGGGACCGGGGAGGGGGTGTTCTCTGCCCCCCAGTTCTCCTGGGCATCCCTCCCACTCCTTCAGAGGAGACTTGTATCTGGATGAAAGGAAGCTCGTGGCACCAGCACTGGAATTCAGTGTGTTCTATCAAACACCGGCTGCTTGGGCCCCAGAAAAATCCAGACGCTAAAACTTGGTGTTTCTATGTGATTATGGTGGTACATCTCCTAACCTAGGAGCTTCTGTAGAAGTGGGAACAGGACTTCCAGTCCATGACATATCTCTTAATCATGTAGTCCTTTTCCCTTATAACTGGCTTTAAACTCTTCTTTCAGTTCTTTTTAATGACTTTGCTTTCTGGCATTGAGATTTGCTGTAGCCATTCTGTCTGCCTGCAATTCACAAGGGAGAGGTGCCCATTTCCTTCAGCTCATGCCATGAGCCTTCTCTCAGTCCTGAGAATCTGGCAGCACCACTTCGAGGGGACAGAAGACTGTCTCCCCATAGCCATTGTGCTAGACAGTGAGGAAGACACAGGCATAGCCTGTGGTTAAAGCCCCAGACAAACACACTGACAGAATCAAAGTGCCCCGGGCACGATGCCTTCAGGTTCCAGGTGTCCAGCTCACCTGTGCCTCCCTGGCTGGGACGGTACATTCTCTCTGTGTGGTGACATCCAGAATTATGGTCACAGCAGAGAATCTGTCATTCTTAGATTCTTGTTTCAGTCTCCTCCGGACCTGGTAGGTTTAATAAACAACAGCCATTTCATTCAGTGAGTGCTAAATAAAATCAAATTGTGTTACAAACTCCCACACAAAACACGTGACTTTAGAAATATTTTATATTCGCCATAAAATTTCAAATTACTATCCTCAGAAAAGTTTAACTCTCTTCATTTGTCAAAATAAAAGAACAAAGGTCTATCTTTCGGTAGCCCTGGTTTTATTATTTATTCCCATGTTTACCAGTTTGAATTTTTATACAATCTATCATGATTCTTCTATTTAATGTGGATATGAATAACTCCATTGTAAAATATCAACCCCTTTTAGGGTTGGTTGGTTTATAATTCTTTGGTTAGTCATTCTAATTCAAGAAAGGAAATATTGAGGAAGCTATTAAAAAATACTATTTTAGCACAGGGACCCTTGAATTCATGTGAAATGCATTGTATCCCATAGGAGGGGCTTCGGACTTTGTGTGTTGCCTACAAAAAGCTCATCCCCGAAGAATATGAAGGCATTTGTAAATTGCTGCAGGCTGCCAAGGTGGCACTTCAAGATCGAGAAAAGAAGTTAGCAGAAGCCTATGAGCAGATAGAGAAAGATCTCGTCCTGCTTGGTGCTACCGCCGTCGAGGATCGGTAAAGTGAACGCTCTGCCTTGTCCCCAGAAGCCAAGCACAATGCCAGGCAAAAGCTCGGGCTGCTCGGGGCGCTTGGGGAGGAAGTGTGTCGGCTGCGTCACACGGGACCGGACGTGCCTGCGCAACAGGGAGAGGCGGGCTGTCTGCCTGCGTGCCCTGGGGTGCTGTCACTGTCATGGGGAGCCCACGGCGGGTGATGTTCTACTTCCCCTGAATCAGATGCCTGCATTTGCACTTTCCCAGAAGGAACCAGAAACAGTCAGCACTTTTGCGTTACACTGTGTGCCATCAAGGTGCAGGGTTGTCAATTATTCTTTAGAACGGAATCAATAACTAACCCTGTTCCGAATTCATTCCTAGTTCTTTGCAAATACAGGTGTAACAGTTTAGGTCTTCACATACTCAGGGTATTGGTCACTGCTCATTGAAGAAATTTAAAATAATCAAGTGGAATATTGCCAATAATAACAAAATCATATTAATAACTGATAAAATGACTGATTACAGACTTTGGAATGCCTCCAAAGAAAGAGCCTCTAATCCGTCAAAGCCTATAAGGAGAATTAAAAGTTATTTAAGGCTTAATGTACCAAGAAATGGTCATCGGTCTACTGTGTTGTCAAGAGCAGAGTGAAAGGAAAGGATGACAATTTATTTTGAAAGATAGGAAAAGAGAAAAATCCCAATTTAATAGAATGAAACAGAAGCTTCAGGAAATTTACTGAGCCTTTATTTCTCATAAAATTTGAAAGTCTTTATGATCTATATATTGATCCAAAATTTAAATCCTTAGCTTGAAATCTACACTTTTCTGGTGTCTTCAACAAGCATTTACTGCATTCTCGATCTCAACAGCGTAAGATCGGACACCGTAGGAAGTTTTGAGTTTGTGGGGGGCTTTCGTTGTTGTTCCTTTCCTCATTCAGTCCAGACTGTAACAGGTACAGACACAGGTATGAACATGAGAAGCATAATGAGTACAGCACAGGTTTAGCACGGGAGCCGTAGCCATAGGACAGGGCTGTGTGTTAGGACGGAGAGAGACATGCCGTAGGGTGGCCTTTGCCTGGGGAAGGGTTGGACCTGGTCCTCGGAGGAAATGATGGGAAAGCGAAAGGCTCTTATGAATGGAAGGAAGGAGGTGGGCAGAGCTGATGCACAGGGGCCCCTCAAGAAGGTTGTGGGAGCAGATTAACTCAGTGGGGAGATGGGAGCTCTAAATATTGAGAGGAGATACCGGGGTAGGGGACAGCTTATGGGGACCAGTGACTTTGAAGTGATGATATTTGTTTACATCTTTAACATTTCTGGCCAGCATCTTTGAAGACCTCTCTCAGCCTGAGTTTCCTTTGTCCAAAACAATGATGGAATCAGAAGTTCTTTCTGTATCTAGAATGCTGTGATTGTGCGGTCTCCAAACTTGCGCCTAGGAGGCTGGTTCCAGAATCTAACCAAATCATTTTGTTTAGAATCTGAAGCCATTTCTTTTGCTCAGTGCTTGGCAGAGACACAGTACATTACTGCACATGACCTATCAAAACCTAAGACTCTAAAATCTAAGAAAAAAATGACTCCCCCTCCCGATGAAAAGAGGCCAGCGTGGTTTTGAAGCCAGGCTTCCACAGACAGCGAGATAGTTGGACCAGCATTAAGAGAGCTGTTTATCCTCAGATATGTTTTGTAACCTCTGCAAGCTTTGGGTCTTCCAAACGTGACATGGGGTGATAATGAAGTCCTCAACCCTTCAGTTGGTTGTAAAAGTGAAATGTCCCATGAAAAGCCCGTCACACAGCAGCTGCCACCCTAGGCTTGCGAAGCCTGTCAGCCAGTCCCAGGATCACTACGAGTGCTGTCCGCGTTTGCCGTGATTTGGAGGATCCTGGGCTCCAAATTGATAAGTGCAAAATTCGAACAGTTTGTGCCAAGAGAAAAGATCATGAATATCACCCTTTTCCAGATCTCATTTTCCCCAGATTTAGACTTGTGTTGTTGTTGCTCTTGGAAACGTGGTCCTTCTGCCTAAAATCCTCTCCAGGTAGTGAGTCCCAGCTGGACAGAAAACTGCCGTCTATTCTGGCATATGGCAGCTGCGCTAGATAGCCACTTGCTTCTTAACCTGTCTTCTGTTTACCTGTTTGTTATTAGGAAGTAGGTTTTTTGTAAAATATTAATACATTTTAAAAACAGATTTAGGTACTTTAAGATCATGAGCCAGCACTATGATGCATTCTGAGTCGGAGGGACTGAGTATGTTCACGGACCACAGGTTTCTGAAGCCCTCATTTAGATTTGCCTTTGCCAGCCCTGGGTGTGCCGTGTCTCGTTTTTGCCTCGTCAGGCTGCAGGAGAAGGCGGCTGACACCATAGAAGCTCTGCAGAAGGCGGGCATCAAGGTCTGGGTTCTCACCGGAGACAAGATGGAGACGGCGGCCGCCACCTGCTACGCCTGCAAGCTTTTCAGGAGAAACACACAGCTGCTTGAGCTAACCACGAAGAAAATTGAGGAGCAGAGTTTACACGATGTCCTGTTTGAGCTGAGTAAAACTGTCCTACGCTACAGCGGCAGCTTAACCAGGGACAACCTCTCAGGGTAGGTGGCAGCCCCCCTTCCCCACCACAAGAGGTGTTTTCAGAAGGACTGAAATGACCTCCAGGCGCAAGGATAGTGCCTCAGCACCCTTGCTGGGAGCGTGGGTCTGCCCCCCGCCCCCCGTCACCCCTCAGCGTGGTGAGAGGGACCACCTGAAACATGACCCGAACTATTTCTTTTTTGCAGCTGTAACATGTCCTTTTACACAAGACAGTATTTGTGTTTGTTTACTTTCAAACTGCTGGTTAAAGGATGCAAAAGACCTGATTGATTCAGCTACAAAATATCATGAATGGGATAATTCTCATCTGTTTCTAAGACATTTAGTGGGCCATATTTTGCATTCGTGGTTGTTTGTCTAAGACAAAACAGTGCATGGGCCAGAGTTGGCTTTCTCCAACAATACTCAGAATTTATTCTGATCTATTTTATTCTCGCTGGTGTTAGATGTTGCTGGTGTTGTCCTTGCTGGTGTTAGATGCACGGTCTAAGAAGAGACACTGTTTTTTTGTTTTAAAAATTCCTATTTAATTTTGAGAGAGAGGGGAACAGAAAGAGAGCAAAAGCCCTGGGCCCCCCCAACCCCCTCGCCGCGGAGAGTTGTCCCTTTAGATTGTCGTTATTATAGGCAAAACAAAAGTGTCTCTCTAATCGTATGCAAGTTTTAAATGGTTCATAAATAGTACAAGGATACTTCCCTTCACCTGACCTGCAGAATTCCTTTTGGGGATTAGAGACGATCCTTATAATTTTGAAACCCAGCAAAGACAAACGTTATGACCATGTTCTTCCCAACTCAGGTCATTCACCAGAACACCGAGGAGACGGTAGTTGTAAAGATGAAGACTGAGGTCGGCCAATGTGGCAGGAAGTTTGGGAATAAAGACTGACCTCTGTAGACTGCAAGATAAATGTTCTCCTTCTGTCGTTGAAAAATACTGGGATGGCCCATGAAGCCACAATTAGAACTCTGTGTTTGCTGTGCCTAAGTGAAATGTGAATGTTTAATTAAAACACAATTTTAAAATTTAGTCAAAGGCATTATATTCAATAGTCTAAAAACTGTATGGATAAAACAAGAAATACAGTCGCCCCCCCCCCAACCCGTGGTTTTGCGTTCCACAGTTTCAGTTACCTGTGGTCAGCCATGGTCAGAAAATATTAAATGGAAAATTCCACAAGTAATTCATAGGTTTTCACTGTGCACCATTCTGAGCAATGTGGTGGAATCTCGCGCCATCCCGCCCAGAATGCGACTCGTCCCTTCGTGCAGCATGTCCAGAGCAGAGAGACCACATTTGCATAACCTCTTCTACAGTACATTGTTATAATTGTTCTATTTCGTTATTATTTATTGTTGACCTCTTACTGTGACAAATTTATATAATTAAACCTTATCATAGGTATGTTTGTATAGGAAAAAAACATAGTATATATCGGGTTTTCAGTACTACCTTCCTTTTCAGACGTCCACGGTGGGGTTCTTGGAACGTTTTCCCTCCCGAGGGTAAAGCGGGGGATTACTGTGCAGCAGGTCCTCAAATAACATTGTTTCGTTCAGTGTTGTTTTTGTTATGATGAGATGCCATAGAAACTTACCTTTCATGTGTATCGGTTAGCCTACGGTTACTACAGTAAAACTGGTTTCCTGACACATCACTTTGCTTAAAGTCTCAGAACCTACTGACACCACCCAATGAGGACTTACTGTGCTGGGTTCTTAATCCCTGACCCTGGATTTGCAGCACCTGTAGGTACTAGAGGACATTACATAGTCTCCTAAAATCTGTAAATTTAGTTCTGAGTAACTCTCTGATTTGTGTGTCTAACAGACTTTCAACAGATATGCATGATTATGGCTTAATTATTGACGGAGCGGCGCTCTCGTTAATAATGAAGCCCCGAGAAGACGGGAGCTCCAGCAACTACAGAGAACTGTTCCTCGAGATCTGCCGGAACTGCAGCGCCGTGCTGTGCTGCCGGATGGCCCCGCTGCAGAAGGCCCAGGTCCGTGCACCCGTCCCTCGGAGCTGCTCCTGGTCGCTGGGTGTTTGAATACCAAAAACGGTTCATCAGTTCTTACAGCCTGTGGTTTTTGTTTGTTTGGTTTGAAATCTAGCAAATTACCACCTTTTTTACATAGAAGCAAATAGGATAGAAATTTAAAACACATACCTTATTCTACTTGTCGTGATTAGTAAGAGCCAACTGAATCAAGTGAATGACCCTGCCCGTGCAAAGGCCAGGGGACCTGTGTCTGGTGTCTCTTATGAAGTGAACCATGTCCCAAAGGCGTCAGTGATGGAGATGTAAACTGCAGGCGACAGGCTCGGCACCAGCGCCTTTGAGCCAGAACAGACACACTCGTGAACCCATTTAACCGTCAGGATGACCCTGTTAGGTGACTGATGTTAAGGGTGAATTTTTCTAAAAGGATGGATTTGGAAAGAGTTTTGTTTCTGGTTTGTCAGACTCCAAACTCATGTTCTACCCACTGCAACATATTCTTGTGGAAACACACACCTGATGGTGTTTTTAAAAGTGTTTTTAAAGCACTATAGTATATATATACATGAATGTGGGTTTCTTTCTGATATCAGTAAACCTAAAACAGTTCCAATTTTGTTAAACCACATTGCAGATAGACTAGATCAATTTCTAGTGAACTGTTCATGAGAGAAAACCATAACTTCTCCAAGTATCCCAGTGATTAAGGTAAATACTGAAAACCACATGCGAAGAGCTTGTTTTTAGCATTTTCCCAGGTCTGCTGCAGTGATCTGCTAGGTGGCGGGATCACTCAAAATATGCACCGGAGGAGCTTCCTGGGGAATTCTACGTGAGGACAAGCTAAGACTCAAAAATTCATAATGTCGTATCTGAGATAAAAATGGTTTTATTCCCTGCCCTCCGACTTATGTCTTTGATTCTGTGTAACCTTTATATGTACTGCATGGTTACTTTTTTTTAAGTTCTTAGTTCAGCAAACTTTTGTGCCAATTAATTTGTGTCTCAGTCTCTCATCTTGACACAAGAAGGCAATCCTCGCATTTTTTCCTCTCATCTTTTTAGTCGTGTATCTCAAACCATCATATAGACATGTAAGTGGAAAAATATATATTTTATAAAGAAACTGGCTAAAACATTTGAAGTTTATTAATTTTAATAGACTGTCAGATTTGATTTTATACACATGACAAATTTGAAAATTAAATAGCATTAAGAATAGCTTACTTTAAAAAGTAGATGCTTGCCATCAAACAGTTTGGAATAGCAGTATTTTCTGATAGAACGCAATGTTCAGATTTCCCTGGTGTGTTTAACCATGTGAGTGTAGCAGTTACTGAAAACTGCTTCCATATTTTACATCTCCAGGTTCAGAGTCTGCCCACCAGCCCTTCCCAACTTACCTCATTGTAGTCGTGCCTTGGCTACTTCTGCTTTATTTTGTTTTGCCTTTGAAATGAAATAGATTTCACCATATATCGATAAAGTAGATTGAATGCAGTACCTTCACTCTAAGCAAATAATCCTTTCATTTTTCTTGCCTGACTTTATATATTTCTTATTTATGCCTAGTTAAGGAGTAACCTGAGCAAAAATAAAACACAGGAGATCAATTCTGTATTTATTTCTTTTCCAGATTGTTAAACTAATCAAATTTTCAAAAGAGCACCCTATTACATTAGCAATTGGTGATGGCGCAAATGACGTCAGCATGATTCTGGAGGCCCACGTGGGCATAGGTAAGCCTCTGCTTTTTCACCTGCCTGCACACCTTGGTGGCTAAGATTGATCACTTCAGCTAGATAGCGAAGGGGATTCAGCCAAAGGGCGAGACCGCAAGCTGCAGATGGCACATTTAGAGCAGCGCCTGTGGTCTTCACGTTCATAACTAGGAAATGTCGCATCAGTGGGTGGCTCCACCCTTGTTTTGCTTATTCCCCATTTCACGTGCGTGGTGTCAAGAGGCTGTGTTCAGCACATCTGTCTCCTTCTTGCAGGCGTCATCGGAAGGGAAGGGCGTCAGGCTGCAAGGAACAGTGACTATGCAATACCGAAATTTAAGCATTTAAAGAAGATGCTACTCGTTCATGGGCATTTTTATTACATTAGGATATCTGAGCTTGTGCAATACTTCTTTTATAAGGTAGGAAGGATTCCCTTGCTCCTGTCACTGTTTCAGTGAAATACAGGGTCCACGACAGAATGACACATCTGACAGATGCCCCAGCACTACAAGAAGTGTCGGTCAGCACGCAAGGGGTTGGTCCTGGCACTTCTGTCACATTCACCCAGTTTGATGTGGAACCGATAAGAAGATACCCATTATGACAGGAATGAGGAAGGGGCATTCTTTTAAAATTCCTTGACATAATTTTTATTCATTATGCAGTGTGATTCTTTTCTGTTTATACTGAAAACATTGCTTCCTCATTTCTCTGTAACCAATTTCCTGTACATTACATATTCTCAGAGTGACCAGAACGTGGTCACATATGCATTGTAAATGCTATTAAAAAGAAAAATGTAAAGCTCATCGCCTGCTCTTTTGAGAATTTAGGACACTTTTGGGTCCCTTTCCTGAGATAAATGGTGGCGCATGGACAACCTCGTGGAGATTAGACGCCTCTTACAGTGTGCCTTGGAACTAACAGGCATGCGATTTCTCTTTCAGAATGTCTGCTTCATTTTCCCTCAGTTTTTATACCAGTTCTTCTGTGGGTTTTCACAACAGGTGAGTCCTAATATCTCAAGTCAGAAGCTCCCCGGAGCCTCATCTCCCTCCCGCCTGTGGGTGGCTGCAGTGGGGGGAGAGTGGACTGTGGAGGCAGGCAGGTCATGATGATGGGGGGGCCACCTGCCCTCAGTCTCACTGCCCTCAGCAGTGCCGCCAGCAGGTAGGGCAAAGGAGCGGCGTGGCGTGGGGGCCCGCGTCTGCTGACTGCAGGCTCTCCCATGCACACCAGTGAGTGCTGTGCCCAGAACCTGCCTACCCCAGGCCCAGGAGAGCCCGAAAGGACCGAATCTAAATCTGAGATCTTCTCCTGCTGCCTCACCATCAGCTTCTGGCACCTTCAAGTGCAGAGTGGAGGAGTGCAAACCATCTGGCGGGAGAAGGGACCCTCGGGCACCCTCTGGCTGTCACTCACTTGTTTTTTATTCTGCTCAGATGAACTGTGGGCCAGCTGCTTTCATCTGGAGGGTCTGGGGCTGGGGAGGATCAAAGCTTGAAGATGGCCATCAAAAATGACAAACTTTTGTGCAGTTCTTTTTGTTGCAAGTTCGCAGTGGCCTAACGCAGGGGTGGTAGTCGAGCCTTCTCTTGGCCATGATTTTAATTCTGACCGACTGATATCATGAAGCTTTGAAAATGGTCCTGGTCCTTCTAAATCTGTAGAAAGAAGGCTTTGTATATCTGTCAGAATGCTTGTGTTACTAGGTCTTTGCAAATTTATAAATATATATTAAAAAAATACATATTTAACACAACACCAAAAAAGTTTATCAAGGCACATGAGTATTGTTTTCAGTTGATTTTTCCCTTCCTGCAGACTCTGTACGACACGGCCTACCTGACACTGTACAACATCAGTTTCACTTCCCTCCCGATTCTCCTGTACAGCCTGATGGAGCAGCACGTGAGCATAGACACGCTCAAGAGGGACCCTTCTCTCTACAGGTGCTGAGCCTCAGAGACACACTTGCTGTAGCACTCAGGGAACACCGAGGCAGCCGTAGAGCGGCGCCTTCAAATAAAGGCCCCCTTGAACTATTTAAAAACCAGAAACGTTCAGTGTCGGCTGATGCACTTGCTTTTACCAACTGATCATACTTCAAATTCATATAGATTTACGTTGCACTTGAAATGTGCATATTAAACTAGTTAGTATCTTGCCATGTTTTTTAATAATTAGGAAAGGACCAGGGAGAAGAGTTTCTATCCCCTTGTGACCCCAGTGGATCTGTGGCCTAAATTAGTCTTTAAAAACCACATGTGTACTATTAAGCAAGGGGGGAGAAGAGTTAAGGGATCATATCTTGGTGTGCTCTTTTCTGCTAAAAACTATCCTTTAATAAAAAGGAAAAGATGTTTGCTATTTCAGCACTGCACTCCAGGATCTCTGGCAGATTCAGTGTGGGTTTTTTGTGGCTTTTTAAATTAAACCTACATCAGAAAAGTTTAGATTCACATGGAGTTGTAAGAAAAAAATACAGGTAGATGCTGTAAAACTGGGATACCGAGTAAGATGGGTGGATGGTGTCCTCGTCGGGACCCTGGTTGTGACCCTACAGCTTGGTGGGTTTTTGTCATGTGTCATCACTGAGGGAATCTCTCCAGTGAGAGCCCCCTACCGGACTGGTCACTACAGAGCACGCTGGGGGTGGCCAGGCCATGGAGTGAGGCTGGTGTCTCTGAAATGCACTCACTGTGTTTCCCCGTTTCACTTACACAGAGATATCGCCAAGAATGCTCTACTCCGCTGGCGAGTGTTCATTTACTGGACATTCTTAGGAGTATTCGATGCTCTAGTATTTTTCTTTGGTGCTTACTTCATGTTTGAAAATACAACAGTGACCAGCAATGGACAGGTTAGTACGGAACTGGGTCGTGTTGACTTGGCTGCTTGGGAATAACCCTCGAATTGCGTGTGATCAGTGCAGTCACTCAGCACAGCCCGTGGGGTCTCCTGATGCTTGGGTACCCAGCTACCAAATCGCTATAAAGGGCATGGTACCTCAGCAAATGCCCTGGTCTGCGGAGCTCTGCAGACTGTGGGAAATACCCGTCCTGAGGGTGTGCAGACTTTACCTTTGTAACTTATATTTCACCGTCAGCTATGTGTCTAGTGGTTTAGTTAGATCGTTCAGGCATGGCTTACCTAATGTGGGAATTAATTTTGTATTTAACATGTTTTAGCATTTTTCCATGTCTACTTAAGTATCTGTTCTCCTTGCATTGAGTAGATTGATAGTTTCTAATAGACATCAGCTCTCTGGTTGTTTGCATAATTTCTAGGGTTTGTTTTATTTGTATCTTGCTTTTTTTCTTTTTGCAACTCGCTTTCCTTCCCACTCTCAGATAATGACCACCAACACACACATGGTAAGACGATTGTGGGTGTGTCCTCTATGTTTTTGGAGTGCATTCTAGATAAAATATTTCTCGAAAATATTTTCCAGTGTGACTTCTTCCGTGTGCTTTGTCAGTAGAAACACCGTTAGCCGCTGCTCCCTCCCCTCCCTGTAGATGAGAGTGCATAGAGAAGTCCGTGCGTCGTGTGTCGGAGAAGTCAGCTGACCATTTGCACTCGGTGTTTATCTCTGAATTTCTGTGTCAGGATCATCACTGAGTCAGTGATGTTTCTTAACCTGACCTGTCTGAACCTCCCTTTCCCTTCAATGAGAGGCAACACACAGAGGCGTGCAAGGCCTGCTGAGATACTGTTTTGAAAGTGGGAAACCCATGCTCCCCGGGAGAGACAGGAATACACTTCGGCCTCGTTCCCTGCCTGAATGTGTACCTGCCGTAAAAACCCACCCTGCTGTTGACGCGAAGGAGGGCAACTTATGAACGGAGGTTCGCTTCATTTCCCATTCGACAGAACGCCCCTTTTCCCCCATTTTTGTCTTCCTGTGATATTTATCTCTTAAAACTGTTGGACTGAAACACAAGACAGGTCCCATAGAACTTGTTTACCCATTTATATAATTGTTTCTTATTTCTCATTACTAAAAGGCACTATTATCTTTCATTATAACATAAAACAATTTTCACTCATTGGATCTTGGGAATTTTTTAAAGTTTTATTTTACTCTTCTACAGAGAAGAGTTTACATTTTTCTAGAGTTTATTTTTTGTCTTAGTTTATTTTAGTTGAATAATTTCTGGATGCTAACACATCATAAATGTCGTTAAAGGGAGCTATCTTGCTCTGGCTGGTGTGACTCAGTGGATTGAGTGCTGGCCTGTCCACCAAAAGGTCACCGGTTTGAGCCCCGGTCAGGGCACGTGCCTGGGTTTCAGACCAGATCCCCAGTTGGGGGCGTGTGAGAGGCGACATCCCTCCTGCATTGATGTTTCTCTCCCTCTCTTTCTCCCTCCTTTCCCCTCTTCCTAAAAATAAATAAGTAAAATCTTTTTTTTAAAGCAGTCTTGTTCTTATGTTTCTTTTATAAAATGTGTTTATGGTTAGGTTTTCAGTGAGCACCTTGCGTATATCTTAGAACTAAGATTTTGTGTCCTAAGGACTGAAACTCCAGGATCATAGTAGCTAAAATAGGTGCCATTCATCTGACACTTTGTTTGCAGTTTATTTTCACAAGTCTTATCCTCTCTCAACTACAATCGCCCTCGGACATAGTCATGGTTCAGGAAACTAAAGTTCGAAGAGATTAAAGTTCAGATCAGTTAAAGTCAGACAATTAGAACTCGAACCCAGGATGTTTGGTACAAACTTTGTACTATTTGTTTTAGTCCGTGCTGCTTCTTAATTGTTTCAATATCAGTATTACATGGTAAAATGATAGGTATGTCTCAATAAGTACTATTAAAAGGCTTAAGTGGGGAAAAGGATACCCCAAAAAAGGCATGCTTGGCTCACGCACCCAGTAAATGAGAGTGCCGACTGACCGGCGTGGTGTGGCTTTGGGCTGCAGACCATAAAGAGGCCTTCCTGGCATCTCCCTCTCCTGCTCAGATTCCTGCAGTTCTCCAGCCAAACTTCTGTCCAGCCACTCCTTGTACCGCCGTGGGTCGGTGGGTGCAGTGGTGTTTCGAAGCCCTTCATATGGCCCACGGGCTTCTGCGAAATCCTTACACATCTCCTATTTCCTGTTTCCTTTAGGGTGCCCTGAACCCCCTGAGTCCCCCTCCCATGGTCCAGGCCTTGGGAGGAATATACTGTTTCAGCCTTTCTTTCCCAAATAGTGGAAATTATACATAGGATTTCAAGGGTTTCCCTCCTCCTGTGTTAGCATAGTGTTTCTGGTATCGGACCAAACTCGGGACGGCGGAGTCAGTGGGCGAGACATGTCTCCTTCCTCCTCCCTGCCTGGGTTACCATCTGTCCTACCTGACAGTATTATCAAGCAGCACATGGGACAGTTGGTGCCAAACATGGTGCTTAGTGCAAGGTGTTTACAGTTACACATTCGAGATGTGGGATTTGCTTCAGCTCACTAATGCTCTATAGAAGTTAAATAATCTAAAGACTTAAGAGTTGTAAGAGCAAGGTGAATAATAGTACCCCTAATTATGAGTGACAAGTGTATGGAGGGCCTAATGTGGACGCTTTTACCCCCTGTCACTGGGAGGACAGGACTCCAGGAGGTTGAGATAACCCAGGGCCACTCCACGTTAAGGGCAAGCCCAGGGCCGAATATCTGCTGTTATATCCCTAGAGGGAGCCTTTCTTATCCTGGATTCTGGATGCTTAAATTCTTGTTTGCTTGGGGGGTACGAGTATGAGATCACTTGCAAAACTAAAAGTGGTATCATAGGCTAGTTCTGTAGTAATTCCCATAAATCTGCAAAGTGCAAGTAAATGTGGTAGTTTTGGGGTGACCAGTGATGATGCCCCTGGTTCTAAGTTAGCAGGGCAAGGTGGAGACTACAGTGCTCACCACTTTCTGGGGGTGTTCCCTGATGAACAAGAATGCATCTTCTTGGTGGTATAATTTGGATGTCCTTCTTGGTGGTATAATTTGGAAGTTCTACTGTTGGCAGTAGGGGAGGACCACTTTTTTTAAAGACCTAAATCATTCTCTAGGAATGTTTATTGAGCACGCATAGTGTTGAGGGAACACTGGGATCATAGGTAACTCTTGAAAAAGAGAAATTCACTTGGGGCATTTTCCACACGGACATCACGAGCTACAGTTATTTCTCAAGTGAGAATAGGAAGACAACAGCAGGGTGTTCCTAGATGAAAAGTGGAGAGTTTGGAGCCTGGTATAGGATGAGCCGGCCGACATCAATATTGCTGAAATGTGAGCCCCTGCCAGCCTGTATAGCGAGGGCAGATTACGCCAGCAGGCTTGACAGAAGGATGGGATCTGTGTGTGCAGGGAATGTGCTGGGTGTTTCTTACGACTGTGATCTCGAAAGAAACGCAAGTCATGTTCATTGTGGAATACTTTTACCCATAAAAATTGAATTGGTCTGGACCTCGGGGCTTTAAAAAGCAGGAAAATTTTCTGCAAAATACAAACCTTCGAAGAGAGAGAAAGTGTGTGAAGGAATTAAATTCAGATCTGTCTCTGGCTGCTCCAGAGACATCCTACCAAATTTTCATCATCATCTGAATGAACCAGTAAAGCTAGTGAAATGCTCAATGGAGATAACAGTTAAGAAATCAGACTCAGGGTTTTATGGGGGGAGGGATGGGGAACTTATGTTGCTTGGGAAAAAAAAGATCATCCTTCAGGAAAACCCTTTGAGAAAGGAGAATGGTATCCCACCTAACCACCTCGTGGCCCACCTCCAAATCTATAGAGATGATGGCAGTTTGAATAATAAATAGACTGTTAGCAATGAGCCTGAGGGCTCCATTAAAACAAAAAAGGAAACAAAGAGGAACTTACAGAGATGTCACCATGACTGTCTGTGCCAGTGAGCCGGAAGTAGCTGAGGGGCACAGGCAAGGGTAGAGCAGACCCCAGCATTGCCTGGGGTTCTAACCAAAATTCTCAGTTCTGGGTTCAAGAGAGTTGTGCTTTGTTGCTCTTCACCTGTAAAATTACACCTGAGGCGTGTGTGTGTGTGTGTGTGTGTGTGTTTTAAGATTTTATTTATTTTTAGAGAGAGGGGAAGAGAGGAAGAGAGAGGGAGAGAAATATCGATGTGAGAGAGAAACATTGATCAATTGCCTCTTGTATGTGCCGGACCAGGGACCAAATGTGCAACCCAGGCATATGCCCTGACCAGGAATCGAACTGGCGACCTTTCTCTGTGGGATGATGCCCCACCAACTGAGCCATGGGCAGGGCCCATGTGTTTACTAGACTGGGTATTAGGATGCCTGACTTGTGATCCCAGGCTTAGCATGACCTACCAAATCTGAGAAAGCCCAGCAGTGCTCTAGAGAAGCACCCGACTTGTGGTGCCGTTGATAATGTCCTGTCACTCTCTTCTGTGCAACTCCAATGCTATAATTTGCTATTACCTGACTCTTTTTAAAAAGTTTCAGGTTTCCTGCCAAGCAGGGGTGGCAAGCATGCAGGCCTGGGGTGTAAGGAAGTGGAGCGCGGGGCAGGGTGGTGGTCGTACTGCCGGTCCCACTAGGACGCCCGTGCAGGGTGCAGAGCTGCCTCTGGCTCGCCCTTCACTTTTGGCTGACATCGTCTTCCCACGAAAACAACACGGAGCCATCTTGTTCTCCAGCACCCATCTGGCCGAGCATTTTTGTGGGGCTCTGCCAAACTGCAGCCCCATTCAGAGCTGTCAGATCTTCCTCCCTTAACAGTTAAGCATTGCCCTGGTCTGTGTGGCTCAATTCATTGGAATGTCATCCGACAGACTGAAAGGTCGCAGGTTCGATTCTGGGTCAGGGCACATGCCTAGGTTAGGGGTCAGACCCTGGTTAGGGCGCTTACGAGAGGCAGCCAATCAATATTTTTCTGTCACACTGATGTTTGTCTCCTTCTCTCCGTCCCTCCCTTCCCCTCTCTCTGAAGTCAGTAAGCATATCCTTGGGTGAGAGGATTAAAAAAGTTAAGCATTGGCCCAGGCTGGTGTAGCTCAGTGGATTGAGCGTGGGCCTGTGAACCAGACAATCGCGGTTTGATTCCGAGTCAGGGCACATGCCTGGGTTGCAGGCCGGTTCCCTGCAGGCAAATTCCCAGCAGGGGATGCACAAAAGGCAACCATACATTGATGTTTCTCTCCCTCTCTCCTTCCTTTCCCCTCTAAAAGATAAATAAATAAAAATAAGATCTAAAAATAAAAAAAAGTTAAGCATTGAAGGGAGAACACTTTTTTGAGGGTTTTCCAGCCTGACCACTATTGCCGTTCAAAGCCAGACAGTCCCTGGGCCGTGGGCTGCCCGCTGCAGTTAGCAGATGCCTGGCCTCTGCCTAACCTCTGGCTGGACGCCGGTAGCACCCCTCCCACCACTGCAACAACCAAAAACGTCTCCAGACATTGCCAGTGTCCCCTGGGTACAGAATTCCCCTGCGCCCACTCCCCACTGAGCGCTCTTGGCATAGGCGGGTCTGAGAGGGGACAGCCGGTTTCAATCACAGCAATGAAGTGAGGAATGAATGGTAAAGAGATGTTGATTTGGGGGGGAGGGGTTGGCCCTTAAGCAGTCTGTTTACTACTATGAAGTACTAATACTGTAGTTAGGTTTTCCCCTAAAACTCTACCAGCAGTTCTTACTCACAAAGTACATCCCATGACCAGTAGCCTACACATTCACCTGAACCGAGTTACGTGTAGGCGTATTTCTGTGGTTGAAAATTAACCACAGAGGAAAGCCGTTTGTATTCCAGTTTTTAAATTCTTTGTGAAATACAGCTTTATTTTCTTTTTAAGAAGTACAAGGAGTGTTTTCTGAGAGGCATGGGTTCAAAGTATCTGGCACTCCAGATTCCTTGTGTGGAAATCTTAAAGAAACTTACTCTCATAGCATGAAATCTCCTCTAGACTGAATTTTTTCCCTCTAACAGAAAGCGTCTCAAGTGTAGTGCTTTATTTTGCTCGTGTCCTTGTCTGTAGTTAAGAAATGTGTCATTCTCACGATGTGACCCTCAGTGCTCCCACCACGTTCCCACTCCCCTGCATCCTGCCAAGCCCTCGGGAGCACCCGAAGCCCTGCTCTGTGCTGTCTCCTGTCCTGGCCCTTTCCGAGGGGCTGTTGACATGTCCCTGGTTCTGGCCATCAGACTGGCCGCTGGGGACCGTCTTGCCTGCCTGCATTCCTCCCTTCCCTGTGATTTTCCCGAAGAAAGTCGCCTCCATGTGTCACCCTACACAATGTGGCGATTTTCTCGTTGCTTACTAGCAAAACGTTCTCGCACTTGTTTTTCTTGCAAAGCAGGCAGGGGTTTGGCTTGAGTCCAAAAGAGAGTAGCCAGAAACTCCACAAGGTTTATTCTCGAATATGCAGAAAGCACAGAACTGGGTAACAGGTAAATGTTGCTTCTACATGAAACACAAACCAGAGGAAACAGTGCCCCGTGGACAGCGGTGCCAGCTCTTCAGCGCTTTCCTTGCTCCCAGTCTGTGATGTTAGGTCTGATGTTTGTTGCCAGCACCGAGGGGAGATATCAGAGGTGGCAGGACTGTCAGTGCAGGGCTGGTGCTGGGGAGCTGGGGGGTCTCAAGCAGCCCAAGGGGGTTACTGCCGTTTCCTCTGACTTTGTGGAAACAGGACAAAGTCCCTGCATCTTCGGGGTGTGAGGTGTTGGCACACTTAAACAATGAGATGTATTCTTCAGACGCTCTCATTTGAGTGTAAAAAGAGGAAAATACGTATCAACAAGAGACTGATTGGACTGTTTGTCCCCACAGATATTTGGAAACTGGACCTTCGGGACACTGGTGTTCACTGTGATGGTGTTTACAGTTACACTAAAGGTCAGCTCTCTCGTGTTGATGTTTCTCTCCTAGCCACAGTTAGCCCCTGCCTGCGTAGCTCTCCCCACCGGAGCATTACCAGTCTGCTCCAAATCACACACCCGCACTGCACGCCGCCCACCCAGCCCCGGGGCCCAGTCAGGGCTCTTCTTACCGCCTTTCAAATGAGTCAGGTGCAGAGTGGCTTCACCCCACCCTGGGCTCCAATATGTAGATTTCTGGAATTATACAGAAAACAGGTGAAGGAATTAGCCTTTCCTTTTTAAATTTATTTTTAATTATTTTTAAATTACAGTTGACATACACTATTATACTAGTTTCAGGTGTTCATCATAGTGATTTATCAACGTATACTTTTTGAGGTGATTGCCTCAGTAGGTCTAGTACTCATCTGACACCATACATAGTTATCACAATATTATTGTCTGTATTCCCTATGTTGTACTTCGTACCCCAGACTATTTTTGTAATTGCCAATTTGTACTTCTTAATCCCTGTCACCTTTTCCACCCATCTGTCAATGAGTCTTTAGAAAAGGATTCAGATTAAAATTATTTTCAAAGTCAAATTTTACGTGAAATAGCATTATGAAAATCCCCACACCTATCAATCTCAACTTTAAAAAATGTCATGAAGAAAATCCCAAAGTAATTTCTTTAGTAGGGATATAGCCAAGGCCTTAAGCCATCGCCCTGAGACCACCCCCCTCCCCCAGAAGCCTCCTGGGTGCCTTTTCCCAGGCTCCTGTGAGCATGAGCGTTACTAGGGGAGGTGCGATTGCACACCTGATGTCTCACGTGCCTTATCTTCTTTGGAAGACTAAGGTTTTGTTTTCCCTAAGCAGCATTTTGGCTAAAATGGAGGCATTGGTTGGTTGGTTTCATTACTTTCTGGCTCTGTCTCCTTGCCACGGCTCACGCTGACGTGTCTAGACGATATCACCAGTAATCATCTTTTTCTTCCAGCTGGCATTAGATACACACTACTGGACTTGGATAAACCACTTCGTTATCTGGGGGTCGCTGCTATTCTACATCGTCTTTTCCCTCCTCTGGGGAGGAATTATCTGGTATGAATTAGAAGTGTTATGTAATCATTATTACCTTCGTAGTCCTGCAGTGTCTTTCACTGGGGACTCCAAACATATTTTCTACACACCCTCATTCCTGTGCGCACGTATTTGTTGAACGCCGGGTGTGTGCAAGGCACTGTGGGAAGGCCTGGGGGACCATGGAGGGCACGGGGCAGCTGCAGTCCCTGCTCCTTTGACCCACATGCTCAGTGGGGGGGCATGCTGGATAATAACTACTCAGGCTTTTGACAAGTGAGAAATGAACTGCATGCTATAGTGAGGGACCTATTTCAGACTGAAGGTCAGAGAATGCTTCGCAAATAAAGTTTTTATTTAAACTGAAACCCGGGAGAAAATCACCATCATTATCACAATAGGCCACACTTATTAAATGCTTTCTAGAATGAGGTGTGAGTTAAATATTTGACAGGACATGTCTCACTCCATCTTCTCGCAACCGCAATGTAGTGGGCATTCCCTGCCCACTACAAATGATAAGATGGACAGGGAGCCCAGCTCCCCTGGGCCGAGGCATTCTGACTGCAGATGGGCCCTGCTCCCAAGGAGGGAGGATGCACATGTAAAAGCACTGAGGCGGGGCCCTGGCAGGCAAAGGGAAGTCTACTGTGACTGTCAAGGGGCCTGGTTCCAGCTGGAGAAGGACGTAGGAGCAGGCCACAGGGGGCCCACGGCCAGGTAGGACCTTGACCCCGATCTGATGACAGTGGGACAGCACCGAGGATTGTAAACGGAGGGGGTGGCAGAATCTGGTTGCTGCTTTAAAAAGACCACTGTACTGAACGTGGACATGTGAGGGAAGAGTGAACAGGACTTGCAGTTGGGATATTACCGCAACCAAGTGGTCAAGTTGTGGTGCTGGTTTGGTCAGCCCTGGTGTGAAGGCAGTAAGGGGCTGCATTTGGCATCTATCCTGGTACTGCCACAAGCACACCTTTGCCCACGCTGTCCCACCAGTAGTGTCCTTTCCAGCTAGCCTGCCTGTGGAGCTCTTATTCATCCTTTAAAACCCAGTGGTTCGTTGTCCTCTTCAGTGCTGCCCTTGAACCACCTCACAGACAGATGGTCCCAACCTCGTCCCCACGCATTTCATCATTCTCCTGTCACAACATGTACCGTACTTTAATGTAATTCTCCTGTTCACATTTTTACCTTCCCGGTAAGACTGCATTTCCGTGAGCAGGGCTGGGACTAGGGGAGGGCCAGTGAGCGGGCTGCAGGGGCCATGACCCCAAGGGAATGCCTTCAACTGGATGCACCGGCCTGGCCGTAGGCCTGGCTGGATGTGAGGCCAGAAGCAGTGTCCTCTCCACTTTGCATCTTCAGTGTGGAGCACAGCTCCTGGTAAACACACACAGACAGCCCCTGAAAATAGAAAGAAAGCCTCAGTGATGAGTCTTGCCTGCACGTTGGTGATGTAGATACCCACCATCCTCTCGTTACATTACTGCCCTCTAGTGACCAAAGCAATGAATTACATGTTCTTTGAGACCTGGAAATATGCACAGAAAAATTAGATAAGCTTTTGGTGGGTTTCCAACAACCCTGCTCCAGGCTAAAAGTCCCTGAAGTTCCCGTGAACTTCTGAAGCTATGGCTGTGCAAGAGGAAGATTCCATCCCCAAAACTTCTCTGACTAGCTCCTGGGCTTTAGGGATCATGAATTCAGCATCACATCAATTGCTTCATCCTTTTCAACTTCTCTCATGGAGCCCAATATAGATACATTCTTTGAATTATAGATTTGCCCGATGAGGAAGTCATTTTATACTCTATTTTTATAGAGAAATTTTAAGATTTCTATGGCATAAGCTTTAGGTAGTTAACTAGCTCTGCAGATCAGAACTGTTGTATATCTTAATGATAATAACCATTGTGATTTTACAGTACAAAAAAATCACCTATTTTAATGGTTTTAAATATTTTTTGTTGTTCTATAACTGCACTTCAGAGACTTATTTTCCCTTTGGGATGACCTCATAAAGTTCCTTCCTCCTTTTGCCCATCCATAACATCCCAACATTACAGAGGAAGTTCAACATCCAGTTATTTAAGTGCTTAATTCATAGCAGGCCAGCTAAATGGCTTACCCAATGACTACCCACGCCTCAAGTAAAAACTGCCAGAACAAATGGACTCTTCGTGCTAGCAGAGAAAAAAGGGTGGGATTCCAGTGTGCCCCCTAATGGTTCTGACCTGCACGTGTTTCTTTCTCTCCCTCCACATTGCAGGCCGTTCCTCAGTTATCAAAGGATGTACTATGTGTTCATACAGATGCTATCCAGTGGCCCTGCCTGGCTAGCCATCATTCTGCTCATCACTGTCAGCCTCCTTCCCGATGTTCTCAAGAAAGTCTTGTGCAGGCAGCTGTGGCCCAGCGCCACAGAGAGAGTGCAGGTACCCAGCTGCTCCTGGGGTAGGGGGTGGTGCGCTGCCGCTCCCCAGGCTCAGAGCGGGAAATGCCATGACAAAGGGTGGCGTGAAAGCTTTGGGATAAAAATATCATCAGTGCAAGTATTACTAATGACTTTTATAATAGATTATTTTAAACATTATTTTAGGTAAAATTCAAGATGACCAATGTTTACACCTTAGCAGTTAATTAGCTGAAATAAGGAAAAGATTAAGCCAACACAAAAGAAATTTGTGTGAATCTAAAAACTTTGTTTAAATTAATCATTACTTTAAAGGTAAAATTGCAGTTTTTTAGGGCTGGTGAATTGGGCTCTAAACTTTAACATTTATATTGGGAAATTCTGGTAATTAGGAGGTCTACTTATTTTCCACACTTCCAAATTGATCCCAACAAACTGAATCCTGGATTTAATTCTGGATTTGCATCTCAGGTAGTGAGATGCGAAATGCCCAAACTGGCATAGGTCACCAGAAAGTGTTACTCAGAGCTTCCCAGAACCACTCTGGCCCTTCCCAGAGTTCTCAGGGAGGGCATGTCCCCCATCCCCTCACCCCTGCAACTTGCCTGTGGGGGTGCAGAGCCTCAACGAGGAGAGGGAAAGATCTGGTGAGAGGGCAGAAGCCACAGCTGGGGCTGTTCCTCCAGGTTGCGTGTCTTCCTCCTAGAGCACAAGTGGTTATGCAGGTGAAGGTGGGAGGGAGGGTGTTGCTGGCCCTTGTTTGGGACGGAAGGCAGGTAGCCCTCCCCTGGCGCTGGAGTGGGGAGGGGCGGCACTGACTTCGCCCCACCCCAACCAGTCCTGGCAGCTGAATGGGATCCGGGTTGGTGAGCTTCCTTAGAACTCTGGTGCAGTTGAAAATGTTGAAGCCAGTGCCACCAGTTCCTTTGTGCACCTGTCATGGTTGTGAAGTCGGTGCTGCCAGAAACTCGGGAAGCTCAGTGAGAGCACGCATGTCCAGTTTCACCACATACTGACTGGCGTTACCTCCTTTAAATGAGCAGTGTAGGACAGGGACGTGTTCAGGGCTTTGGTGGCAAGAAAGAGAAATATAGCAGGGATGGGAGGTCCACAGAGCCCTCCAGCAAGTGAGAGCCCCTGGACAGGGGCCGGACTGTCCACGGTGCATCGTCTGGTGTCCATGTGCTACAAGCCGGCACCGCACGGCAGTGCCAGTGTGCGTGGGACGTTGTTGACGTTCAGTCAGACTCACGGTCTCTTCTTGTTTCTCTTTTCCTTTCTTCGCTCCCTTCCGCCTTCTGACTGCTTTGCCTAAATAACCACTACTGCCTTGTCTAATGATGTGCGTGGCCTCCTGAACCTTCGGGGACTGGCAGACTAAGAACCAGTGCCTTTCTGTTGAGCAGTCAACCATCTTTATGCTTTCTCAGACCTCCAGCAGTCTGAGTTTCTGATGGAACAAGGTGACGCCTTTCTGTCTTTTTGCATGTTTGGGATTGTAGTCACACGACAACAGAGGGCTGGCTTTTCGGATCCAGAGCTGTCGAACGCACACTCCAGTGTTGATGACTCCAGTGCTCGTTCTGACCGCCACCACACCAGGAAATATGTGGATAAAGTGTCCCTTGTGGAAAGGGCACATGGGCTGTTTTCTATCAATACCACTGTTCTACTAACCACTGTTTCTCTCTCAGCGTCCATTGAAGTATCCGTCCCACCTGCAAGGGGCAGCTGTGTCTTCACTCGGGCCCAGCTGAGAGCGTCGGGCTGTGCCACCTTAAACTCCTGGTTCCCGCCCTCCAAGGTGTGGGTGTGGCGGTTCCTCAGTCACAGGAGCCCCTGAGCGAGCGCAGTGCCGTCCTTCTCTCCGCATCCCAGACAGGATGGGTAGCAAGACTCCCGGCTCACACTCACCTCTGTAAACCCACTCTGCAGACAGGGACACTGAGGCCTCCACCGTGAGGTATTCTCAGAGCACTGCAGAGCAGCAGGCTCGGGCCAGCCGTCAGAGCTGTGCACAAAGCCAGGAGAGATGTGTTTGGGGTCAAAATTCTAGAGAAACCTACTTTGTTTTCAGTGGCTGTAGTGGTCTACTTCTTAGCCATATAGAGCCAAAAATTAATGATGCTTTGAAAAGACATTCGGTAATACTATTTTACCATTGTAGCTTGTTTAATAGGACCGTACCTAAAGCAAGAAAAAGGCTTTTTTTTTTCCCATTAAATAACAGCTCATCTTCTATACATTTTAAACACTGTTTTTTAGCTAACAGGATGGCACTTTTTGATTACCAAAAGTTTTCTAGCCTGGTGCCATCAGAATTTGTTAGAACTAATAACATAACTTCATGTCACTGTTTACACACTTGAAAACATTTAGGATGGAATCACTAGGAACAGTTCAGTCAGTCACAGGCGGTGCCTATGAAATGGATTCAGCCATGCCAACTCTGACTAAAAATACACACTCTGACTGTTGATGTGGTTTATTAAGAGTTCATTTGCACCCTGGCTGGTGTAGCTCAGTGGATTGAGCACAGGCCTGTGAAGCAAAGAGTCACTGGTTTGATTCCCCGTCAGGGCACGTGCCTGGGTTGCAGGCCAGGTCCCGAGTAGGGGACGCGTGAGGGGCAGCCACACATTGATGTTTCTCTCCCACTCTTTCTCCTTCCCATCCCCTCTCTCTAAAAATAAATAAATAAAAAAAATATTTTTAAAAGAGTTGATTTGCTTCTGAACCTTTGCAGAAGCCAGACTCTAGCTGCTTGGAGAAGGTCGGCACTGAGTGCTCTGTGGTGTCCAGGCCACATGGAGGTGGCCCACAGGTGTCCCCACAGCCACACCTTCACAGAGTCCCTGCAGCCAGCACCCCCCTGGCACACACAGGGTGGGTGCTTGTGTTGCTGTAAGGCCACCCAGACTTCGGCAAAACTTTGGAGGAACAAACATGTGACTAACCCTATGTGGAATACAGAGAACTTCAAATGGATGTTTTTTCTTTGAATCTGTTCTACTAAAAAGTGAAATATCACAGACACCAGGTGACATATATATGTACACGTGTGTGTATATATGTACATGCATATATAACTTATATATGTCTATATCTCTGTCTACCTATATTTTTATATATAATTGAAATATATATAATTCGAAAGGCAACAACTCCACCTCTTGTTTCGTTCATTCTTCTCCCCAGAAGGCATTCTGCAATTACGACCTTTTAAAATTCTTCACGTTTTAAAATCCCTTCTACCTATTACTGAGAAACTAATATGGTTTGACTGGAAAATCTTAGTGTTCAGATGCCGGGCCCCGTGGACCTGCAGCACCGTGACATCTTGAACTTCCAGGGTTCTAGTCTTGGGCAGGCCTCTTCTGTGTGACTACGTACAGGGCTGAGGCAAGGGGGAGACAGAGGCACAGACAGGTGGGGCTGGGCAGGAAGATAGGGGCAGAAGGACGAGGATGGGCAGGCACGCAGTTCCTCCCCTCAGAGACCCTTGGTGCTCTTCTGTGGTGGGGACAGCTGATCAGTAAATGGCACTCAAGGTGAGTCACCTTGAGTGTCATTTGCAGATGAGTGTAGTGGGACTTTCAGCTTCAGGGATCTGGAAGCACTTCCTGTGTTCTCAGCAGTGGCCGGCTGGGGCTGTGTTGGGAACAGGCCCAGTACAGCCCTTCCCACGGAGGCCCTGCTGTCCCTCCGCAGTCCTCTGGGCAGTGGCTCCGCCCTGGGTCTCTTTCACAGGAAGGGCCCTGTTAGAGAGACCACCCCTTCCTCAGCAGAGGCCCTGGGAGGTGCCCACCCCACTAGCCCACGTCTTGCACAGACTTCCACATGAACTGATGCTCCCTTTTCACGCCCTTGTGGGTGTGGCCCCCACGCCCCAGCTGCACGCTGGGCTGGGTTTCGCCCAGAGAGCTCTCTAGGTTCCTGATGGGGCAGCTGTCTCAGTGTCTTTCCTCACCTTGCAGAGGAGCTCGAAGCTCAAAACAGCGTTCGGTGCCGCGCCGAGCACGGACAGGCCACTTCTGAAGGACGTCTTGCCGGGGCCCAGGCGCCATTAGCCCAAGGATAGGTAACGGCATCCACCACGGTGGCAGGCTTCCTGGGTGTGCTGTGAGCTTTCACACTGTTTTTCCTCCAAAGTTTTGCTGTGCTGTGCCATTTCAGTAACAAAGGTTCATTTTTCCAAAAAACAAAATCATTTATACACACACAGGTGTATCTCTATCCCAGGTAAGTGACCCGCCTGAGAGTGGCTGGACTGTGTGTGGTTGAGTAGCGTGTGCACACACCTGCGGTGGTGAAGACGGTTCAGTGCACTGATGTGGCGTGCTCGCCCGGTGCACCCCGTGTTCGGTGTGCCAGACGGAGCTCAGCCCTCATCCCTGGTGGTGAGAAAATTTCACCCCAAAGGGCTGTCAGGAAAGGCCATTTTCATTTGGAAATAAAATATGGAGTATCATGTGATTTGCGGTGATGTGTGGTATGGACACATTGTCATCCCTCGGCCAGAACAGGGAGCGGAGCCAGTGCCTGAAAAACAGAGAGGAGACGCAGCCGTGTCCAAAAGCCTTCCGAGCCACACTCCTCAGGCCGGACACGCTCACCCACTACGCTCACCCACCTTCTCTGTCCCGAAGCAGGCGAGCCTGGAACGGTTATTCCTTTAAAGTGGACTTCTCCTGTGCAGCAGCCCCTCACTCCCGCCCTGCCTGTTAAGTTTAAGGATGTCTAGGATGTGTCACCAGTCTCCTCGGGCTGTTGACAAGAAACCGAACAGGCCCCATTTGTCTGTGCGTCTAAAGGTGAGCACAGGCTGGAGACGGCGAGACAGCCAGTGAGTGCCACGTGGACCCCACTCGGAGGGGTCGCTCCTCACTCGTACAGTAGAGGAATCAGGCTCAGCCTCTGGGGCCCTTGCATGTTTATGGACATTGTCTTGACCCACGACGGGACCGACAGGGGGAGTCTGTGGCCGGGCCAAGGCTCGCACCCTGCCTCTGTGCCGAGTTCAGATGGCAGGGACTCCCTCTGACCACGGCGGCGATGGCAGCAACTGCACCGTCGTGGTTAATGCACTTCTTGCGCGGGTCCTGACTCGGTCTCTTCTGTCCCCCCACAGAGCACGCGCACACAGAGTCAGGACCGCCTCTCGGAAGTCAGCCGTTTCGTCTCCCTGCACAGCCCCAGCCCCTCGGCCACGCAGCCGGGCTCCTGCCCCAGACAGGTGATGCTGACGCGCCCCGAGAGCAAGGAGAGCCCCGTCCCCCCTCCCACGGTCGGCGTCCCAAACAGCCGTCGCCGTCCCAGCTCGCGGCCCTGCCCCCTCGGGCCCTTCGGGGAGACAGGTGGCGAACAAATCACCAGTTCAAGCCTTTAAGAGCCGCACCTCAAGTGTGTGCTGTGCGCGCAAGTGCTTTTCCTCTGCCCTCAAGGAAGAGGAAGGGGCGCACGGGCAGGCGGTCTGCACCGTCCTTTCTCCAGGCCTGGCGGCCCGTGCGTGCAGCCAGGCTGCTCCGGGGGGGCCGTGCACAGGACCTGGTACATCCGCCCCGGGTCGGGGTCTCTGTGTCTGTGCCCTCCGTCGTCCCCACCACGTGTGTGTGTCACCCGAGGAGGACATCTGCCTGCAGATGGGCTGTCCGGCTTCGAGCCGGAGGCAGTCACACCCACCAACCGTCCTGCAAGCACAGACGTGACTCGCCCTGGCCGTGGGACCCACGGGTCTGGCCTCTGCCCTGCCTTCTCCACAGCCCTCTGATACTTCCAGCACCGACACTCGAATAATCATGCGTCCTTTTCCCGTTCTCGTCGCAGACTGTGCTGTTTGTTGCTTTTGTCCAGAGCCCTCCACCTCCCGATGCTGATGTTTAGGGTCGTGTCTGACTCCAGGTTTGTTTCCCTAGGGGCGATTTATCCCTGTATGTTTGGGAGTGTCTTTGAATGTTTCCATGTCTCCTCTTTTCTCAACTCCTAGCTGCCTCCGTGGAGAATAAAAAAGGAATATCGTGTGGAAGGAATAGGTAATCTGGCCATTTAAGCTCTCCCAGTACAAGTTTCAATGTATCTGTTTTCACTCTCCCAAGAGTAAAGCTTGTCAGTTTCCTGTTGTCGGGAAGCATTCGTCCCTCGGATATCAGGGAAGGGTGGTGGTCTGGGGTGCCCTGGACAGATACGGCTGTGGTAGCCCACCCGCTCTCAGTGTCTTCACGGAGAAGTGGTCTCTGGGGGCGGCGTTCACCTTCCAGGATCTCTTTCGGGCCGTCACGGGTCTGCCAGCGAGATGGCCTGTAAGTTCTAAAAAGCAATATTGCCACCCTGGACTGTCGCCCCCCTGGTGACTCTGACCAGGCCCTGCTCTGCGTGTTCTTCCGGTCCATCTCTGCTTCGTCTTGGCGTGCGGTCCAGCAGGCGAGCCGTCGGAGGCTGCTCTGTTGCAGAGTTCCTGTCACTGTTCTGTACTGGTGTTTCTACTTCTAGAAATAACCTAGTCGACATAGCCTTAATGGTCCTTAAAGAAGACATTTCAGTTTGAGATTCGAACTTCAGACCTCGAATCGGTTGCCTTTTAGAGAAGCGTCACTGGAAGCTAAACCCACAGCAGGCACCTCGTCCGCTGCCAGGTTCCGTGCAGTGGAGCCCGGGGCTGTCGGTGACCGGACACCCAATTTGTTTCAGAGATGCTCGATTTAGGTATTTTTGAAAGTGCAGATTTCACAAGTTGATTGTATAGTATTTCACCTAAAATATTTATTTGACATAGGGGTAAATTAACAGTAAGAACAGCGTACATAAAGTAGTTGGGATAAACTGAGGTGAGTGTAGACACCATACCAAAGACGAGGCGATGAACATTTGGTTTAGAGAGAGACAGAGTGAGGAGGGCGTCGCGTCCGTCCCCAGGGGCCGCCTCACCGCACACTCCGGGCCCCGTCCCGTCCTCCCGTCATGTCCCCGTGTCCTCTGTGTGGTGGCCGCCCTTGGCCATTCTGGTCCACACTAGCCCCCGCAAACAATGGTGTGTGCATTTTTACAGCCGTTTTTAAGAACCTAATGTGGGTATAAATGTAATACCTGTGGGGGGACAGATTCTCTGTATGTTTAGTTAACAAATTCTTTGTAACGTATTTTTTTAGAAATCCTAAAATTGCCTTTGCACTGAAGTATTTTCATAGCCGTTTATATCTCTTATTCATTTATTTGTTAACGTATCATATCTAATTTTTAAGGTATGTTTTTAAAGCTTTTATTTTTTAAGTTGATGTAATTTTGGCCACTTTAAATTCTGGCGAGCGTCTTCACTGAGTGTCTCAATATCTGATGAATGTGAATTTTCAGGTTTGATTTAATTCTCTACACCTGTTTGTTTTCTGCTGTTTCTGGTGGCAGTGGTCAGTTGAAAGGCGTATTTAGAGCATATTTTGCAGTGCTTATTCTTCACAGTTCATCGCAGTTTCGTCTGCATTTTGTTTTGCTCTTAATTTCTATCCTCCAGCCTTAAAACAGAAGCTTCTTACTTGACGGTTCCGTATCTTCTTTCCGCCCATATCGAGATAGTTGCCATTTACCTCGGACAATCCAGGTCTCCTCACAGAAGTCACTAAATCTTTACACACTCCAAAATGTTTTTGGAAAGTCGTTTGGGAAATGAAGGGACTGAGCCTGATAATTTGAAATAGATAAGGGGCATGAGACAAAAAATAAAGGGAGGAAGAGAAGAACCCCACTGAAATGACATTTCAGATATGTCTCTGATATTCAGATATTAATGTGATATTTTCACCTCATTAGTAACTAGTATTTACTTGCCTTTAACTTTAAAGCAAGTAAAGCCAACTTATTTAAGCATTTTTCTTAGTTTGAAAATCTTATTCACGACTGCATATGTTAATAGATTATTAACTCCTGGTTTCCCATGTTGGTCAGAATACGTGCTTCCGAACCCGCACTCCCCACCACAGCAAGTCCTCCGTGCATGAGTGGTCCATCCGACCACGGCGCACTCTCTCGCTTTCAGCTCCAGGTCCGCTCGTGGCCACATCTGTGCATATGTGCCAGTTCTCATGCACACACACAGCTGCACACACATACACACTCCCTGGGCCCAAGCATCCCTGTCTCCTTCCTAAGGGGGTCCTGCGAGGAGCCTCCAGAAGGTGAGGCTCTTCGGGCCTCCGTGCCGAATGCCCAGGCAGGACACGGGAAGCAGCCCTCGGGCTTGAAGAGGAGCTGCTGGGTGACCCAAGCAGCAGTGCCCTGGCCCAAGCTCCTCCTCTTCAGGAAGTCCAGCTCCCACCTCTAACTGACACCTCCCCAGAGCTCCATCCTTAGGACAAGTGGCAGAAAGTGGCATCTGGACCCTTCCAGCTGCAGCATCTTCACATGTGTCCAGGAGCACGGGCAGGCCCTCTGCCTCAGGGCGGCTGGGAAAAAGGGTTCCTTCTCTTGGCAGTTCCTATTAGAATCCAGTCAACCCGCCCCCATGAATTTGACCCAATAGGGTGAATGCAGACCAGATAACACCTGGTGCTGGTGCAGCCTGGGCCGGAGGAGGCTGGGGGTGACCTGCTTCTGCAGTAACAGGCTTAGAGAATTGTAGTTTGGCCTGGTGTGGTTTTGCAACTACTAACTACAAAAACGGCTCACCCATGCTGTTACAGCTATTCTTAACTTGCTGGGCATCAACCAAATGTTCAGTGCAACCTAAAGGAAGTTTTCTGGCCTTTTTCTTTAAAACCACTAATTTTACCTGTTTTGCACTGACTAATAATAACCTAAAGCAACCACTACTACATCATCTTTAAATTAATATTACTTATTTGACAACTCAATATGACAGTTTGGTATGCAGTTTCTTGTGTTCTACATTTCTTTTGGAGATTTCCCATCACTTTAAAAATAGGAGAAATTTCTGTTTGCACATGCATTTTCTTTAAAGCTAGAAGGTAGGTAAATGAGAAAGAGAATCATTCTCATATTATCTATAAACAAAGGTTTAATGAAGATATGTTGGAAGTATTATTAAAGCGTGATTCTACTTTTGCAGAAAAAAATCTAAAGATCAGTTTATATAGCTTTATTTTTTACCTTATATCAAAACATACAGAATTTTAATATGCATATATTGTCTCTGAATTAAAATTATGTGTGTCTGAATTGCTGTTTAAAATGTCCATTGAATATGTAATGTAATACAAGAAAATCTTTAAAAATATATTAAACAGGAATGGAATCTATAGTTGTCCTCATCACAAATACTAGAATTTATTTTTAAATTATTGAATATAGTAGGTGCATTTAAAATAATAAATCAGCCTCCAAACAGTCATGTTTAATTGATAATAATTCAGTAACCTGCTTTGAAAAATTGAATTGTAAATTAAACCAAATCTTACATTTCTGTAAAGTTTATTTTATATGGTGTTTTTAACTTTTATTTCTGTTGATAAAGTATGAGTTAATTATATCGGACTTCTCTGCAGATAATCTAAACAAAAGACTTGAATCTGCTTGCAATAAAGAAGAGAAAATGCCTGATTTAGTTTCTTTATAAATAAACACCATCTGAGAATTTGGACTTAAATTTTTGCTAACCAAAGCTACAGAGAAAAGCACGCTCAAAGCATGAGTGTCTCCTTTTCAGATGAAGTGGAAACAGCTTCCCTGAAAGTGTGTGGGGCCAGGTGGTTCCGCCCCCTCCTGCCCCTGCTGGCGCCTGCCCCACCCCCAGCCCCGCACTCACTGAAACCATGATGCCCAGCAGTGGGCTGAGAGGCCAATGAACAAAATGCAATGTTGGGTTTATTGACGCTCTGTTGTCCATCCCCACCCCCCTTCCTTGACTGTCATGCTGGAGACCCACGCCTTCAGCCACATGTCTGAGCTTCCCCTTTCCTTCTAGATTCCTCCCTCTCCTCCTGTCCAGAGTCCAGGCCCCCAGGCCCTACATGGGTTTCCACGGCTCTGCTGGTCACAACCACTCTTGTGATAAGACTGAGTTCTGTTCGCCTAACCAGTCAGGTCCCGGGCACTTCCTAAACACCCAGGAATTCTCTACCTGGCTCTGGAGGGCCTGTGGCTTAGCCCCTACCCTGTCTCTGCCCCCACCCTGTATCTTTCCTCTGGTGACCACCTGCCTCCCCACCACTGGCCATTGCCACCCTTCACAAAACCTGATCCCAGGGCCCAGGGTCTGGGATTCTGACCAGCGGGGATGACAAACATGGAGTTGGGTTAAAGACCCCTTTGAAGGCTGGCTGTGCTCAGCTTGTTGTGACTTCCTCAGGACCAGCCCAACCCCCTGACCCAGGAGGGACTGAGTCAAGCCTCAGGCTCTACTTGTGCGATTCTGAATTTGGGACTTGTTTCCCTAGTTCTAGAATACCACCAAGCAAGCACACTGCAAGCACTGGGTAACACTCACCGAATGAATGACCTTCACTGTCCCCAATCAAATCCCAGTAGCAGCCGAACTCCACAAAGTGCGCTGCCACAGTAAGTGCCACAGGCGAGTCCAAGGCCCCAGTGCCACCAGCTGTTGATTGCATGTGTTCCACATGTGCCTCAGGTGACTCAGAGGAGCCCAGTGACTGCAGCTTGGCATGAGGCTTGGCAGGTGTGAGCAGCCACCGCCATCCACCCTTGTGCACATCTGTGTACTTCACGGGGCCTCTCCCAGCTTGATCACGCCGTACATTATTTCTTACCTGACTTGGTTTTGGTTTTTCCTTAATTTATTGACTAATTTTAGAGAGAGAGGGGGAGAGAAAGAGAGACATCAATCAGTTGTTCCACTTACATATGTATTCATTGGTTGAGTCTTATATATGCCGTGACCAGGGATCAAACCCACAACCCAGACAAATCGAGACAGTGCTCTAATCGACTGAGCTACCCAGCCCAGGCAACACTCATACGTTATTAAGCTTCCTCTTTCATGGAAAAGTCCTGGAACACAATTTCTCAATTCCTTTCTCGCACTATGGGGTACCAGTAAAATTGTATAGTCATACTAATTTCCTCAAGGGAAATGCTCACCTTTGGACATTTTTATTATTCAGGGAGTTATTAGAATCACTCAAACATCTAATCAGATAGTCAATTTCTAACTCATCACTGACAGACATTTAGGAGTCTGAATCAGGCCTGACAGAGGCCCAACATACATCTGAGGAAACGAGCACCTACGAATCAGATGAAGAGCTTACCAAAGATGCAGATACAGAAGACATCAAACCCCACAATGAGTGGACAGGTGTCAGGGCTAAAGCAGGTGAATCTCGAGTAAGCACTTGCTGCTCAATGTCCAGAAAAATTTACACTCGTTGCACATAGCAGATTTTCAAGGCCCACTGATCTTTACATCACTTTGTCAGCCCACAAGACATGGGAAATCACATGCCCTGGAAGCCATGGACAGGGGCGTCAAACTCATTTTCACCTGTGGGGGCAACTTTCTCGCAAATCCCCCCAGTTGCCAGGGACAAGAAGGAATTTGGTCAAGACATGATGTGATCTGCTTGGTGAGGAGAAGTGAGCTCTGGCCAGTTTCTCAGGGGAGACAAAGGCCAGCAGGGGCCAGTTTCTCCGAGGAGAAAAAGGCCTTGAGCCCCCACCTCCAGGGCTTTTTATTGGGTTGTAATACACAGGAATACAGGGCGGCAAGGATCAAACAGTAGATGACATTACAAAGAAATCTGAGGGCTTAGTCAGAGTCAGTGTCTGTCAGGAACAGAGTTTTAGGGTTTCCTCCTCGAACCCTTAACATATGAATGAAAGCACTCTTAGCAAGAGCAGATTTCACAGGTTTATGAAACCATCGCAAGTCTTTGTAATGCCAGATTTTTCCCCAGGACACACTCTAGCAAGGCAAGGAGCTGCACCTCTCCCCAACAGGTTTTCAGGCTTAAGAGGATTAGAGCCAGGAAGTGCTTCTCCCAGAGGATGTGGGGACTCTGGCTATGTCAAAGCGGGGGGCGGCGGCGCGCAACAGTCCATTGCTCCTTATAGCCCCCGAGTCCTTCCATGAAGGCCTCCCAAGTGATCGAGTCTGGCTTAGGTTGCCCCCCCCCCCCCCGCTGTGAGGGGTCTTACCTGTCATTGACTTCCGACCAAGCTTTGGGGGCAGGGAGAGGAACTGAGGCAGCGATTGCTACCAGAGACAAGCTTTGTCTCCTGCAGCTGGCACTCCAAAGGTCGTCCCTCACCCTTAGCCACAAGGGATCTAGATACAATTCCTAAAACCAGGCAGAGTGGTCTACAACATTCACCGGGGTCCACATCAGCCTCTTGGTTGCCTTCAAAGGGCCAAATGTAATTTTAGGACTGTATAAATGTAACTACTCCTTGACTACGGGCAAGGAGCTTGGTGCTGTGGCCGGGTAGAAACAAGGTGGAGGTCAGATTCAGCCCGCGGGCCTTGTGTTTACCACCTGTGCCATAGAAGTTCGTGCCTTGCACCGTAGGGGCCTATTGACAGACACTATCCTAATGTAGTTGTTAAAATTTTAATGAAAAATATGGATTCCTGGATGTATTACTTATCAAGAATATACATTATCCTTTAAAATTATACGAAATCATAATTTGAGAAAAATACACTCATCAACACTCTTATTCAGTAGGTTTTCACAAGACTAAAAGAGAGGGGAAGAGATTTAAGTCAACTAAAAATAGACATGTCATTCTGACCAGGTGGCTCAGTTGGTTGGATGTGGTCCCAAAAAGTGAAAGGTCACTGGCTCGGTTCCCAGTCAGGGAACAGGCCCGAGTTGGGGTTCAGTCCCCGGTTGGAGAGCATAGGAGAAGCAACCAGTCAATGTTTCTCTCTCACATTGATGTCTCTCCCTCTTTCTTCATTTTCCTATCTCTAAAAATAAATAAATAATTTTTTTAAAAAAGAATAAATGCCCTCTTGAGAATTGCATATAGTTTTAATTGCATATAGTTTTTGTTCGCCCTGTACTCCTGTGTATTACAACCCAATAAAAGGCTATGGAAGAAGGCACTTGGGGTCTTTGTCTCCCCTGAGAAACTGACCACAGCCCACTCCTCCTCCCCAAACAGATCTCATCTTGTCTCGGCCATAATTATTCATTCACTCGTGTCCGTGGCACGGGGGGGGGGGGGACTCACAAAAGAAATCACTCCCGCACATCCCTTCTGAGGCAGTGAGGGAGAATCTAGTCCATGCTCTCTCCCTACCCCCTGCTTCTGGTGTAGCTGGTGACTCTTGGCGTTCCCTGACTTGCAGACACATCCCCCATGTCTGCCCTCACCTTCACACGGCATTCTCCTTGTTCACGTCCATGTCCGTGCTTCCCATTTTTATGAAGACACCAGTCATATTGGGTTAGGTGCCTAATGACCTTATCTGAGCTCAGTACCTCTATAAGGTCACATTCTGAGGCAGTGGGAGTTAGAATCTCAACATATCTTTTGGGGAGACACAATTCAAGCCGTAACAGTGTTTTGGAGAAACATTGGTACATTTAGTCTGGCGTTAAAGCAGTCAGGCCCCTGTGCCTGCAGGGTCCGAGTGCAGAGGTGAGCAGCAGACGGTGGGCCAGTGCTTAACTAGGGGCAGGCTCAGCTGCGCCTCGGCTCACAGCCCCACCCAGAGCTGCACAAGCGCTTGCTCACCACGACTTCCAGCTGGTCCTCCTTGGAGAGCAAGTCCTCCTCAGGGCACTGAGCCTAGGAGGGCATCTCATTGGCAGGTGGAACCTGATTGACACAGAGTCCTCATGAAACGGAAGGATAGAAATTAGGATGTAACCCATCTCTCATGGCTGCACATTTCTTCAAAACTCAGTTTTTCCCTAACAGAGAAGAGGTGCTCTGCAGCAGGTAAGCAATCTCCCCCTCCCTCCGGTGTGGCATCAGCGTCCCCCTATCTGCCAAGTTGTCCCCGTCAGCACCAGACAGCCCGTCTGAAATGAAAGTTTCCTGTCAGCTGCTGACACATTGCTCAGCTCCTCTTTTTAAAAATCTTCCAAAGGTGTCCACATTTGCTGTCTCTGTCACCTGCCACTCAGCCCGCCCAGTCAGGCTTTTGTCTCCTGCTCCACTGGGACAGGCCCAGAGATGCCCCGTCACTAAGGGCCCTGCCTTCCTCTTCCCCTGCCGAGGCCTTGTTCACAGCCCCACTTGGTGCTGAGAGGTAAGCTCCACAGAACTGCAGACTGTGCTTTGTTCCCTGTGAATGCCCAGCGTCCAGCTCCAGGCCTGGCACCATGTTGCTGCCTGAACAAACTCCACGGCTGGAGGGATCTGGGCGCTAACCCATCCGCCCTGCTGAGCCAGCATTTTGGGGTACAGGGCGGTGCTGGGGCTGTGGGCAGCCAGGCCAGGCCTGGCCATGTGCTGTCAGGAGCAGAGGTATAGGAGCCCTCCCCTCATGGGGCTGAGGTGCCAGCTAGGAAAAGCCATGGGGCCGAGCTGATCCGAAGAGCAGCAGTTAAACCCAGAGGCCATGCCTGCCTCCAATCAGGAGCAGCAAGGGAGTGAGGGATGGCTGCCATCAGGGTCAAGGCCAGGTTGCTGCTGGTTTGGGGGACAGGACAAGAAAACATTTTTTCTTCCCCCTTCCTTTTCCAGACTCCTTCTCTGAAGCCCTAGGGATGGGATAGGCAGCAGCCCCCTCCTGAAGGGCTGGCCCCTCTGAGCATCTCCGCACTCCCAACAACCAGCCCTTCGCTTGCTCCCAGCGTGTCCCAGTTTGCTCCCTCCCCACCCTGGACCCAGCTGGGCAGGGCACAGTCTGAGATACTCTGAGACGCCCTGTTTTCTGAAGGGAGGGTGTCCTGTCACCTTGTTCCCTTCATCTCATATGGAGAACAGTGTTTACCAGCTAAGCTGTTACTGCTTATTTTGTAGAGTCGTGCTTTACATAAAGGACTTCACCTCAAATGAGAAAATTTCAAACACTGAAACTGAGGAAAACCTGGGAGGTGGACGAACCTTTTTTGAGCAGTGACCAAATGGGGATGTCTTTGAAGGGGTCCAGCCTCAAGGGGCCACAGATACCCGTTCTCGCAAGCTCGCAGACGAGCTAAATGCAACACGATTGCTCCAGGTCTCTGTGGTTGACGTGGAATCTGCAGCAGGTGAACTGCTACGTCCCACCTCTCAGGACAGAGCCTAAGACACACACATGCCAAGACACTAAATATGTGCTCTGAACGTGTAATCATGGCTGGTTGCAAGGAGCCCTGCCCTCCACTGCAAGTGCGTGACATAGCCCTGTATGAATTATCCCTTCGGTATGAACTCCTCCTGCACTTTCTAGATCCCCCTTTTTGATGGTAATTTCCTTGTGCCTCACTGAGGCTTCTGTAGTTGTGAAAGCCACAGAGTCACAAAGAACTCTTCTGGCCATAACAAGCTAGACATCAGCGGGACACTACTCAGGATAGTGATAAGCTGAGCTGGGCTTTTGTTCTTAGGGGAATTCATTTCCCCTTGAATTACCTCCAGTTTAGAATTAGCCCTAAGCTTTTCTGAACAGCACAGAACTCTCAGGGTTTTGTTCTCTGTATTTTCACTGCATTGGTGACCGTGTCCCAAAACAATAAGCGTTCACGGAGAAGGAAAGACGGACAGGCTGCGTCTGCTGGGTTGTTGGTTCCCAGGGAGGTGCCTCCCAGTTCCCTGCCAGTTCGGGGGCTGTGTAACTGAGATGACTGCTCAGGATCCTGGTGGCAGTCCTCAAATGGTGGCAGAATGCATCTCAGGTCGGAGCCGATGCTATGCTACCCGTGGGATTTGAGCCTGAAGCCTGCACGCATTCCCCTGCCGGGGTCGAAGCTCAGGTCACTGGCCATTTCCTCTCATTTTCTGCACCAGTGGTGCTCTCTGCTTGCATATCCTGCAGAGAGCTCCTCCCCGGTGGGCCCCTTGGGCTACCTCCTTTTGGACTTTTGTTGCTCAATTAAACAATATTTAATATAGCCTGTCAGGAAGAATCTCTGTTACCAGATAGTCTTTGATGCTATCATGGGAAATGGGGAATTGGTCTTAAAAAAAAAAAAAAAGGTAAAGAACACCACGTCAGCCCACTCTCACCTTTTTCTCACAGGTTTTGAGGGTGTTTCCAGTCGTGTGCCCTTCTTGTCTCCTGGACTCATTCATTCTGTGAGGGAAAACTACTGGGCTGAGGGAACTCCCCGTCCGTTTAATTTCCTATCCCCCTCGAACTGCCCCAGATCTTCTCCAGCCCAGCCTGCCCCCTTCCTCAGTGAACCCTGCTGGCTCTGTTCATTCAGTAACCCCTGTTCTCCCTCCGCGCCCTCCCCCGCCTCCCCCAGTGCCTCCGCAGGAGAGTGTGGAGCCTGGAGACACAGCATCCAGGCGGGGAGAGCCCGGGCCCCTACTCAGAGCGGCGTCAGGGCGCGCACCCCGATTTCCCACCGGCCCCGGGCGGCGTGGCGCAGCCCGTCTGGCCCCAGGCGGCTCAGCGCCCGGGCACTCTCCGCCCAGGTCAGGGTCCGCGACTGCGCGCGCGGGGCTTGGGCAGCGCTTGGCTCCTCAGCGTGGTGTGTCCTGCACTTGGAGTTGCCTTTTGGGTTTATGCTTAGTATTTCCCATTCGGAAGAACTCTGGTTTTGTTTTATTCAAAGGGGCTGCCCATCTTTATCCACGAAATGCAGACATTTTAAAGCTCCAATTGAAGTTTCTGTCCAGATCAACACTGGGGATGTTTTAGTATTTCTATACCTTTCTTTTTGCCTTTCTAGTTTTCTAACAGAAAACTTCTGTTTCCCCGGAACCTTGGAAGACACAAGAATGAAAAGGCAGGGTCTTTCTCCTTTCCTTGCAAAAGTGTCTCAAGGGTTGGCACCCACGCAGCCGGCTCCGCGGCGCCGGGCCCTGCGTGCTCCTCTCGGGGGCGCCCTTCTGCGTTAACGCCGAGAGGCGCGGCGGCCGACGCAGGCGCCCGAAGACCCGAAAACGGGCACCGTAACCCCAAGCAGTCGCGGAGCTCGGGTTTCCCGTTTTCTGACCCACGAGTAGCGGCGATCCGCTTCCTCCCTCCGCGAGGATGGCCCGCCCGAGGCCCGGCCGCAGCCCGGGTCCAGGGAAGCCGGGGACCCAGGGCGGCCCAGGGCGGCTGCGAGTCCCAGCGAGGGACCCCGCGCTTCGGGGAGGCCGCGCAGTCTCCCTTCTGGCCGACTGGGGCCCCGGGCCTCGAGGGAGCGGGCGGGACCCGTTTTGCAGGTGAGCCCCAGGATGTGGGGTCTCGGCCGGGGAGAATCCGGAGCAGACCCCCAACTCCGCCCGGTGCCCTACGGTCGCGCGGCCTGAGTCCGGGGCCGGAGCGACCCCTGGCGAAAGGCCGGGACCTGCTTTCTTGGGGGGAAGGGGGACCCGGCTCGCGGCCGCCCCGCCCTCCGACCCCGCCCCCCGCCCTCAATCCCGCCCCTTCCCCTGCCGCTCCCTCCCTTCCCCGCCCTCCCCTTCCCTGACCTGTCCACCCCGCCCCTCCGCCCTCTCTCCCTCTCCCCCCGACTTCTCCCCTGCCTCCTGCCCTCCCTCCCTCTAACTTGTCCCGGCGGTCCACCTTACCCCGGCCTCTCCCCTACGTCCTTCCCTCTCCTGCCCCTCTCCGGTCCCTCCCCTCCCCTCCGCAGTTGCCCACGTCCCCCTCCTTCCACTGCCCTTTCTCCTCCCCCTCTCTCTCTCCTCCCCCTTCCCCCCTCCCCTGCCCGGGGACGGGAGGAGACCGTGGCGTCAGCGGGCTGACACCTGTGGGCACCTGCGAGCGTGGAGGACAGGGAGCCGAAGACCGCGGGGAGGACTGTCCCACGGCCGGATCAGGTGCGTGGGGGGTGGGAGCGGAGAAGGTGGCAGGAGGAGGTGGCGCGGACACGGCGTCTGGGAGGCAGAGGGACTGCGGCCTGGGCAGGCTGGGACCATATTCCCCCACCATCTGCCCCGCCCGGCCTCTGGCCTCTGGGACCCCAGGGGATCCCAGCCTAGGGAGCCTTCCGGCCTGAGGATGCAGCTGCAGGTGCACAGATGCCTCCTCACGGTCATGGGCAGGGCTTCCTCTCACATCCCGACAGGTGTCACCCGGGGGGGGCTCTTTCCTCCAGAGATCCCCTAATACCTCTCAGAGCCACACCGGTGCCTGCTGATGCATCATTTCTGGGACAGTTGTGGGGACAGGGCAGTGTGGCCTGGATGTCCCCTGGCCGTGTTGCTCTGGGAAGTTCTCCCAGCTCAGCAGCTGGGAAGGGACAGAAACCTAGCTGCTTTGCCTTTCAAACGGGAACGGAAAAGAAGACTCCTGCAGTTTAGAAGACAGAATGTCGTTTTCTCATTCAACTCCTAGGCTATTCCTACCACGTGTTTTTAAAATCACCTTTGTTGCTCTTCATCCCTTTGGCTCCAGTGTAGCACTAAACACTTAAAAAGGAGCCACAGCGGAGGAGGATGGGGGTAGAGAGCAACCGGAGGAGACTTTTTTCCTAGAGCAACTGCAATCTTAACTCAATTGGAAACGTCCCCATCTAGGGGCAGCTGGCCCGATGTTGTCCCTAACAGAATGCCTGTGACTGCCTGTGAACCCTGGCCAGGGAAGGGGTTAAGGTGACCATAAGCTCCCGGGCAGGATGTGCAGGGGACGGCCGTGGGAGGCCCCAGGATGTGTGGCCACCTAGTGTCAGGGCTGAGCCACCAAAATAGAAGTTCATCCCCAGGGGCTGCTGGTGGTTGAGCGTCAGCAGCCCACACCCGGTGGAGGCAGGAGACCCCACTCGGCTGGTAAGTGTGGAGGGTGAGGGCCCGCTGAGGAGCCCTCACCCTGGAGGGTCTTCTGATGTGCAAGTCTGACGGACCGACTGGCCCAAAGTTGCTTTTGTGACCTGAGTTCTCGGACCAAAATGTTCTCCTTAGACCAGCTGCCACTGGGAGGGACCAACCTTCTCACACCGACGGGGGACAGGACACAGTCCTGCCCTGCAGTCCTGGATGCGTAGAGAGGAGGATGAGTTGGTAAAATGGGACCAGTAGGAAGAGAGGGCTTTCCGCTTTACTTTAGGGCCCCCTTAACTGTTCGCTCCCCTTCTTGGGCCCCGCAGCACCCTCCGAGTCCTGACTTCACAACTGGGCAGGAGCCTGGGCGCCTGCAGCGAACGCTCCCGGAGCACCAATGCCTCTGTGAGCCTCAGTTTTGCTTTATGTTAAATTGGGATGATGATGCCTTCCCTGGCTGCCTCACAGAATAGTGAAAAAAAGTAACTTGTGTGAAAGGCTGTAAAATTTTGCATAAAGGGGCGTGCCACTAAGGGGGGTGGGCATTCCTCTTAGTGTTACATACGCCCAATGACAAAGAGTGGTAGAGGCGAAGCTTCCTTACAAGAAGCCTGCAAGGACAGTTAACAGGGAGGCCGTAATTTAATTTACAAAGGTGACTGACTCCAGAGGGATATTTCTCTGCGGGAAATCCCAGCTTTTGATTTTGAGACTCCACCCCTGGGCTTTGTTGCATTCATGTTATAACCTGGTGGTCCACGATCAACTTTATTTTCCTTTTCTGAGGTTGAAGACGTGAAATAAAATCTGGACATTTATCTTGGTGACTTGCAGTGAGTTTACAATCACTTCAAAGGGAGAGATCTCCGCCCCTAGGTTATTAGCTTTTGTAACATGTTGGTGGGGTGGGGGTGGAGGGCCTGAAATTGAAATAGAGGATACTGTAGTATCCTCCAAAATGTTTCTGATTTACAGTAGCCGGCCCCCAATTTAGTTGATGTGGTATGATTGTAAGAGAAGTAGCAGTTAGAAGTGTAACTGCTAGTAACTGTAGTAATAGCAACAATCACAGAAGCGTAATGTTCTGTGTAAAGCTTAGCTTTCTCCTCTTAAATTCACTCCATTACACCCTTTATGTCAGCTCACAGAGCAGGAAGACTCTGGGCTGAGCACGCAGGACCGGCAGGTTCGTTTTCATAGTGATCCTCCAGGGAGAGAGGCCCTCAGCTCTGTGCAGTCTCACAGGCTGCCCCTTAGAACGCAGGCTCCGGGGTCTGCCAAGGCCACGAGCCTGACCGGGCTGGGCCTAGAGCCCACACCCAAAGCAAGCCTGGTGATGCTCAGTGACTTTTCTCCCTTGACAAGGGCAGTAGAGGAGCAGGGTGGGGTGTCTTTACCAAAATACCTGCAGAAAGAACTGCCCTGGGCTGAGCGCCTGAATTACGGCAAAGGCTGCAAGGAGCTGGGTGGAGTCTGGCTTCTCAGTCGTCATGCGGTAGCTTGATGAGGCTCAGGACGGCACCCGCTTGAGGACTGCCCAGGTGTTTCTAGTGTCCTCGCAGGCTTTGTGCTGGCATGGCCTGGCTGCAGCCACAGAACCGGGCTTCCTCGAGTAAAACTTTCAGAACTTCCAGCCCACAATAGGTTACTGGACACCCCATGATTACCAAGAAACTCTTGGACAACTCAGGGGCTGGACATTTTGACTTTGTGGTTCGTGGCGTATCCCGAATGTGATTCATTAAGCATCATGGCAGCCCTAGTGAGCTCCGGAATCCACAGGAAATGCAGGCCCCTCCCAGAACCTCCCAGTACGTCTTTGGAGCCCAAAGGACCAGTCCCTACCAGCTGGAGGTGGCCCTGGAGCAACCATGTGCCCATCTTGAAGAGCCTGCCCCAGGCAGGTGACCTTCGAGACTTGTCAAGTGACATGTTTGTTGGCTGTAACTCACAGTTGGGGGCCATTCAGCCTAATCTCTTGAGAAAGTGAAGACTATTATTCAAATTACTAAACTGAAACAAAGAGACAACTCAGAACAAATAAGACAGTACTGATGTGATTGCCAATGAGCATACCAGCTGGCGAGCATTTAAGATCTTCTCAGTGTCCCCCTCCTCCCTTGTCTATTTCTCATTCAGAATTAAGGGTTGGAGCAAGAATGCAGAACAGGACCGGCCCCTGCACAGAGAGTGGGTATGAGAGGCAGCATCTGAGTGAGGGGGAGAAGACGGAGATGGACAGAGGGGCGGGGGAGGAGGCGGCGCAGTGAGGGGGGAGGAGAGGAGGTGGGGGGATAAACAGGCAGGGAAAGCAGCTCCCCCTTTACCTTCAGCTCTCCCTTTCCTAGGGCCGCCTTCCTTTTTTTTTTTTTTTTTGAATGGGAAGACAACTACATATTGAAGATGGGCAATTCTTAACTGATAATACAGTCGTTATGAGCGATAACAATGCAGCCAGTTTGGGATATTTCTCTCTCTTTTTAAAATATTTTATTTATTTATTTATTTATTTATTTATTTGTAGAGAGAGGGGGAAAGGAGGGAGAACGAGGAGAGAAACATCAATGTGTGGTTGCCTCTCACGCGCCCCCTACTGGGGACCTGGCCCGAAACCCAGGCAAGTGCCCTGATTGGGAATTGAACCAGTGACCCTTTGGTTCACAGGCTGGCACTCAATCCACTGAGCCACACCAGCCAGTGCTATATTTCCCTTTTATAAATGCATTTTTTTCTAGGGTTCCTGCTTCAATGGAGAAGCAGCTGGAGCCAGCAGAGTCAGATTTTTACACTAACACATTTCCTCTCCTGTTAGTGAGAGGCCACGCAGTGCTGGAACCCCCCGCCCGCACTTCTTTCCATCAGACTCTCCCAAGGGCCCTGTGACTGTGCCCTGTGCAGGAGTGCCCCTGAGCCGGACATCGGGATGTGTGTGCGGGAACTCTGGCCCACATACCAACTGGCTCTCCCAGGACTCTGAGCTCCTGAGTGGGGGCTGCCCTGATGACTGTCCCCTCGGCACCCAGGTGGACCATGCAGGTGGGCTGGAATCTCGGCCGAGCAGACAGGAGGGCCAATGAAATTAGTTGACTTGGGTCTCCCACTGGGCTTGCTCCAGTCCTAGCCGTCCAGTGACGGCGCTGTGGTCTGTGTGCTCTGTGCGAGATACCTAGAGCCTCTGAGAGATAAAGACCAGCCTTGGGCCCACTGCCATTTCACCTTGGTCCTGGGTGCTTAGCAGGGCTTGTCCAGTGGCAGACAGAACTCCCAAAGGCCATTGACACAGTTTGCTGCTCTGTGCATGCCAGTCTTGAGATTTTCATTTATTTTACTATTATTATTTTTAAGTATATTTTTTTGTTGATTTTAGAGAAAGAGGAAGGGTGAGGGGTGAGCGGGGGTAGGGGAGAGAAAGGAAAGAGAGAGAAACATTGATGTGAGAAACATCACTCGGTCGCCTCTCTTACGTGCCCTGACCGGTGATCAAACTCACAACCTTTTGGTTTATGGGATGATGCTCCAACCAACTGAGCCACCAGCCAGAATTCCAGTCTTGAGATTTTTAAAACGAACAGGTATCAGTGACAACTGAGGTGGGTCTGACATCTGGATCTGTCCTTTGTGCCCCAGGGGTTACTTAACTGTGGAAAATCCGCTGTTGGGGAAGCCACCCCCTCACTTGTACCTGTGCCTGCCTGCATGTCTTGGGGTTGTTTGGACCATGATGTCCTTCACTTTGGGGGATGTCATTGTCCAGAGCAGCTGAAAAATAAAAATCCTAGTGGGAGGGGTGATCCTAGGGCAGAAGCCCCACCCTCCCCAGGCCCCTGGCACCAGCTGTCCTCAGCAAAACCCAGGAGTCTCTGGCGCCCGTGGCCGACCTGCCCGGGAGGGGAAGCAGCATCAGACTTTGTCCTTTCCAAGTGGGGGATGGCCTCCCTGTCCAGTCGGGAGAAGGGCACGTTTGTTCTGTTTTTCAGAACAAACTAAATTAAAACCAAACCTTGGATCTTGTCAATCGTATCCTGAGACTGAGTGAGTACTGATAATTTGTAACATCTTGCCAAGTTGAGGACAGCAGCAGCAGGAACCTTTCTCAGGTTGGTGGAAGGGCTCAGATAATGGACAGCTCTCTGGGACCTGCGGGCAGATCTGGGAAGTGAGAACAGAGGGGCAAGCCTACACTGCGCCTTTTCTTGGTCCCTTCTGGAGGTTTACGATCACAAGTAGCCTGCTCCTGTTTGAAATTCTCCCAGTAGAATCTGGCAGGAAAGAGGACAAAACAGGATTTGCTGTTTTGTTTTTAATCAGGGAAACCTTCCTTTTTTGATGTCAAGACTACACTTAAGCAATCCAAAGTCTGTGCACCTGGGTCTGGCGGCACTTGACAGGCTGTGCCTTCCCGGGAGCACCAGGCACGCTCCCGTTTTCTTGGAAAGAACAGGAACCAAGGACAAATGACAAATGCCGAGGCGCAAGGTCCTGCCAGAGGAGAGTGGATGTGAGATACGGCTCATCTTCTCCCATTTTCACTGTGAAGGTTCCTGGTGATGGGGTTGCACACAGGAGTTTAAGGAATAAGGTTATAGGAACCAGGAAGACATTCCTGGAAATGAGGCATGAAAGGCACATATGGGTAATAAGCAAGTTATTGACCAACAATAGCATTAATAAAAACAAAGGGATGGAGTGTCTGGAAGGATCAGCAGTGAAGCCCAGCAGAACTGCATGCTTTAGCAGGAAGAGGAGGGGGTGGGAGAAATGGGACATCTTGTTAGGGACAGGTGTGGACTCAGTGACATCCCAAAGTATGGAGGATCTGAACTGTGTGACCCCACCCCCAACATCCTGTGGTGACTCCTTTCTCTCTGGAATGATCCCTGAGACTCAGTGCCGAAGTGCTCCTGTAGGGGGCGTATTGGAACCCCTCCCTAGGGCCGGCCAGCACTGGGGTAGCTTATGAAGGTGCCCAAGTGTCCGAAAGGTGGTCAGACCTGTGAACCTCACTAAGTGCAGGCTGGCATCCGGTGGCCAGGGAGGGAACGAGTGGCTGGGGCCTGTCTCAGGACAGTGGGGGAAGGTGGGGCCCTCCAAAAGGGAGAGATGTTTCTAATCTCCCAGTGTTCTTGCAGGGCCACTAAGGGCATCCCTGTGGGTGACGCTTGAGGCAGGGACTGAACTAAACCCGAAATGGAGAGAGCAGAGTGTAAGCAGTGAAATGGAAAGGTGGGATCACTGGTGGATCCACAAGTCAAATGTATTCCAGTCAAGTTATTTACAGCTTCATTCTCGAAGAAGGGACCCTGCCAGGTGCTGAGCCAACAGGGGAAATAATAATGAACCATAAATACGCTAAAAGACAAAGTGCAAAGAAGTGTGTTGGTAATCACCCCATGCAGACGCATCCTTTGTCCAGCAAATAATTTCAGATGGCTTCTGTTTGGGGTATAGTTATTAGTTATCTCTTTAAATTCAAGACTGCTTCCAAAACACTTGATTTAAGTTTCTTTGCCAAATCTTCACTGGAGGAATAAGATTTTAAATGTTTGTTCTGGAACTCTCAGGACATTCTTTACTTAGGGGATTTAAAATGTTCTTAAGTAATCTAAATAAGCCATCAGCGATGGTGTTGAAAGTTTGCCAGCGGAGTGAAGTAGACTGTGACATTGAGACCAGGAGAATCGAGACTTTTATATCCTTGAAATAAGAGACTGAAGGTCAAGGGGCAAAATCTAGGTTTTGCTTTCTTGTAAGCAGCAGAAGTAAACATTTTTCCTAATGCAACTCTATTTCACCTCAATATCATATAAGAAGTTTGCTCAGTTAATTGAACATTGACATAGTAGAAATTCGTTGGAGAAGAAGGAATTTAATTTTAAACACACAATATCCATTTCAGAATAAATGTGACTGGAAGCTGCATCTAGTTATCTTAGCTTTGTTCAAAGAAATGATTCTGACGTGTGTTGGCAGTGTGAACTCATTTTCCTTTTAAAATCTGTTTTTCACACCACAGACTAATGTTTGACTGTTGGAGATTTATCTTCTGCAAGAAAACTGGAGGCAAGGATTGTTCTTGCCCACGAGGATCCAATGAGGCCAAAACAGAAGAAAGGGATCATCAGATTGATGTGTCCGACGTCATCAGGCTTGTTCAAGATCACCTAGAGGAGACAGGGACAGGTAGAGGCCAGTTTTAAACTTCGTTTTGATGCTGAAGCTCTTACTATTAATTGGACTCAAAAGTCTCGTTCTTAGTTGTTCTGGTCTTTGTAGGGACTGAAGCGTTTGGATCTGGGAGACCAGTTTGCAGGCCTCACTGGTCGTGTGCTGGGGGCGTGCACACTGAGCTCAGGCAGCTGCGACCTGACACGTCTAGGTGAGAAGTCTCGAGGTGTTTGCTCATTCACCTTTCTGGTGGTTATTTAACTTAGCACATTAAAATGAAGTTGGCTCTGGTGAGAGATCATGAGAAATGTCTGTTTGGGTTTTAAACAAAGCACAGTGCACCTGAAGGGAACTATTCCCAGCCTTTGCTTCAGTTTTCAAAACACAAGACCTTTTGTTTAAATTTGCTCTGTTGTCATACTGAGATGGGGAGGAAGCTTTTACCAGTCTCGGAATCAGTGACCCATGTCCAAATGGCAGAATGAGCAGCACACACTCCCCAAAGCTCTGCCTGACCCCTTATCCCAGCCTGGGGGTGCTTTTCCCCTTGTTCCTGGCTAATCTGAGAGCTTTCATGCGTTTCTTAATGGAAGGACTCCAAAACTACCATTTTCATTAGACAAGGCTAGTGCAGCCACAGACTGCCCAGGGGAAGGGGTGAATCTGGTGGCAGTTGTGCTGCCTGGTACCACAGTGCCCACCTGGGGCTGGGCCAGGACCAGGCAGGCCCCCCAAGCCAACAGCCAGAGGCTCATCTGGGCACTTCGATGAAACTACTTGTTCTCTAAAGCTGGAACTTTCTCAGCCCTGCCCTGCGCTGACACTGGCTGTGCCTAACCTGCACGGCTGGACTGGCTGGAGCCTGTGCTGCCGACCCCTGGCCTCCTCCTCAGGGCTGGTCCAGGGTTTCCACCCTCTGATGTTCGTCCATGGGTGAGGGTCGTACCCCCATCTTCGGATGTCTGGCACTTGCATGTCTGCTCCTGAGGGGTGTCTGGTGCATACCCCCAGAGCCAGCAGCTCTGAGCCACAGCTCTGCTGGTGGGCCCTTGCACTTGCAAACGTGGTTGCTATTTGAACTTGGCCGGCTGGCAGGTTGAATTCCAGTGTGGTGGCCCCACCAGCAATGTGTTTAGTTTTGTAGGTTTAGAAACTTGATTTTCGTCACTTTCCTCGTTAGTGATAGTTCTCAAGCAAGAGACTGAAGCCTGTACCTCTAAGTTCATCTCCTCGTGACAGGAGCACCTTATTTTTCCAACAACAAGTTTTCTCATTTATGACCCAGTCACAGTTCCGATTCTCTGATATGCACCCCTGTGAGGAACAAAGTCGGTGCTGAGATGGTCGCCACTGGGAGAGCGAAGGGAGCAGAGGGTTGCTGGGAAAATGCTGCCGAAAACCTCCGCTCCTGCGCTGTGAAAAGGACTTAGAAAGGAGGCGAGCTTCCAGCTTGAGCAAGAGGATGATTGCAAGGGTGCCAGTCCCTATGTATCATTAGCTCATATGGCTGGAAGTTTGTCTAGTCTTTCAGTGCTCAGCACGGCTGCGCATTGACTGCCCAGAACCACTTGGAAGCCAGCAGTGGTGGGCTTTCCCAAGCACCAGGGAACCTGCTGTGTGTCAGGTTTGCAGGCTGCAAGGGAGCTGACCTGTGGCGGAAACGGAGAGCCTCGGTCACCAGCCTGGCTGCCTGAACCCTTCCCTGACTCAGCTGCGTCTCCCCGGCTGAGCAGTACGAGACCCAGTGTGGTGATGAGAAGCATGACTCAAGAGCAGGGTGCCCAGGTTCGAATTCCAGTTTGTCACTCTCCAGCCCCACCAGAGTGGGCAAGTCATGAAACCTCCACTGTGTGGGTGACGTGGTGTCATGCCCGAGGGGTTGCTGGGAGGGTCCAATCAGTGTAAGGTGCTCAGGACAGTGGCAGGCAGAGCTGTGCCTGAGTCCTGAGTCATATCACCATCCCAAGCCTTCTTCTTTCTCTTGTAACCTGCAGGACCCTTGCAGAGCTACACACACACACACAGGAGCTTGTATGCACGCACATGCACACACAGTACAGTTTAGCAAGGAGGGCATTAAAGCTTGTCTGGCTGTCCAGAGTTCCTGCTCTCTGAATTCCATATGGTGCCTTTGCATGTAAATGCCAGGTATGTGTGCACTGCCACTGCCATTCTTGCCTTCATGCGGGTGACTGATGGGGCCTGATGCAGTCTCTCTCTAACACCACACGTGCCCACATTCCCCATCGGACAGGGTAGGTGACCCCATGTCCACGGTAACAGCGGTTCTGTGCTGCCAAGTTTTGGCTGGACTTCCTGTTCCTCCAGCATCAGTTGGAGACACTCACCCAACGAGCTGCGAGTCCGGCAAGGGAGCAATGGTCTGGGAACATTTTGTTCATCTTAACACCAGCGTGAAAGATCGAGACGGTGCACGTATACGGATCAGCAATCTCCGTGTCACAGCAGAGGTGAAGGGGCAGAACCAGTGCCAGTGGCTGGGACGGCCTGTCAGGGGGCACGGGCGCGCTTTCCTGTTTTTAGAATGCCGCTGCCACGCATGTTTGCTCTTTAAAAGGTTTTATGTACTCTGATCAGTGAATAGTATCTTTAATGATGCCAACCATTTTTTTCCCCAACAAACTTCCTGAGTATCTTGAACCGGTCCTGGGGAAAAAACCCACAAATGAAATGCAGTCCTTGTCTTGGACTTAAACAAAGACCATCTGAAATACTAAGTTGAATGATATCAGTCATTTCATGTAGCTGAACTAGATGCCTCTGTGATGCGCGATTGCACAGAATTCTGGGAGCGGACTGGGAGGTGTGAGCGTGTCCTCCCGGAGGAGGCTGCAGGATGGGGAAGAGCTGCAGGAAGAGGGAGACTTGAAAACTTCGTAGCAACAGAGGCCACATTATGAGAGATTTTTACAGGGGGTGTTGCAGAAGCAGTTAGCTTGGGCTTTGAAAACCTATTTTGGGAAAGGCAAAAGTGACCACAGGAAACTGCTGCTTGGAAGGAAATTGGCTCTTTGATTATCTCCACTGTTTCTGGCGTGGATGGTAATCACAGCTTGATGAAGACTGAGTGAATGGCAGTGATTGTGGCCTTTTCGGGGGTCAAGTTGTGCAGAGTATGATAGATGTTGTCTTCCAAAGCTCATGTCATTTCCTTGGGAGAGTCATTGCTTTTCCCTTGTAGGCCACCGAATGTTGCAAAGCCGTCCTGGGAAGCGGCCGTTCCGAGAGCGCCCCACACAGGCAAGGAAAGGCGGAACAGTGTGAGAGGAGTAGCGAGGGGCCGCGCTTGATCGCTCTTGTCTTTGTGGTTTTAGGAGTCCCAAATGGGACGTTCTCAAAAGGTGAATTCATTGCTTATGAAAACGGAGCTTCATCATTGCTACAAATGGTTTAGTTCTCCTTTTTAACTTTTCCTGATATCTTGGTCTTTTTCACTTTGGCTTTTTATAACATTCAGGAAGCTAGCAGGAGTTCCAATTCTTTAGAATACATACTCACTGCACATGAATTTACAAATGACTGGGGACTAGCTGGTGCGTTACTAGTTGATGCCAGAAGCACAGATGGCATTCTTCTCACAGCAGCTCTCAAAGGGCCACGGCCAGGCGCGGTGGTCACCAGAGGGAGGGGCAGGGACTATGTGTGACTCTCCAGGTCTCAGGTCAGAGGGCCCTGGAGCCGATCAATTCCCCAACCACCTCTGCAAGACCTGAGGAGATTCCAGGGAGTCCTCTGGTCTCCCAAGAGCTCCTGCATGGACTCTTCTAGGTGGTATCCATTGTCTTGGTGATTTTCATTGTTGATTGAAATGGATGTGACGTATTACTTAGAACTGGGAATAATGACTCTGAGCCTGTGAAGAAACGTTCTTCGCGTGAACCGAAGGTGCCTGGAAAGCAGCTCAGCGACCAGAGCCCCGGATCTCCTCATCCCCCGTCTCTGGCAGCCAGCACCCCGTCCGTGGCACATCCAGGAGCAGCAGTGGTGTAATCAGTGTTTGATCGGTTAGTGGGTTTTCTATCTAACTGTGCGCTTTACAGTAACTGCTGTATGATTAAGGTTATTAAGGGGCCAAACTGCCCTGGCTGGTGTAGCTCAGTGGATTGAGTGCGGGCCTGTGAACCACACGATCGAGGTTCAATTCCCAGTCAGGGCACATGCCTGGGTTGCAGGCCGGTTCCCTGCAGGCCAGTTCCCAGCAGGGGATGCACGAAAGGCAACCATACATTGATGTTTCTCTCCCTCTCTCCTTCCCTTCCCCTCTAAAGATAAATAAATAAAATCTTTAAAAAAAAAGGGGGGGGCCAAACTGTCCCCCAGAGAAAGCGCATCTGTCAGTGTACAAGCAGTGGAGAGCATGCTGGTCAACAAGACACAGAACTGCCCTGTGCTCCCCTACCATCCCCCAGCCGTGCTGAGCAGGTCTTCTGGGGAGAGGGCCTTTGCTTTGTCTGAACCATCCCCACATCATAGAAATTCTTCCTCCCACTTCCCGGTCAAAACTCTGTCCATCAGGCCAAGACCAGCAAAAATATCAGCTGTTTCTGCAGCTGCCCTGGGGATGTGCCTGGACTCCAAGAGAGGGCTTGCTGTCTTTATCTCTGGCCATCTGGGTTCCTGTATCTCTAGAGTCACTAAGCAGTGTGAGGACAGGGAATATCTCCGTCCCCACTCCACCCCCAACCTCAGGTCTATAGTAGCGGGCTCCTTGGCTGCTGTGCCCAGCACGGTTAGGGCAGGCTTGCAGCATTGCTCCCCTCGGCCTACTTCGGAGGCCTGGGTCAGCCCTGTGTCCCATGCGGATGTTTTCATCTTCCGTGTGTGCGTTGTGGAAATATTCCAGAGGCACTGCCCTAACACAGGGTGGGCAGCTGATGGATTGATTGGGCAAACTGAGCGGCAAGTGGTGCTTGGTTGGTTGGAAGTGATTCTGTGAAGATGTGTTCTGCTGAAGGGTCTGAGTGAAGTGGGGAAAAGGAAGAGATTTTGCTACCTGAGCA